ACTGGTCCCTTGATATCCATCAATTCCATTGATTGAACTAAAATGAGGGGCGAATAAAAGGGCGCAATCTTTGAAAAGAACAAAAGCTTTTCATTCAGTTGTGCATACACCCAAATTCTAATTTACTTTGCCACAACCAGACATTTTTGGGTAATTAATTTTGAGTTATTATTTTTTACTTTTCATCTCCAATCATGTCTGCAAGGTAGTTATGATGGAATCGTTTCCTAACACATAATCAGCAGGCGGTCTACTGCGCTAGCCCTGGTCAATCAACTCTCAAGCACGCCTAGACCCTGTCTCTTTATAACCTCATTTAATAATTTTCTCTATCTAATACTACATTATGATAATTCATTGAATCTAGCTATCACCAAACATCACTCACGTCCTCCTATAGGATTCCTACATATATAACATTTCCCAAACAGCGCCCACACTCAACATACATTCTTCGCGCGCAGCCACAACCCTTTGCCTTCTCCACCACCAGTAGCTAGTTATTGAGGCTCTATGATATAGCACTTGCTGTAGGTTCTCTTTTCTTCCTTCATCCGCTGCAACTATAGATAAAAGTGCCAATACTTTATTGAGTTTGTGCATAATTCGCTAAAGAAGATTTCATTTTTCGTTTTTTTATAGGTTGAACTCAATACCAGCTTTCTATTGAGTTGTTACACGGGTCCTGTCAATCTGTTTTTTACTTTTCTAATCTCTTGCCATCTGTCTAGTGAATGCGCTTCTTTTATTATGCATAGGCTTAGAGTTAGTTAATAATATCTTTACATTGGTTATAGCATCTCCTGACCAAGTCGCTGGAACTATAACACATTTTGCGTCTAAAGTTGGTGGTTTCACATCATTTAAAATATACAAACTATTGTTTATGTCCAACTTTGTGCTTTACAATTTTATTGCTTTCTAATTGAATCACTAAATGTATTTTCAATTGTACCCATGAATGATTGTTATTGCTATGTTAATTTTATTAAGGCTACTATTGGCTTGCATTCTCTCGCCCAAATTATAGGGTCTCAGGTCACTTTACAACCACTTCATTTCCTGAGCCGTGCCTCCTAATGGCAGATTTGGTGAGTACGCTTACAGGTAAAAGACATGCTTTACCTTAATTTCCAAATTTCATGGATTATATCGATTCCACAATAGTGCACTGCACCTCTTGTTATTCACCTTCATGAATCATCACTTGTAACAAATAACCATACAGCCTGCCACACGCGTACTTCTATCATCCCCATCCAATATATTCATCTCCTTCTATCGATGCGCACTATCCATCACACTAATGTAGCGCTTGTACACAGCCATCTACTTTCATGATTCCACTATGAAAGATGTAGAAAATTGCTGCCACTTATTTTCCCAAATTAATTTACGTTAATTTAGTGGCCATATTTTTATAGGCTTGATCATACACCCTCCATCCTCACGTCTAGTCTCAATGCAGCCCTTCTTTTGCCATAGCCTATCTATCTTTCCACCCAGCGCTAAACATGACACAGGTGCAGATTGTTACATTACCTACCTCTCCCTCTAATTATATTTCCTGTTAGCATTATGCCCATATTTGATTATTATTAAGATTTTTTAAATTCTATAAGCTGTTATTGGAATCGGCTTAATATGATCTATACAAGTTAGATCGTCAAGAAGAGATACCCAAAGAAAGCACTGAGGGCCGCATTTTTCTGTCCTTTTAAACACACAATGAACACTCTCCATGAACATTAAACTAAATCGATCTGCACTTGCTCTTGAGCGGGACCAACTCTGCGTCGTACCCAAAGGTTGCAAGTAAACAAATGATCTTAACTACTATGGGTCTGCATAATAATGTACTATTGTAGTGATATTATGTAAAAAAAAGACAAAATGTTTAACTATCTAAGTCTGTCCTTATCATTGGTGGATGTGAGAAGTGGAATCTACACCTTGATTTTTCCTTTCTCAGCCTTCCCATTGCAGTTGTTCTAGCTTCATTGGGTCTAAGATGATCCTGATTTCTTCGTGCGTTCTTCTTCAAGTTCCTTGTACATCTTTCATCATCGCAGGTTAAATTAACATTAGACTTGAGAATTTTGCAAATCTTAATTGCAGGGATTTCACTGTATCAACTCGAGGCGCCTCTCTTGACTTTTTGTAAGAAGGATCTTACTAACGGTGTGGGTTATGAGTTTATTGTAAGAAGTCTGACTAGCTATAAGAAGCCAAAATGTAGAGGCCAGTTCTTTCCACTTATTATTCTTTTACAGAATACAAGCAGTCCAATATGCTGGCCATCTTTTACCCTTTTAGATGATGCCAATATCATCAGATAAAAAGAACTTTTAAGCTGTCTTGATGTGATTGGCATTTGTATTGTTATATCAAATTGCATTAAGTTCAAAAATCAGTAAATTGTAGCTTCAATCAGAACCTTCAATCTACGGCTCAGAAATTCGTTCGAAGCGATTTACAGAAACCGAGTCGCTTTCAAGATCCATAATTAAGAGTCGGCATGCACAAAAGTTCATTCTTGTCACAAGTATACTCCATCTATAGCATAGAGACATAAACGCTAAAACTATTTTTCTTTTGAAAATATTCTCCACACCGATAAAATATTTTTTAGAAAGAAAACCAATCTAACAGATTAGCTGTTTACAGGGATGGAGATCATTAGGCCTCACCCAATCACCGAATATGGCTCAATCCCGAATCGACTTAGGTTAAGTTGTGCCATGTAATAGACCTTATTATCTTGAATTGATTTGGCTTAAATTGTATAAATCCGCGATCCATGGAATAATCTGAGATCATTCTTTCTATCAATGAGTAGACTGTTAATTTGGAACCCAACCCACATTTCAGGTATTCGTCCAAACGTTTAACCGGGTATTATGCATCGCATGCATATGTCTAGATGCTCGTTGACACAAGCACATGCCGGAATAGAACTTAAGAAGGCGACACCTTGCAAAAAAGAGCCCCAAATTTCCAATTTCCAAGTCTATTTACATTACTAATATGAGCTTAACAGCCACCCGCGCACTCACTTTTCATTTCGCTCGAGACTGCTCTCGCTGGTGGGTTCAAGTTGAGGCCTCTAATGGCAACCAATAACAGAGAAGATTAAGTCTTCTCCACCATTTACTCAATTGTCTTAGGTTAATTTACTTTTCTACTTTAATTTTGTTTGTGAAGTTGCTCATCCTCTTATACCGGAATGCGAAGAGATTCTTCCTCCATCTCTCCAATTCTACTTCTCCCCGCCCTTCCTCCTTTGATGGCAACTAACCACGTTAAACCATTATCTCTTCCATTTATTACCAAATTACTTTTCCATTATAAAACTCATACTATATCTCTTCGTTTCTCTTCTTTTTCTGCAAGATTATACCTGAGTTAACAGAAGCCCTGCGCCCAGCGTTGCTTGGGGTTTACCAAGAAACTACAAGCGTCTTTTTATTACTAAAAGTTCATCTGTATTTTCTCTTAGAAAGTTTGCTCTTCATTCATATTAGCTACTGCATTGCCATGCAGGACTACAAGACAGATAAATTGTGCTGTTGACCTTGAAACTATAGCCGTGTTTGTACAAAGAGGTTTACACAGAGAGAAGTTGATTCACAAATCACACCTTCCTTTTTCTTACTTGTAATGATGAATTAAATCAACTATAGTAAATTTCATTTTACTGTGTGATATTAGTGCCTGCATTGGACACAACGCAAAGTATAGCTGAGAGTCTCAATATTAATAAATACATTCGCAACATCTTTGAGAAGCGGCCTTTCTCTTTCTCCTCATGTAAGTTGCTGGTGTTTGTGATATTCTGATAATCAACCAAGCGCTCAAGAAGCAAGTTAAAACTGAAAGTCACATTTTATAAAAAATGTAGGATCCTTCAAGAAGAGAATCGGGAAGGAAATGGCTTCTTTACTCTGAAAATTCAATGAAATGGTTGCTAAATAACTCATTTAAAGGAGAAACATTAAGAGAAGCGGTGAATACTAAGTAATATAAACTTTGGCAGCACTTCATATATTGGGACATGACATAGACTAGGCTGATGTGTTAAATTGTATATTAGATCCCCGCTTGTTGAATGATATTAGAAGCTGTCCTTTCACAAATTTAAAGAAAGGCCATTTGTTGCTTGCCACTTTACTTTTTTTTTTGTTTCGGTAGCAGAAGTTCATTGTCTTCCCCATTTCCATTCTCATACTTCACCTTCTTTGAACTATTTTTTAGACGATGGCTTTCAGGAGGACATACCTTATAGACCGTTTGTTGAAAGAAAGCCCACATTATTCTTATCTCAAGTGTGGGAAATTATGAGACTAACATAAAGGCAAGGCCCAAGCTAGCAGTGATGGATGAGGACACTTAATCAACTGCATACAATTTTGCATGCGATTATACAAATCATTAACTAATTACAACTTAAAGCTGGGAAAAGAAAATTCAATGTTAGTCCATTTATTGTGTATAGGAAATGAACAAGATTGACTGCATTATAAGGAAACAAAGAGTATCCCAAAAAGAGATTTACTCTGAATTGATTACAAGGGAACAGCGTTTTCGTGGTACAACTTTCTGTTACGTTATATGGGAGTAGAAATTGGAAATGGGAATATAATTTACTGATTTCAAAAATCATATCCTTGTTTGCAGGTGCAACTCCAGCATCATGAGCTTTCTAACTCTCGTTGCCTCATCTATACTATACATCTATAAGCATGTTTACATCATGGTGTTTGTAGGTTTTACTGCCATTATCCAAGAAACCAAATTTGGCTTTATAAAAGTTGTAGTTAGTGTGTGTTTAATTGTTCATACCATCTAAACGCAAAAACGAAGAATAGGCTGCTTCCACAGCTAAATCATTTGGAGAATCCATTCGTCTTGGCCAGCGAGAATTAATCGAAAACAGTGGTTTTCTAAGAAATGTTTCATAGCTAGAGAAAAGTCTAAAACCAACCGGCCTTCGAAAGTTAATGGATGATGATAGAATTAGAACAATCCCATTCTATGAAGAAGACGATGACGAAACGAATCTGAAGACAATTGAAATTAAAACAATGAGACCAATCGTACAGGTTGAGGAAATGTAAATCTTGTGAAGATAAACCTATGTATAAGATTCTAATGGATAAATTTCAATAGAATTTATGATATACCACTATCTAAAATGTTTTAATTAACCAAAGTCGTGAACGTGACAAAGCCAATCCCTCTTTTTTAGTATAAAAATAGAATGACTTTATCTTCAATTATTAGTAACAAACCAGAAGATTATCTATTAAAAAAGCCAGAGAAATTTTTTCATTAACAATAATAATAATATATTTATGACTGAAAAAAAGAGATTGTAAAAATTGCTGAGGGCCTAATTTTCATCTGAACTCCAAGCGATGTCCTAGAAAGCCCTGGGGCTTGACCGTGCATATGTGCGCCAAAACAATCGAATCACGACTCCCAGTTGTTCACATTTCCGATACCAAGAATGCCCGCAATCCTTAATAAACTCCCATTTTAATTCATCACTTGCTTGAGTTTCATTCTACTTTTGATCCGCCCTCTATATGAGGAAGCTCATTCCTCTCTTCAACAAGACGCGATAAAAGTCCCAGTTTCATCGCTTCCATCAACTGAACAAAAAATCTCCTTACCAATGGCCGCACTGCGTAAGAATCTCCGCATTTGCACCTTTTCATTGTTCTTCAGTTAGCAGATCTCTGAAGTTTTTTCCTTTATTTTGTTGGAAATTTTAAAGGTTGATAAGAGCTTTCCGAGAAATGCCTCCAATATTTAGACGCCATCTGCAAGAGCAACCTCCCGCTCTTCGATGAACCATCAGGTTCTCCTGTCTTGCTCTTATTATGTATTTTCATGCTAATCAACAGTTTATTTTGTATTCAATGTAGTCTTTCTCAATTTTTTGATGTGTTTAATGTTTTTTCACGTTCCCCTGCACTGCAAGCTTTTACACTCCTACCGCATGTCCATTTGCTCAGCGAGTGGGGATCACCCGGAATCTATTAAGTTACTAATCTTTCTTCCATTCGGCATGTTCTTTTTTTCTTTTTTGTTTTTTTTTTTTGGTTTTTCTTTTGAAACTTCTTCTGCAAGAATTAGATTTATCAGAGTTTCTGATTTTTTTTTTTTTTTTTTTTTTTTTTTTTGGTTTTTCTTTTGAACTTTCTTCTTCAAGAATTAATTTATTCATGAGTTTTGAGGTGTAGGGATTACAAGATAAGATCAAGCTAGTTCCTTTGAATCTTCAAAATAGGCCTTCCTGGTACGGGGAGAAGGTCTACCCTGCCAATAAGGTCAGCATATAATTTAATACGTTTTCTTTTTTATGATTCCTCATGAATTCATCTAATTAAGTTTAGTTGTGTTAACCAACCGTTGCACTTGTTCTATGATTTATGTTTTTCTTTTTCCCCTTTGCTATACAAGGAACTGCCATTTTTGTAATCTTATTTTTGTATTTGAATTACTTGAATTTCTGTAAAAGTAACACCTAGTTCTAAGATATAATTATTTTTGAAAGATAGCATTTCTTATATTTGATTATCTAGAATTGAACTTGGGAATCAGAAACAGCTTGCGTTTTCCATTTCCAAAGCAAACCAAGCACCCGCTAGAAGAAGTTGTCCTGGAATTGAAAATTGTTTTTGAGCTAATAAGTATAAGCTGTCGCTTCAGTTCCAAATTTGTGATTTTTCTGTCACCTGAATTGTTCTTGAACTTGGGAATTGAAGAAAGTGTTCTAATTTCCTTTGTTGATATGAAATCTTCCTCTTTTAGGTGCCAGCCTTGGAACACAATGGAAAAATCATTGGGGAGAGTCTTGATTTGATCAAATACATTGATGCAAACTTCGAAGGGCCATCTCTTCTTCCTGATGTAAGATGTGCATAGTTCTGTTTTGCATCCATTATGGAGAGCTGCAATGTGTGTCTATTTGTCTAGGAAATTGGACTAAATTATGAATTTTCTAAATTACTGTAGGATCCTGCTAAGAAGGAGTTTGCTGAAGAGTTATTTTCCTACACTGATACATTCACCAAAACAGTGTTTACTTCATTCAAGGGAGATGCAGTGAAAGATGCTAGTATGTTCTCAAACTTGTGGTTATATTGGTAACTGCCTCTCTCTATATTGCAACTAAATTCACTGTCCGTTTTTAGGTCCTGCTTTTGATTACTTGGAAAATGCTCTTCATAAATTTGAGGATGGACCATTCTTGCTCGGTCAATTCAGTTTGGTGAGCTGTATTTTCATTTTTGATTTGATATTTCTTTTCACCTAATGTATTGAATATGGATTCCTTGTTTTGCAATTTGGAAATGCTTGTCATAGTTAAATCATTGTCATCACACACTATCAAGTGTTCTTCCCTTTAACTTCGAAAAATTTATGTCCTTCAGGTGGATATAGCCTATATACCATTTGTTGAAAGATTCCAAATTTTCTTTTCGGAGGTTTTCAAATATGATATCACTGCTGGCAGGCCTAAACTTGCAGCTTGGATTGAGGTATCTATGTTCTGTCTGTTCATAAATGACTCATTATTTTTGTTTGTACTTGAGCTTTGTCTTATGCAATTCAGTGAATGTTACAGTTTAGAGTAACAACAACTTGAATCTTCTTCTAGAGTTCCACTGCTGTTTTATTTTGCTCTGCTCCCCGTCTTTCCGGTTCCCTCTTCTCTCCTCACGCATATGCACACAACCACCTTTCTTCCTCTGATCCAGAAACATCCTTTATTTATAACTCAGTGTCCTGAACTTTTGTTGTGCTTGAGTTTGATCAAAGTCTAATTTCTTGCGTTGGCATTTTCTTGTCTCGAGCTTTTGAACAATCATTCTGCTGCACAAAACAAAATTAAAGCCAAAGTTTGAACTACTCTTTTGCTCTTATCTTTAATGAGGATTTTGGAGAGCAGTCTCTGGAAGTTGGTGGCTAGAATTGTTGGTTGTTAACTTTCCTTTTTACTAAATCCTTGTGCAGGAGATGAACAAGATTGAGGCATACAAGCAGACAAAAACAGATCCTAAAGAGCTAGTTGAATTTTACAAGAAGCGCCTTCTGGTAAGCTATCGAATATCATCTCCATATTTGCTTGTTATTGTAATAATCGCTTTAGAATCATCTTAGTTGCGACAAAAGAGTAGAAAACCTCAATTTGCTTTCCTTTTTTGCAGGCTCAGTAATGTTCTTACCAGTAACTGTTTTGCATATGTACTTAATAAGAGACTTCATTCTCCTGGGAATGTATCATTGTTGACTATATAATATTTTGTGTTAGTTTGGGATAGTTATCTGCAGTTGATGATTCTGAATCATCAAGGTTTGGTCTTTAGTTCTGGAAGGATCAAATCTATGTTAGTAATAGTTTTCTATTGACGAATGGGGTTTTTGTATCTGGAATACATAAATAAAGATCATATTTATGTGTTACTCCTTTTTCTTGTTTCAGTCACTTAAAATCAACTGGTATTTGTATTTAAAGCACTAGACAATGAGAGCCAACCATTTATCTTTGATTATGGTTAGATCTGACTTACAATCCATTGCCTTTCATAGTTTATTAATTTTTTCTTATATTTAACAATAAAATTTTTAAAATACAAAAGTTTCTATTATTATAATAAATATTTTTATTTTTTAATGAGTTAAAAGATTTTAATATTTTTAACTAATTTTTAATATTACGATCAAATATCGGATGATAAATCATTTGTTTTTCCGAGAAAAAATACTTTCAAAATTAAATTATTTTCTAAAAACAAGCAAAAGGAGAGTTAAAAAAACAGAAAAGAGAGCTGGTAGGTTTTAAAAATTGCCCGGCGGCCACCATGTCTGACCGAATATTTCACCGTATGGAAAAGCGCTTGTCCTGGGACCGTTTGATTTTCGCATACCTAACCTTTATAATTAAGTATGATATGAAAAACTGATTTTCAAACCAATGGCTAGACATTTTGAAATAAAATAAACAGTATCATTTGGCCAATTGGCTTTCCTAAATTTAGGTTTCTGGCTGTCCTCAACAGTCAACGGAATGAACTTCTATTCTCTATATATTCCATCTTAAAGGGAGAATGGAGATGTCTATGTTCATTTCATGTTCTGTCTTCGCATTTCGTCACTGCTAAGATCACCATCGATCGCAGCATCTCCATTCAAGGATCACTATACTTTCAATTCCAAATTATCAATCGCAAAACCGAAAGGCATATACAATTTTCCGGTGAAGAACGCTCATCATCGACTAATGGCTACTGCAGCGTAGGAGTCTTCGAATTTTCTTTCTCTGCAGATTTTTCAATTTTTTGTTTTCGTTTCTTCTGATTAATTTTTTGGAAATTTCTAGTTTTGATAAGAGCGTGCCAGAGAACTTGCTTCCCTCGCTGGATGCCACTTCTGAGCAGCCTCCTGTCTTCGATGGAGCCACAAGGTTTTCTTTTTTTGACTTCTCTAATTACAAGTTTAAAACCCCCTCTTCTTCTCATTTTTGCTTTGCACTTCACACTTCATTTGCTTAATTTTTATGCTACACAAATCATTATAAATTTTTAAGTTTTTTCCCTCTCACTTGAAGGCTGTATACGGCCTACTTATGTCCATATGCACAGCGAGCTTGGATCACCAGAAACTATAAGGTTGCTTAACTTACTTTCTTCATTACTTTGGTCTCTTTTTCAAAAGTTAAATCTTTTCTTTACCTTCAAGTACTGACGAATGATTTATGAGTTGCAGGGGTTACAAGACGACATCAAACTAGTTCCTCTAGATCTTCAAAACAGGCCTGCATGGTATGGAGAAAATGTTTACTCTGTCAATAAGGTCAGTATATATGTCAATTGAAAATAAAGGACTATTCTAGTTTTGTTGGGTTGTAATGAAATCTTCTTACTTGTTTTTAGGTACCAGCTTTGGAACACAACGGAAAAATAATTGGGGAAAGCCTTGACGTGATCAAATACCTCGATAGCAACTTCGAGGGGCAAAGTCTTCTTCCTGATGTAAGATAAGATGTGTATATTCTATCTATTTGCGTCAACTGTGATAGACAGCATTGTATATCGGTATCAGTTTGTCTGGATAGTTTGATTAAATTAATATTGTAAACTCTTGCAGGATCCTGCTAAAAAAGAGTTTGCTGATCAACTATTTTCCTACAGTGATACGTTCAACAAAAATGTGTTCACTTCATTTAAGGGAGATGCAGCAAAAGAAGTTGGTCAGTTCAGTTCTGGATCTTGCTGTGGTTATATGGTTTATATGATATATGCTGACTAAAGTAACTAATTTTGCTTTAGGTCCTGAATTTGATTACTTGGTAAATGCACTTACTAAATTCGATGATGGGCCATTCTTGCTCGGCCAATTCAGTTTGGTAAGTTGAAGTCTCAATTCTCTGTCGACATTTCTTCTTGCTAACATATTGAAAATGGATACTTTCTGTTAGGCTATTTGGAAATGTTTGTCATTGTCATAGATAAACCATTGTTATAAAGCATTATTGAGTCATCTCTCCTTTGACTTTGGAAAAAATTTGTGTTATCCAGGTTGATATAGTCTATATTCCATTTGTTGAAAGATTCCAAATCATATTATCAGAGATTTTCAAATATGATATAACTGCAGGCAGGCCTAAACTTGCAGCTTGGATTGAGGTATGATCTGTTTCTCTGCTTGTTAACTCAGCATTTCTGTTTATGCTGATGCTTTTCTCTCTGTGAAAGAGATATTTCCCCTATTCGATAAATGTCAATTTAGAAAAACTATAACTTTTAGATAGGGGAGGTTGTTGGGAGCCAAGATGGTCACTTTCTCTCACACAAATTTTGTGCAGGAAATGAACAAAATTCAGGCCTATAAGCTGACAAAAAGAGATCCAAATGTTTTTGTTGAGATATACAAAAAGCTCCTTGGGTGAGCCATTATATTTCATCTCAGAGCAATCATTACAATTCAATAATTTGCTTTAAGTCCATGGTGGTTGTGGCAAAGGATTGACACATTCAATTTCCTTTTTATCTTATTTGCAGGATCAGTAACGAATAAATGGTCTTGAAATTGGTTTACAGAGACTGAATAAGAGACTTCATTGCTCCGATGGGATGTTTCTTTATTGAATAAAATATTGTGTTTAAATGTTAGGGATAGAATAGAAGTGCTCGTCTTTTTTTGAATTCTGAAAATCGTCTTAATTATATTGTGTTTGAATTGTCTACCAGTGTTTCTTGAGTTATAAATAAAGAGCAAACCTTTCTGTTACTACTTCTCTTTTTCTTAATCTCAGTTAATTTGATTAATAAGTATTAACTGTTAAACTGTTAATCTTTCTTCTTCCATGTTCCTTGCCTGAGATGCTTCAATTTAGGATCATAGATTTATGGGAGATTCAGAATGAAGATATGTGTGTATGTCCTTGACAATTGTAGTTGAACGAGAGTTTACCATGAATATGAATCCAGTAACAGTGTGAGTGTTAATGGTTCAGTTTGTTTCGATTTCGAGACTTATCGAAGCCAAATCAATAATAAAGTTTTATAAAAATTCAAATCGAACCGAATCATGAAAAATATTTAAATTAATTAAGTCTATGTATGTGGCTTTGTTCGGTTTGGTGTTATTTGTTATGTCCTTATTATATTTTTTCAATTGAAAAAAATAATTAAAGATCATAGTTTAATCAATACATTAATATGTATTAATATACTTTCAATGTATGAACTCTCCACATGTGGGTTTAATTTATCAAAATATCATAATCTTTACAAGTTTTTGCTAAGTTGGTTCTGTTTTGGCATTTCCATTTTATAATAATAGCACAATCATTGCAAACTGCAAATACAAAAGCACTTCCATCATTTTTTTTAAGTATAATATCTCATTATTGAAGAAATAAAAAAATTAATTAATATATAATAAAATTCTTTATGTTATTTAAATATTAAATTATATTCCCATTTAGTGAGCAGTACATTGTACTTAGAAATATATAGGCTAAATATACAATTATTTTTAATTAAAAACTGTTTTTTTGTTAAATAAAAAATAATATAACATATTATCATCTAAAAAATTACAAAAAATAAGAATTCTTTATCCTTAACATATAAATAAACAATATAAAAATTCAAAATATTTATTAAAAAGTATTATTTTATTAATTTAATTTTTATGCTATGTTTGAATAATACATTTATGAACTACTTTTTCCAGAACGTATAAAACGTTTGTCTGAACACTATGAATGTGTCCCAATTTTACGGAGCAATTCAGTTCTCTCTCTTCCCACTCCCACTGCGTCACTGCTAAGATCACCATCTTGGCTTCACCAACTCTATATAAGGAGGACACTGCATAATCAAATTCCATATTATCACTCACAGAAACAAAAGGCGTAGAGAATTCTCAAGAGAAGAAGCATACACAAATGGCTGCTACTGCGTGAGAATCTGAATCTTCAAATTTTAATTCTTTGTAGTTTTTTCTAAATTTCTTTCATTCTTTTTGAATTAACTAATGTATTTTTTGGAATTTTCAAGCCTGGATAAGAGTGTGCCAGAGAACTTGCCTCCTGTCTTGGATGCCAGTGCCGAGCAGCCTCCACTCTTCAACGGAACCACAAGGTTTCCCCTTTTTCCTTCTTCTCAATCGGAGCATTCTGTCTTTTTTTCTGTTTTGGCTACGTATTGTAACTATCACAAGAAAATATTTGTTTTTGCCGCTATTTTTAAAATTTTTTTTCCCTTTGAAGGCTGTATACCGCCTACATATGTCCATATGCACAGCGAGTGTGGATCACCAGAAACTATAAGGTTGCTTAATTTACTCTCTTGCCACTTTGGGATCTCTTCAAAAGTTTCTCTTTTTCCCATTTCTTTCCAGAACTGATTGATGATTTGAGAGGTGCAGGGACTACAAGACAAGATCAAACTAGTTCCTCTAGACCTTCAAAACAGGCCTGCATGGTATGGGGAAAAAGTTTACCCTGCCAATAAGGTCAGTATAGCTGATACATCTTCTTTTTTTATTATTTTTTCATGAATTGGTGCTAGCTTAGCTACAATAACATATTGTTGTATTAATTTTCTCAGTTCTGGAGTACTGCGGTTGTTTGGAAGGCATTAAAATAAAACAAACTGTTTACTATTTTATATTTTGGCGTATGAAAGTTGGGAGTAAGGCGATCTATGTTTTGTTGTGGAAATGTCAATAAAATGAAATCCATTTTCTTAGATTGTATATAAGAATTGCAGAGTTTTTGAAATATATTTCTTTTTATTTGAATGACTCAAACTTAGGGCAAATCATATGTTTTTATTTATGTTCTTATACTGTTATTATTGTATTTGCTTTGATTATCTACACTAAAATTGGGATGAGAATTGCCATCCATTTTCTTTGCTAACCCATTTTCCAAGTGAACCGAGCTTGCTCTAAAAAGAAATATTCGTGGAACTTATTGTTTTTGGAGCTAATAAGCTCTTGTATAGTTTAATATTTGAACTAGTTGAGCAGAACACTGCACTTCTCTTGAACTTTATCTCATTATGCTAATTTCATATTGTTGTTGGTGAAGATATTAAGGAGATTTTCTAGTTTTCTAGGATGACAATGAAAATGCTCTTGTTAATTTGAAGGTGCCATCTTTGGAGCACAATGGAAAAGTCACTGGGGAGAGTCTTGATCTGATTAAATACCTTGATAGCAACTTTGAAGGGGAATCTCTTCTTCCTGATGTAAGACGTATAGTATGAAACTATTAAAGGTCACATTCTAAGTTTGTCTGTTTGTGTAAGAAGATGGACTAATTAGTGCTGTAATTATTGCAGGATCCTGCTAAGAAAGAGTTTGCTGAAGAGTTATTTTCCTACACCGATACATTCACTAGTATTGTTCTTACTTCATTTAAGGGAAAAGCAGCAGAAGAAGCTGGTCAGTTCTAGAACTTGCTGTTGTTGTGGGTTCCTTTCCATGTATAAACTGTGCCAACTGAAATACTCCCTTTATTTAGGTCCTGCTTTTGATTACTTGGAAAATGCTCTTCATAAATTTGATGATGGGCCATTCTTCCTTGGCCAATTCAGTTTGGTAAGTTGCACTTTCATTTTATGTTGATTGTTCTTCTGTATTTCACGATTTGGAAATGCATGCTATAAGTAAACTAGTGTCATAATATATATATCTGATTATTCTGCTTCTGACTTCGATAAAATTTTATCTTCTCTAGGTAGATATAGCCTATGCACCATTTGTTGAAAGATTCCAAGCCTTCTTATCAGAGGTATTCAAATATGATATCACTGCAGGCAGGCCTAAACTTGCAGCATGGATTGAGGTATGGTCGGTTTCTGTCCTATGTACTCGGCCTTTCTGTTTGAGCTTGTGCTTTATGTGAAAGAGATCTATTTCCATATTCAATGATTGTCAATTTAGAATTACTATACTTCTGAGACGTTCTTCTTCTGTGTCTCTCTGCTATTCTAATTCACTCACATCTCTCACATTTCCATTTCCTTAATTTCTTAAGCTTAAGCTTATGAACAACAAGTTGCTTCTCATATTCCAAATAAATCTAAGGAATTCATTTAGTAAAAATAAAAGTATCACTGTCTTTTTGCTATAGTAATAAAAGGTGACACTATAAATTTTGTACTCAATTCTTACATTGAACTAGGATTTTGTAAAATGATTGGTGGTGGTTTGTTGGGGTATGAGGTTTTTATTGTTGTTTGGTCTGAAAATCCCATGTGCAGGAGATAAACAAGATTGAGGCTTACAAGCAGACAAAAAGAGATCCTAAAGAGTTTGTTGAATTATACAAGAAGCGGTTTCAGGTTACCCATCAAACCTTATCTCTATCTGACAATGTAATAATTTGCTTTAATAAATTCATGGTGGTTGTGGCAAGAAGATTGACATTCAATGTCTTTTCCTTATTTTTGCAGATTCAGTAATTAGCAATTGCAATGGTCTTGAATTGACTGACGTTGCTCTCCATATGAACAAAATAAGAGACTTTGAGATAGAAAATTAGAAATGCACTTGTCTAGATTCTTGATTCCTCAAACTCATGTTCCTATTGATAATTGTCTACCTCTATGTATCTTTTATGAATAAGGAGCAACCTTTTTGCTGTATTATTATTATTTTTTTTAAATAATATTACTAAAACTATGATATTTTAATTGCTCAACACTAGATTTTTAAGATTCCTATTTACTTTGAAGAATTCTTTAATGGAAAAAGTAAAATATTATGTTAAATAATCTAAAAGATTTTGATTAATACTATTTAAAAATCTAAATGTTTAGATGTATAAAATAAATATTTTATGTAAATTGAATAATTTTCATAATAAAAAATGGGGAAATAAAAATGACCTACCATGAAAATTACTATTTTTACGAAAAAAAAATATAAAATTTAAGAATCCAATTGAAACAATAAATAAAAGTTCACAATTTAACATACAAAACAGAATATATTCAAAATTTTTAAAATTATATTTTTTTTCCCCTAATAATAGTTATATTGTATCATATTATTTAAAATAATATTATATATTTATAATGGGAAATAAAAATGACGCTTACCCATGAAAATTACCTATTTTTTTTACGAAAAAAAATATAAAAATTTAAGAATCCCAATTGAATACATAAATAAAAGTTCAACAATTTTAAACATACAAAAACAGAATTATATTCAAATTTTTTAAATTATATTTTTTTTCCCGCCTAATTAATATGTTTATATTTGTTTATCATATTATTTAATAATATTAATATTTTATAAATAAATAAATAATATAATTTACAAAACCGGGAATAAAGAGTTGCGGGTATACATATTGGCCAATGGCCGGTTCAAAATGAACATGCCGGTTCGAATGTTTAAATAATTTTGACGCGGTAAGCCGACCCTTGTTAATCTTCCGGTTCGGTTTCCGGTTCCAGCGCGTTTCAGCTTACGGTTCCCGAGAGATTAGATCTTTCTTTCATTAATTTAGCGATACCGACGGTTCAATTTATGTGACGAGTTCGATTCGGTTTATTTCCAGCATTATTTCAGCAAATTTTAAAAAAAATAATAAATATTTTGAATTCCGAATTCATGAATAATAATATTTTAAAAATGTTAAATTTTAATTTTGAACTATAATTAAATTATGGTGTGAGTAAAATTTTAAATTCAATTCTTCTATTATTTATTGAGACTATATTATCTGCGTACACTTGAAGTTACTAAATTTTGTCTACTTCATTTCTATAATTATTAGAAAATCGTAAAAAGGTGTTTTTATTTTGGGCTTGAATTAAATTGAAAATTGAAAATTTTAATTTAATTAGCCTACGTATCCCTTTGAAAATTAGAAAAGATCGGAAAGCCCCACATAGTTTTTCTTTTTTTTTTAGGTTTTACATTGGAAAATAACCTCCCATTATTAAAATTAATTTTAAGTCATTTCCGTGCCACTAGTTCCCGTTATGAGTCGGAATCATCATCGTCGCTTTGAATTTTTGCTGGTCTTTTGAGTTCTTCAAACATCGCTCTAGTCCAAATCGTCAAACACTCCTGATTTCCACATTATTTATGGCGATAATCTTTGACCGTGCTGGACTCTAAATTGTCCACTCCGCACTAAAAGCTTGTTCATTCTGCAAACAGTAGAAATTGGACTTAACATTGATATCTTTTGCAAATGAAGCTAAGACTGGAAAAGCGATTTGCCATGCTTTTTCCACCAACCAAAATATCAATTTTTGTTAGGTCTTCATTCGCATCATCAGCTTAAAAACTGAAAATCTGTGCTAATAATTTCTTTCAATTTTTGTGTATGAATGTAGACCCTCCCTTGATTTTTTTGAAAAAACATTTTGTAATGAGGTGAATTGTGTAGAATGATTTTTTCTTTTTACAATGAACTATTATTTTTTTCTTTTACAGATGAATCATTATATTCAATGAATAGTCCATTTGTAAAAAAGAAAAAAAATTATATGTAAAAAAAAAAGGTTCATATTGATGGCTAGTTTGAACCTTTTTTTTCTAACGCAATTGTCAAATGATTTAATGATATTTGCTTTTTTTTCAACTCTTTTTATATTTAAATTATGTATGATTGTGTTCTTCTTTTCCATCATAAATCAAATCAAATCAGAGTATTTTGATATAAATTTTTTTATAAATAAATTTTAAGTAACAAATATTTATATTTGTGAATCTGGTTCGAACCGAAACGCGAAACTTGCCGGTTAACCGTCGATTTTGGGTTACCGATTCGGTTCAATTTTTAACATTTTACATGAACCTTAAACCGGTCTTTGAATTCCATCGGTTTTTTTCCCGGTTCAAAATTTTAAACAATAATTTTTTGATCTGATTTTAATTCATCTACAATATAATTCGATTCTGATTAAAACCGAAACTGGTGGCTATGTCTCATACGGTGATATTAGGCTCGTAAAGATTTAATAGAATGCCAGCATCATTATATTTGGATATAACAGCAACGGTCAAAGTGTGTGTTAATTTTAATTGGGTGACGTTGTGGCTGGTAAACAAGCTGACGCCACGTTAGGCGCACGCCACATTATTTGGCGATAATCTTGACCGTGCTGGATCTAAAATTTGTCCACCCGCACTAAAAGCTTGTTCCACTGCAACAGTAGAAATTGGACAAGCAATGATATCTTTTGCAAATGAAGCTAAGACTGGAAAGCGATTTGCATGCTTTTTCCACCAACCCAAAATATCAAATTTTGTTAGGTCTTCATTCGCATCATCACCTAAAAACTGAAAATCTGTGCTAATATATTTCTCAATTTTTGTGTATGAATGTAGACCCTCCCTTGATTTTTTTGAAACATTTTGTATGAAGGTGAATTGTGTAGAATGAAATTTTTTTCTTTTTACAAATGAACTATTATTTTTTTCTTTTTACAGATGAACTATTATACATGAATAGTCCATTTGTAAAAAGAAAAAAAATTATATGTAAAAAAAAAAAGGTTCAAATGGCTAGTTTGAACCTTTTTTTTCTACCAATTACGTCAAATGATTTAATGATATTGCTTTTTTTTCACTACTTTTTATAAATTATGTATGATTGTGTTCTTCTTTTCATCATAAATCAAATCAAATCAAGTGATATAAATTTTTTTATAAAAAATTTTAAGTAACAAATAATTTTATTTGTGAATCTGGTTCGAACCGAACCGAAACTGCCGGTTAACCGTCGATTTTGGGCCGATTCAGGTTCATTTTTAACATTCACATGAACCTTAACCGGTCCTTGAACCATCGGTTCCGGTTCAAAATTTTAAACAATAATTTTGATCTGATTTTAATTCATCTACAATATAATTCGATTCTGATTAAAACCGAACTGGTGGCTATGCATACGGTATATTAGCTCGTAAAGATTAATAGAATGCCAGCATCCAATATGGATATAACAGCAACGGTCAAAGTGTGTGTTAATTTAATTGGGTGACGTGTGCTGGTAAAAGTGCGCCACGTTAGGCGCACGGAGGCAGGCAGCAAAGCAAGTCCCGAATTAAAGCGAAACCAGAAACCCGCGAAAGAAGCAGCACGTGACAATCGTTGTTGTCTGTTGGACAAATTTCGAGGGAAAAATGGAGTCAGCAGCTCAACACTTCGAAGCCGGAAATTTTTGATCCTTTGATCGAAGATGGCGGAGAAGAACTTCAATCTCCTCCACACTTCCCAAGGCAGAAGGTAACAATATTTTCATTTTCAAATGGCTGTCCACGCGTCGCTTAACGCTAAACTTTCTCAAAGATCAAAACTCACTTGGATTGATTGATTGATATCTAAATTTTTATTTTCTGCAACACAAATTTAGAATTTTGTTTCCTTGTTCTAATAGTAGTAGGGCAAGGATAGGGTAAGGTTAGATTGTCTGTCTGTTTGTTAGATTATGTGGTATGAGGGATGGACTTGTAAGGTTGTTTTGAAAGAGAGGAGAGCTATGGGAAGTAGAATTGGAATTCTACGTGAAGTATGTTGTTGTCCTTGTTGAGTAGGCGCTCATTGGATGTTGATTCCAGGCAAGTTTTGTAATAAATTCTGCTTATGTTGAGGATCGAATCGTATTAGAATTTTGGAATATTTATGTATTAATTTTTGCATTTGGGTTTCTAATTAATTATCATGATTTCCGACAGGGATGCTTATGGATTTGTTTTGAGACCTCAACACATACAACAATATAGACAATACATTAGTATCTACAAGGTATAAATCCCTTTGATATTTGTTAGGAATAATAAATTGAAAAATTGAAGTGAATTAAGCAGTTCATTACATTTGGATTTTTAAGTATAAAATGTAAATCCACACTTCTTAAATCTCACTAGCAAAGATACGTTTTAAGTAATTTTCTTATCAATTTACAACTGCTGCACTTGTGTTTGGAAGTAAGTAGTGAATCTATTATTGTTTCAGCAAAGGTTAAGACGGCAAATTTTTTTCCTGATAAAGCAAATTTCAGGTTTAGAGAGGCACTCATTTTCCATTGTAATTTTAGAAGATATGCAACGTGTTATCTTTGTGCTTCATGTCAAATTGTCTTTTAAGATGTTACTTTTTTGGATAGTTCCATCAAGTTTTTCCATTGAGAACAGACTCGAATTAGAATCAATAAAGGTAAAAGGTACTTTTTCTCCTCAGCTTAGTATTGTATTCATGATTTCAGGAGGAAGAAGAGGAAAGATCAGAGAAATGGGAGATTTTTCTTCAACATCAATTAGAATCTAGTCAGTTTTGCTTAGCTGAAGAGGAATCCAGAGAGAGATTGCAGGCTGAAACTACTGGCTTGGATGAACAGATCATTTCAGAAAGGGGCCTAGAGGGGAATGATTGTAGTTGGAAGAAGTCTGATTTTGATGGTTCAACAGACTGTGATCCTAAAAAGGAGTTGCAATTTTCAGAGGAACCTGTGAGACAGGCCCAATTTTCAGGGGAATGTCAAAAAGAGGAGCAGTCTTCAGAAGAGCCTGAAAACCAGACACAACTTTCCAAAGAACCTGGAAAGGAGGACCATATATCAGGGGAATCTGAACAAGTGGTACAGAATTTGGAAGAACCAGAAAAAGAGGTGCAGCTTCCAGAAGAACCCAAAAGGGAGGAGCCGCTTTCAAAACAAACAAAGGCTGGTAAGGTTCAAATATGGTCACGAATTAGACTCTCTCTCCATGCCATTGAGAGTACAATGAGTTCACGTGTTAAGAACATAAAGAATATGAAAGGCAATCAGAATAGTTCAAGTAGAGATCAACTTCTGTCAATAAAAGAGGCAGAAGTTGTAGGAGAAGAACCAAAGGATGATGTTGAGGGAGATGTTTTTGTTAAGGACAGTTCAGATGAAAAGGTTGATACACCTCTACAAGAAAATTCTGCACATGTTGAGAAATCTCCAGAGCTGTTCTTTCCTTGGAAACAAGAACTTGAGTTCCTTGTTCGTGGGGGAGTGCCAAAGGATCTCAGAGGAGAGGTAAAGCTGACACAACTTAGTTTGTCAATGACTCAATGTGCTTTTAGTTATTTGTAACATAAATTCATATTCATCATGCTTCATCCTGTAGGTATGGCAAGCCTTTGTCGGTGTAAAGGCACGCCGAGTGGAGAGGTATTATGAGGAGTTGCTGGCTGAAGAATCTAATGCTGATGAAAGCAATGACCTTAGTAACTCAACCAGCGTCCCCATGAAGTGGAAAAGGCAGATTGAGAAGGTCGTTAGATGCATGCGCCTTGGACTTTATCCTTCAGTCTTTTAAATTTGTAGGTGCTGCTTCTTTTGCTTTCAATTGCAATCCAGGTTTCTCCCTAGAATGATTTTTATGTTTATATTGCAGGATATACCACGAACTTTCCCAGGTCATCCTGCTTTGGATGAGCATGGCAGGGATTCCTTGAGGCGTCTACTGTTAGCATATGCACGGCATAATCCCTCTGTTGGGTATTGTCAGGTAGTTGGCGACCACTTTCTTTGTGCATACAAACTTTACCCAGACAAATTTTTATTTTACTTGCTTCCATATTTCCAATTTGGATCGAATTTTGTGTAGTCACTGCTTTTATGAGTCTCCTGAACTCCATGACAATTATCAACTGTTGAAAATAAATAAATAAATAACAGAGAATGTCTTGGAAATCTCCCTCTCTCTCTCTCTCTTGATTCTCCTCTTTCTTTCTCTCTTCCCTCACTTCTTCTCTCTCTGTCGTTTGTTCTTTCACTTTGGATCTTTATAGCTGATGTCTGATTCTGGACGCCCATTTGTTTTGGACATTCTTCTTTTGTTTATATAATAAACAAATTGAAAGTAAAGAGATCATAGCTTCACCAAGGTTCTGATGCTGGTTCCAGGATTATATCCAAATCAAATTCTAATCAGCCAACCATAACAATGACAAAAAATATGAGGCAGTAACAGAAAATAGAAAATTTCAATACTATTAAAGTTATATTTACTTTGAGTTTTTGAGGTTCGAGCATGTCAATGCTTTGGTTTCTTTTCTGAATGAAGTCCTTGTCACTCAAGAAGTATTTTTTTAATAGATTTGAATTTGATTTTCTTGCAAGTCAACGTCATTGGCGTGCTTAACTTTGGCAAGTGATTGTGTTCTGTTGTAAACTTTATCACTTGCTTCACTTGGTTGTCTTCTTACTATATAACCCTTGTATTTACTTCATTTAAAGGGAACCATCAAACAGCTACTTGATTAAAATAGATTGGTATAATCATTCTCATTATTTACTTAGTTTGAAAATAAATGCAGGCAATGAATTTCTTTGCTGGATTATTGCTACTTCTGATGCCTGAGGAAAATGCCTTTTGGTATGTTGGAGAAGCTCTATCTCCTTTTTTTTTTTAGGCAGAAAAGCACTAAAAAGAATTATGGAAAGATTATTGACCAGAGCATAATATATGAATGGTCACTGTTTATATCTGGAGTAAAGTTATATTCTCTCTTTCTCATGACACAAGATTTCATTTCTCTCTTCATTGTTGACTTGAAAATTAGCAAATTATCTGTTTCTCAGTTCCCTAATATAAATGAATGCACCATATATCTATTTGTACATTCATGATATGCACAAATGCACATTACAATTATATGCGGATAAGCTTGATGGACTGGTATGTTTTGCTGGAATCTCTCAGGACTTTGGTGGGCATTATCGATGACTATTTTGATGGCTACTACACAGAAGAAATGATAGAATCTCAGGTCTGAGGCATTCCTTGAAAAAGCATTTGTTTTTTGCTTTAGCGTATTTTTGGATTATGGTAGGTCAATTTTTTATGTGGAAAGTGATGACTTTCTGTTATTTGATAAGTTATTTATGTGGTTAGGTGGATCAACTTGTTTTTGAAGAGTTGATGCGAGAAAGATTTCCTAAATTGGGTTTGTCCTTGCATAAAGCTGGCTATGCTTAGTATCATGTTTTACGATTCTTCTCACATAAATCTCTAGGAATAATTTTCATCTCATTTGTACCTCTTGTGCAGTTAATCATCTGGATTACTTGGGAGTGCAGGTGGCATGGATCTCTGCACCTTGGTTCCTTTCCATCTTTGTCAATATGATTCCTTGGGAAAGTGGTGAGCTTGTGGCAGTTTGATTTGGCATAAAATCTTATATAGAATTTTGATTTATTTAATTTATGTTTTCTTTGTTCTCTTGCTTCAATATTGACACTGAACCATAATGGTTCCTTTTTCAGTTCTCCGAGTTTGGGATGTTCTCCTTTATGAAGGAAATAGGGTGATGATGTTTCGAACTGCACTTGCTTTAATGGAATTATATGGTACTGGTGTTAATTTATATTATAATAAGAAGTATTATTACTTTCTTTATGCTATGATTTCAGTCTTTCTGTTTCAAGGGGTGAAGAATTCTGTTCCATGCAATTCTTTTAGGTCCTGCCTTAGTGACAGCTAAAGATGCTGGGGATGCAATTACTTTGTTGCAATCACTTACAGGGTCAACATTTGACAGCAGCCAGCTTGTTTTTACTGCTTGTATGGGGTTTTTGGCTGTAAATGAAGCTAAATTACAAGAATTGAGAGAAAAGCATAGACCGGCTGTACTGCTGGTAATAGAGGAAAGATCAAAAGGGGGTAGAGCTTGGAAGGATTCAAAGGTTGCTTCTAAGTTGTACAGTTTTAAGCGCGATCCTGGAGAAGGAAAAAAGACTGGTGAAGGAGGTGAGTCTAAATTGGAGAATCAGTCCTCTAATCTGGATGGTGTAACCGCTAAATCTGAAGGAGATTCATTACCAGATCTTCAGGAACAGGTGCATTTCTCTTTTTCTTCTTTGTACTTCAGTACTGCCTTATTGAAGTGTATGGAATCTGTCAACCAGAATGCTAGTTGAATATTTAGAAAAATCTGTATCAGTCATTGATATCGTTGTCAGGTCTGACTCAATTTTTTTTTTTTAAAATTATAACACCCACATCAGGTGATGTGAACTGCTTAGATATAGTCATTAACTCTTACAGTGTCAACATAACGGTTCAGTTTAATAACGTGATAAAGAATTAACATATTCATGTTAAAATATATGAATTGACATTTTTAATAATATAAACTGATGCCAACTATAGAAACATGGATGTGCGTGATATATGAAAAGGCAACATGGTAAATATTATTAATTTTAAGCATTTGACAATGACTCTCTCTCTCAGGTATTAACTTCATCATCACAAGTTTATATAGCTGCATAATTATCAAAAACAAGAATTGCTTGGCAGAAAATATATTCTTACTTTTAACTGACCATTGTCAAATATTCCATAATTGAATAATGTGCAGGTATTCAAGTAAGCTTGTAGCATTTTGCTTGAAATATTAGAAAAAGTGCAAGTTATTGTTTTCCACTCATTTTAAATTTCAGCCGTAACAGCTATTGTGCAGGTGGTTTGGTTGAAGGTAGAATTGTGCAGGTTGCTGGAGGAGAAAAGATCTGCCATACTCAGGTTAGTACCTTTTTTGGAGTCTAATTTTACATCTTTCAAGGATGTAGCTGCTTTATTGCGTATATATAGTGAAGATAACACAACAAACATGACTGCAGTAAGGTAAAAAAGGAAATGTTAGTGTCCTGGTAGCCCACTCAATCCTGTTAGATCCCATTGTTTATTTGCATTGACTATTCTGCAGTTATGGTGTCTTAACCTGCATTTCTTTTTCTTCCCAAAAAAAAAAAAAAGAAAGAAAAAACTGCATTGTTTAATTTAACCCTCTTTCTTGTGTTGCTCATATTCTCATAAGCATTAATTTTCATTGACACGCACACTCTGTCTAATTTTCTTTCTATCAGTTGTTTCCTTAAGCGCTATTCATTGCAGCAATGGACATTCATGTTAGCTGATAGTTGGAAATCAGTTCCAAAGTTAGGACTGCCTTACAACAATAATTGTAATTCCTTGTTTACCAATCCATTTCATCTTGTGCATGCACCCATGAAAATCGCATTCTATTTATGAGCAGATCTGAGGAGCTGGAGACAGCATTCATGGAGATGGTCCAGGAAGATAATAGACGGCAACTGAGTGCAAAGGTACATTTAATATTGATTTGGACAACTGTTAATCCAGGTTTGGAGGTTTTTGTCCTGTTTTTAGAATTTTCCCAGTCATCTGCGTACATTTCATGGACCTGTGTAGTTGAATACCCTGTATAAAGCATTACAAATCCATCAGGCAAATTCTGTCAATAATGTTGTGATTTGTATTCTTTGATGTTTGGATTGATGGAGATTGCTGCACAATTTCTTTAGAGATCTTGTCTTCTGTTTTATTTGAAATTTAAATCCTAAATGACTAAACCTAGTACACTAGGTTTCTATTGTGGATTGGTATGGAACTGATTAAGAGAAGCCCATTAAGTACCCAATCAATTTAAGAAGTATAAAAGGAAAGTAATTCATTGATAGATCCACCAAGGCACCAAAATAAAGATTATCTTCGCTTTGAGCTAGGAAAATAGTAATGAAGTATAGAAACTGTTCTATCTATTTGAGCTTCTTCCTTATGAAACTTGAGATTTATTCTGCAGATTGAAGAATTGGAGCAAGAGGTAGCTGATCTGCGAGAAGCCCTTGCTGACAAGGAAGAACAGGAAGCTGCAATGCTTGAGGTTAACATTTCGTAATATTTTCTTTGATGATTGAATATTCACTTGCATCTAGTTCTTGAAGAATGCAATACATTTATTCTATAAGGAATCCTACATATTTTGCAGATTATTTATCATTTTGTAGGTCCTGATGCGGGTAGAGCAAGAACAGAGGATAACTGAAGAAGCTCGTATAAATGCTGAGCAAGATGCAGCTGCTCAAAGATATGCAGTAACTGTACTTCAGGTAGCTTCTAGCTTTCTAGCGTTCTTCTTGTTTAGCAGTGCAACTGTTTGGTTGCAGATATGCATTTGTGGAAAATGAAAAGATTTTCAAATAGTTTTGTGGATTCGAATAAGCTACCCATTTATCTTCTAAGTTAACTTTACAGATAAATGAGTCTTCCTAGTACTTCATTAGCGAACTAAATCTTACCAAGACGCTCAACACATTCAGAGGCTTTTTTTTAGATGCATATTTATTAACACTGCCTTGTTCCTGGTTATGTTTTATCTCAATTGTTCTTTTTGGATGTTGATCTAAGCTTGAAATTAATTTAGTCCTTGCATCGTTGTGGATTTGATAAATGCTAAACAACTAGTCCTTCATATAGTTTGTTCTATATCCACCTTCCTATGCCAAATTTTTATGGCTGTTAAAAACGGCTATTTAATGAGACTGCTGCAACTTCTTCGTGGAAGGTTATTTTGTTTTTCTCTCTGCACAGAATCAACAATAGAGGCTGCATTGATGTAATAATATATTTCACTTGCTATCTTTACGATATGCTATTATATCAATTCACATCAAAACAATAATATGTGCAGGATAAATATGAGATGGCCATGGCTTCACTTGCTCAGATGGAGAAAAGAGTGGTTATGGCAGAATCAATGTTAGAGGCTACCATAAATTACGAATCTGGACAAGCTAAAGCACAATCTTCTCCACGGTACAGAAGAAAAATCATCACTATTTTCTATATTTTTCTAATTGCTGAGGTATGTAATGATTGAAAATAATTGGTTCTGCATTGCGTGAATATGTGTGACTATGAGAACTCTTATTAAATTGACACTTTTACATACCCCTTTTGACAAGTCCAGAGCTAACAATGAAATTGTAAAATGAAACATTCCTGAAAATCCTTGTAAAAAGCCTCTAGACGTTTGACTTTCCAATGAATAAATGTTTAAATTACATCTAACTAGTTTTAGTGAAAGCTGAAATGCTAACAACTCCTTTCTGCATGATAGTTCTTTCATGCTTTACGGCCTTGTGATTTTTAATAAACAACAACATGCAGGACTCAAGATTGTGTTTGGCATTATTACAAAGTGTCAGTCTCCCTCAAAATAAATAAATAAATAGATTGCATGCTAAACTTGTTATAAGTTTTATAATAGCTTCCTTGCAATTGAAAGATATGCATTGACAGGTGAGCACCCTTTTTAAGTGTTCCTTTTTCAATGGCCATGAGTCTCCAGGGAATGCTAAAAGAGTAGGATACTGGGGATTTATGTCTCAATTTGAGTGTATTTGTGACTCTAAGTGGCAACTACTTTATATATGCAACTTGCAGGTCAGCCCGTAATCAAAGTTCCACAGGAGAAAGCCCCAGAAGAAGGATTAGCTTATTGAAATTTGGCCTCGGTTGGCGCGACAAGAACAAGGCAAGCGTTTTTTTTACTTGCACCCTATTTTTTGGTGGCTGTAAAAACATGAGAGAGGGAGCATAGCATAGAAAAATACTAAATAAAAAATATTGTTGAATGGAAAACTTGACAAGTGTTTTGTTAAAACTTGGTTTAAGGTAGCAATGTATACAGTCCCAAACGTGAACTGTTTTTATTTTGTGTGACAGGACAAATCGAACGAGGAGATCGGAGATGGTGTATCCAGTAGCAATGAGGGATGAGATCCAAGTACATAGCAGGCTGGAATAAAGAAAGCAAAGACCAGAGAAGAACTTTTAGCAGAGAATTTTGTCTGTAATTATGCACTTCATATTATTGTGTACATTGAAATTGAATTGATAAAAGTAAACTTACATATTGTCTAATGTAAATAAGATTATCTACTATATAATTATACATTATACTTTATTCAATTTATTTTGCTATTGGAGAATTGTTTTTTTTTTTTTTTTTTTGCAAGTGCGTTTTTTTTTACTTGCATCTCCATATTTTTTGGTGGCTAGTTAAAAACATGAGAGAGGGGGATGCATAGCAATAGAGAAAAATACTAAATAATATTGTTTGAATGGAAAACTTGACCAAGTGTTTTGTTAAAACATTGGTTTTAAGGTAGCAATGTACAGTCCCAAACGGGGTGAAGCTGTTTTTTAATTTTGGTGGTGACAGGACAAATCTGAACGAGGAGATCGGAGAATGGTGTATCCAGTAGCAATGAGGGATGAGAAATCCAGTACATAGCAGGCTGGAATAAAAGAAAGCAAAGCCAAGAGAAGAACTTCTTAGGCAGAGAATTTGTATCTTGTAATTTATGCACTTCACTATTATTGTGTACATTGAAATTGATTGATAAAAGTAAACTTACCAATTGTCTAAATGTAAATAAGATTATCTCTTACTATATAATTATACATTATACTTTATTCAATTTATTTTGCTTATTGAGAATTGTTTTTTTTTTTTTTTTTTTTTTTTTTTTTTATCATTAATAAACCGTAGGTTCTTTGTTTTTTCAATATTTGCAATTTTATTTTTAAATTTTGATTTTTTTTTTGGTAAAAAAAAAAAAAATACCATGTTTAACATAACATCATTCATAATTCATTAACATTCTTTCTTTCTTCTTTTATTATAAAACTTGAAAGCTTAAATTAGTGAAGCAAATCGAAAGAGAAACTATAACAACTTATAGATGAAACCATAATAAGAATTCAGAACTATAAACAACAATTATAAAAACCTTTTATTTTGAACTTCCTGAAACTGAAACTGCATACCTATTACACATTGATTATCCAACCCAATTGATCTCTTATATTGTTCAATCCAAAAAAAAAAAAAAATGGAAAAAAAAATGGATTAACCTTTAAAAAACAAAGAAAGAAAAAATGTACAACAACAGGCTGAAGTCAGGCCAGGCATAGGTAGAATATGTGAGGAAAATAGCTGGCCCAATATTCTGAATCCAGTGAACCCATAATGATTTGGTCTTCACCAATACCTCCAAAGTCTCTGTCCTACTGGTATTTCACAGGATAAAGGATATTGCAAATTCCGCAGAACATAGTCATGAAAGCAGATTTTTACAAACTTCTCACTATTATTATCTGCCAACTGCCGGTGAATTCCCTTTTTTTGTTGGTCAGAATAGACATCAAAGTTTTCAAATAAACTAGCCTCCATAACCTTTTTTTAAGTTCAAGCCTGCTTCTAACTAGCGGGAGCCTGTGAATGGTTTCAGATGCTGCTGAACCTGTGCCCCTCCAGAGGCATGTCATGATTATGTTTTCCCCCTCGTAAGTTTGTAATAAAAGCTCCGGATCATCCTGGATACTCTCTTCTAACATACTTTGCGAACGTTTGGCACTTCAAGCAGCCCAGTACATCTATAACTCGCTTCTGTAAGAATGCATCAAAATAGGTCTGTCCGGAAGTTTTAAGAAGAATAGAAGAGAGAATTCTCATAAGAGAGAAAATATGTAACCTTGAATATGACTAAAGAGGAAAAAATCATCTCCAACTGGGATATGGATTTCCCTTCACAAAAACTTTCTGCCCAATATTTTCCGCCAGGCGAAAACCATCACTACATCTAGTTTTCTGTGGAATTTTGTACCACTGGCCCAAAAAAAAAAAAAAATGGATAACCTTTAAAAAAAAAGAAAGAAAAAATGTACTAACAACAAGGCTGAAGTCAGGCAGCAATAGGAGAATATGTGAGGAAAATAGCATGGCCAATATTCTGAATCAGTGAACCCATATGATTGTCTTCACCAATAACCATCAAGCTCCTGCTACTGGTATTTCACAGGATAAAGATATTGCAAATTCCGCAGAACATAGTCATGAAGCAGATTTTACAACTTCTCACTATTATTTATCTCCAACTGCCGGTGAATTCTTTTTTGTTGGTCAGAATAGACATCAAGTTTCAAATAACTAGCCTCCATAACCTTTTTAAGTTCAAGCCTTGCTTCTACTAGCGGGAGCCTGTGAATTGGTTTCAGATGCTGCTGAACCTGTGCCCCTCAGAGGCATGTCATGATTATGTTTCCCCTCGTAAGTTGTAATAAAAGCTCCCGGATCATCTGATACTCTCTCTACATACTTGCGAACGTTGCATTTCAGCCCAGTACATCTATAATAACTTCTGTAAGATGCATCAAAATAGGCTGTCAGGAAGTTTTAAGAAAAGATAGAAGAGAGAATTCTCATAAGAGAGAATATTAAACCTTGAATATGACTAAAGAGAAGAAAATCATCTCAACCTGGGATATGGATTTCCCTTCACAACTTTCTGCCCATATTTTCGCCAGCGAAAACCATCACCTACAATCTCAGTTTCTGTGGAATTTTGTACCACTGGACGGGGCTCTTGTGCAGCTTCCCTATGTATGCCTGCTTCATTTGATTGATTATCATTTTTCCTGAAATAATATCAATAAAATAATAGTGAAGGATCATTATTTTAAAAATACTAATACTACTCAACTTGAACTAGAGAATGTGAACAAGGACACAGTTTCACATTGGCTATTTATATATGCTTTATCCCTTACCTCCTTTTACTTTTAGGCTCATCATCATCTCCCTCCAGTCCTTTGCCTCCATCATCACATTCCCCACTAAGACCACAAGAGTTATCAGAAGTTACAGCGCCAGCATTAATTGGACCAGCTCCAGCAGCATCATGAGATGGGTGAGCTTTGGCCTGACAAGTTAAATGAACAGGTATTCCTATGTCATTCTGATTTTCAACTCTACCTTCAGAACTTTCATTCCTTTCATTGAGGTGATTATTCCATAACGCGATGGTCTTATCTTGACCATTTCCATCGGATACAATTCCTAGCCCTTGCATTCCGGATGAGTTGCGTTTAGGAGGTTGAGGCTTTGAATGATTGTGTTCACCTTTGTATACAATTTCTGCAATCTGTCCATCCAATGATCTTTCAACCTTTTTTTTCACTGGACAATTTGGATGTGTGCACTTGTAGTAACTTCGTGGATACTCACTTCCTTTTACTTGCTTTTGCCCATATTTTCTCCAATTATAACCATCATAAGATGGTCGATCCCCGTTAGATGCAGCAGATAAGGTTTTTGGATCCTCTTCCTGGTTTTGAGATGTTAACCTTGGAGGTTCAGTTGTCTGTTCTGCTGGAGCATGAGAAGGAATATTCTGAAGAAAATTTGATGCAAGCTGGGATGTAAAATTGTGCTCTTCTTGGTTTGGATGTTGGACTCGAGCCTCAACTGATGGTAGTGTTTGTTGTTGACTACTAGCATTGAAGTTTCCCTGGTCAGAAGAAAATTTAATTATTATTGCACTTTAAGAGTCTGAAAAAGCAGAGGTATTCTGAAAATTCAACATCAATAAACATGTATTTCAAAAGAATGTGACGAGCCCTCACTAGACTATCTATAGACCATCAATAGCAGGAAGAGGGGGAAAAATAGGAAAAAGAAGACTAAGAAGAAGCAGAAGACAAAGAAGCAAGTCAAATTACAGAAAGGAAGAATCTGACTACTAACCATATTTGCCAAAAGAGAAACTGTTGTCTTTGACACAAGCTTGGCCTGTGGTTTATATATGACAGTAGGTTTAATTTCTGATTTTAAAACTTTATCAGGTGAATCACAAACTGCTGTTCCGGAGAGGTCAGCCTGAAATTATCAAAACTGGAAAGTTCAGAGGGAAGAACTCTTGAAGTGGAAGAACAATTCAGATGAAATGAGTGGTCACCTGGGAAGAAACTGACGCAGCTGGAGCACGATTTGTCATTGGCTTGAATCTTACTGTCTTTGGTCTAATGGCAGGAACTGTGGTTTCAGAACATATATTAGGGGGAACATTAATAGCACCTGCAAGGAGCTCTGAGAAAGACCTAAAATTGGAGCACGTAGGCCTGGAAGCTACTGGTTTTGCTATAACTACCCTCTCTGCTTCCTTGATTTCCATTTTGAAAGAATATCTGTTGATTACATTTTATCGCTGGTGTGCCAATTTAAGTATTTTAATGCCCCTCATTTCTCAGTCTATAACATCTAACTGAGCTGTAGCGAGGGAAACACTTGGCAGTGAAGGATGATCAGAGAATTTCTCTTCTTTGAGTTGGTTCCAACAGTACAAGGTTGAATATTACAAGTTCAAACCTGCATCATAAAAAAATTATGTTAATAACTAAACAAAACTGAATATTTAATTGATAAGAAGTAATATGAGCAGACTATACAACATGTATTATGAACTTGCAGCTGCATCTGTTTGTTGATGGATTAACTTCTTACAGTTAAGAAGAAACTATGGTTTTGGATTACACTTATAACTGTGGCACCTCAATGCCAATGGAAGCTCTAAAAGTGCAAAAACTCAGACTCTCTCCTACTAATAATACAAAATTATTAAAGCCTATAATAAAGTTGAACCACACGTTATTTAGGAGATAGGAGGAAGAAATTGCATACAAGGTGATAAGCAAATATCCAATCAGTAAAATCTTTCAATACCAGTACGAAAGAACTGCAGGGCAGTTATGAGACCAGTAGTGCAGGTGAAGAATGGAGCAAGCAAGCTATTAAAGATCTGACTAACTAATTTATCAAATTACACATGCGAAGCCTTCTTAAAATCATGGGTAATTGATGGGATTCAAGAAAAAGAAAATTTTCTGCTCTCAGCTCTGAACAGCATAGCTAGCAATGTGTTATATCATTGAGAAGTGAAGCAAATAGATAGCCACTATAAATGAGTGGTTTTCTTTTAGAATAGAAGAAAGACCATTGAACCATATTCTTGACTTCCAAGCTGATACAAACAGGTTCAGCTATGGAGCCAATTCTAATTTCCATCTTTTGAATTGTAACTCATAGTCTTAAATCTAAACTACCACCAACTTCTGAAACTTGATATCCCTATTGATCATTGTTATGACTATGAGCCATTGAGAAGATGTCGTTAATTAAGAAAATATTTGTACGTTACCACTTGCAATGCATTTTTTTTTAGTATAATGCACACTCTCCTTAAGAAAGTCCCTTTGAGTAAAACGAACGAGTCTTTTTAACTTGAGCAACCTCTCTTCACAATCTTAGAACTTCTAATGCATCAACACATCCATTCTTTCCACCAATATATATATATATATATATAAAGAAAACTCTGAGATAAAATTCTGCAATAACTTCTCAATCTTGCTGAATTAGAAATCAAGTTGAAATTCCAAATGCTACTTCCCACTCCCTACTAATATGCATTGCAAATGATGCCCCTCTTCTTTCTACTCTTTTAGAAACTAATTTCCAATCACAATCACTAGTTACAGGTACCTCAAATATTTTCTGGAAGGTCATGGTTCATAATTTAGTTTCTTTTGATATTATTCTACAATAATCATGAAATGATGTCAAAGCACCAATTAACACTTGCGAATGAGGGCTAAAGAATGGATTTTAATAACTAACAACATGTTAATCCTTGGCCTTATTAACTTTATAGGATAACAAAGTTCCCAGCCAACAAAAAGACTTTCATCTCAATATTAGATATTTTGTGTCAACAATTCGAATACAATTATTCTGACCAAGATTTATTCTTTTATTGAGATTAACAAAAGAGAGAGAGAAAAGTTCAGACAGAATTCATAAACAAAAGTTACCATAAAAATGACACCAATAATCTCACAGTTAATGAAAGAAATGGAAATGAACATAGTTTCTACAAACAAGCGAAACTTAGAAGCTAATAGAAAACATTCAAACCCTAGAAATCCTAACATATAACTTCAAACCAATGAAACCATTAAAACAGGAGATATAGTCAAAAGAAAGCAAATAAGAGGGAAGAGAGAAAGTGGGAACTAACCAAAATGTCAATTAAGTAAGAAGCTTAGGTTGCAGAAGATCTCATTTACTAGCTATATATCAATTAATATAACATTGAAAATAAGCCTGCAATGCAGAAGCAGCAACAGCAATTCAAGTTTTAATAAACAAGTTTATATACATGTAAAGAATTAATTAAGAATTAAAAAGGTGGCACGAGTTCAGCAACTTGACCTTGGACTTTGAAGACACAGAGATGAATATACTACTACAAGGTTTCCATTACTCTGATGTAAAGATTGATGATTTTCTCTTCTTTATTTCTTTTTTCTTTTTTCTTTACAGTTGATAAAAATGAGTTTAAAGATATTATTGACTGAGTTTTCAAGTTCTTAGGTTACTTGAAAAATCATTTTTTTAAAATATTTATGCATTAAAAGATCAGAAAGAAAGACGGGGTGGTTCTAGTTCCTAGAAAGTTAAGAGCTTGAGCACCTAAGCCAAGAAAATTTGCAGAAAGAAGACAAAGAGGAGATCCCAAACAAAATGGTTTTTCTTTTTAAAGAAAAATTGTTTAATAATTTCAAGAACATAATTAAATGATATAATAGGAAAAAAATAATAATAAAATGGAGTTGGATTTGGGCAATAAGAAGGAGAAGTTGAGATTATTGGTCCATAAAGAAAGAAAGAAAGAAAGAAAGGCAAGTGAAGTGAGTGGTACGGCCAACTAACTGTCTCTCCTGCCTGCCTCTTTGACTATCTAATCAGATATATAAAATAAAATAAAAAATGCATTTTCTTTTGCCCTTCTTTTTTGGTAGATTTGCATTAATTCTTCCAATCTGATATTTTTTTTTGAGCTCTTAAAATCTTGGTGTGGCTCTGTACTGCCCGTGTTTGTTGAGTTTTTCAATTCCTTCATTCATTGATTGGGTCCACTGCTGTTCCCTTGTTATACTTATATGACTCTTTTGCACTTTGATTTTCATGGAATAAGAGGGCAAAATAGCCAATTCCCTTACATTAATGCACATATAAACACGCAACTACGACCAATCCATGCATAATCATATATATTTTGATGTTGGATGATACTACAAAGAAGCTACATTTCAAGGGCTAATACATAAAATTGCAATTGAAATATATGATTTTATTTGAAAGAACTATTATATGTGAAATTATGATTTTTATTATAAAAAAGCAACTTCAGGGTAATAATAGGTTTTTAAAAATTTTTAATTAAAAAAAAATCCATCTATCAAGCTTAAGGCATAATAAGGTTGTCAAAAATCACAACTTTAAGGGATGGGTTTCTTTAAAACTTTAGGGTTCCGTTAAGATAATTCCAAAAAGATAATTTTATGTACTGCCTTGATATTTTAATAATAGTTTGATATCTTCCCCCCAACACGATAAGTCTAGTTGATCTTTTTATTTTCTATAAGAATTGCGAGAAATAAGATGTTTTGAATTTAAATTGTCGGTTGAGAATATAACCGCAATTAAAATTTTCAAATATAAAATTATTTACAAGTTGTTATTGATTAAACAAATTTTGGTCCTTAACCTTCCTTGGAGATAATGCTGGCGCAAGAAGCATCGACCGTAAAAAAAATATATTTTCTCAAAAATGATATATATAATACAACAAATTAATTAGAAAAAAGAGTTTAAATTACACAAGTTTAAACTAAAAACTGAGTTAGTATATAAATTTCTCTCATATTATTAATCACCAAAAGAAAAAAAAAGTCCTTTTATTACTATCAAAATACGAATATATTTACAATTTTAATTAAATACTAAAATATTAATAATTATTTTATTCATTAAGTCAAATAATGACAAAAATTTAAAGTAATAAGTAAAATTAAGTAAAAAATAAGAAAATAGAAAAGGATTAGTTAAGATTTGTGGATTGGAAAGTTAGTTGAGGCATATGATAACACGTGGGGCGGTTCCCCCCTAACCCTCAAACTGAAATTCTACGCCAATGACTGGTAGTTGTATAATGCGCCAGACGTGCCACTCCATTTCCTAATTTCACTCTCTAGTCTCTACCAAATGTTTCATATTTTATCAACTAAAAATTTAAAAGTTTTTCCTTCCTAAATAATAATAATAATAATTTTTTTTTTTTTGCCAAATAATGTATATTCGTAGAATTTGAGGCAAATCCATATAAAACTTATTTTATTAAAAGTATATTTTCATATAGAGGTTAATTATAGAATACATTTTAAATTTATAATTTTACTTGAAAATTCTATCACCTAATAGAATTCTATCAACTATTGATGTAAATTTACAAAATTAATTAATATACACTTCATCCACAAATATATGTTTATTAAGGCTGATTAAGGCTGTTGCATGATGATCAATTAATTCTCCTAAATTACAATAGAATATTCTTTAATTTGATACCCTTAAAAAATTGTAGAAATAATTATTTTATTTAATATAAATAGGATAAAACTGAAAAAATCATTCATTAATTATTTTTTTATATTTTCAAAATCAAATATGTTTGCGGAAGGAGAGAGTACTAAACAAGCTCTCAACCATATTAGCAAATTAACAGTACTTTGGGTTAGGCCCAACCCAAGAAAAAACCAGAACTTGAGGGATGTAGATAGTTTTGTCCTCAGATCCACAGACACAGACACCAACGACAGAGATGGGCTGACCTTGGAATATGACACAGCCTCACCAATAAAGAATGCCATTCGTCCAAGCTTCAAACAAATAGTCCACAATGAATATTATTTCCAAGTTAAACATTAAAATAATTACGATACCTTTTGACTTTCAAGCAGTATGACAGGCAAATTGCTTAATCTTTTGCCCCCTGTTTGTGACTCTGGCTTTCCAGTCAACTGCCATGTTATACAGTTCAACTCTGTAAATGAAATTCAAAAAGCAAAAGTTCATTACCAACTTGATGCGGATAGAAATTGTAAAATAAGTACAGAAACTTACCTTCTTTACAAAGCCTTCCAGATGGGAGCGTGAACCAAAATAAGTTCCATGGAGAGACTTAAGTAGCTTATCAACTGTATAATCACATCCTCCTTTGACCAAGACTGTTTAAAACAGCTAACATCCGAATGTCAATCTTAGTAGGAATTTTTGCAAGATTGGTAGATGAGTCAAATCCAGATTCGACCCGGCAGCAGTTTTCCTGTTTTTCCTAATGAAACATAGTAACTGATCCAAAATAGCTTCGTCATAAAGCGCCAAGATCAACAAATAGTAAAACACATCGTTTTTCCATTTTTTGATTGTCACAAATCAAACAATCCATTGTTTGTAAGTGTGAGACAACCAACACACAGAATATATATGCCAATTTATTGCATAAGGAAAGCCTATTCAATGGTGAATAGCTTCCTCTAAAAGTTCGAAGTTAAAAGTTCTTATCAACACATCGCGTACAGCAATTATAGTTTACATCAATAGAATACAGTTGAAGTTCTCTATCTAGTTATGTCAAGCCACCTATGCCCCAAATACTTCGTTTGTTTTTAACTATCAGATTAAGAGGCCAATTAGTTCTCTGCCGATCTGCTTGTGCTTTCATTTGGTGTCTGGCGAACAAATTGTCCTCGCACACGCGGTCGTTGCTCAGCTAATCTCTTCCTGCTTTGGTACCGAACCTAAAACATCAAAACTTTTTCTTCAACAAACTTGGAAAGAAGAACAATTAGAAAGGGAAAAATAAAACAAGATTTATCTGGTTTTAACACAATGTTTAACATGGTAACTGTTGAAGATCTCTGTGCTTGGTTTGTGAGGAAAATCTTGCCAGTTGACCTACCAAAGATGCATCTGGACTGCTATTCTATAAATAAAAAACAAAAATAATGATTCTAATGCTACATAAAATGAAGACTTTCTGACATAAGGAGGTGTGTAACCTGAAAGATAGCACAGTACCAAAATTGGCAAAGATGCAAAATCGAAATTTTAACTTCTGACGCTGACTAATGAAGTGATAATAGTCTTGCGAACTCGATTGCAGGTTAAGGCCCAAGATCAGCAACTTCACGAAGAAGAACTTAAAGGACAGCACATAATGAGTTTCCTTTCCAGGATCATGCTTTAATGGAACTATAACAAGTTAACAATGTGAATGCTCCTTGAAAAAGAAAACCAATTGCTTAGGCTTGTTACTGAACATGGATGTGACATTCATGTCCGTGTTCTTACAAAGAGCAGAGCACAAATAAAATCATGATGAGTGAATGAATGTGCATAGAAATCCTAGTCATAGGAAGTCTCAATGGGATCTCATCCTTTTTATACGAGGTTGAAGCACCCAACAAAAATAGGAACAATGGCAAAAGAAATGTTTGAACTTTCATTGAACTTCTACTTAAGTTCCCAGCTTTAATTTTTGGCAATGAAGCACACACAATCGAAAAGTTTCTAATTGGGTGCATTTAGCCATTTAAGGTTTCCAAGTTGTCCAAGTAGACATCAAGGAGCCCTTTTCTCTAAGATTTACGCCGGATATATACAGAGAACTAACTTCCAACCAAAAAATCATTTCCTCAATGTACTAGAAAAGAGTTAATTTCAATCAAGGCAAGTTTCTATAGGTCAGTTTGGTATTGCTATTGATAATAGCAACTTTTGAGCCCATAACATGCAAGTACACAGGGGCGGAGGTATGTGTTAGAGGAAGGGGCCAATTGCACCCCTCCTGTTTTTTTTTTTTTTTTTTAAAACAATTGCCTCAATGAGGCCAAGGTTCAAACCTTGGCTAAACAAAGTTTTTAACATATTTTTAACCCTTTTGCCCCCCTCAATCTCTGCCCAATATTCCTTTAATCAATTTTTATATTAGTTTGCCCCCTTCTTTCTAAATCCTAGCTCCGCACCTGCAATTATATTAGCAATGCCAAACTGCACCTATGGCTATCCATTTAATATTAAACTTTCCAACTCAAATGAATCTTACAGACAAAAGAAGGCCGCAATGTCCATGCAGGCATTATAGAAGCACATATGCTTAAATTATATATACTCCACCACTTGATTGCAAAGATTTAAAGTTGAAGCATTCAAATAGAAGTTAACCTAAGTTCAAGAACTTTATAGTAAGTGTCCCCCCCCAAAAAAAGAGGAAAATTAGACATATTCACACAGCAATTTAAATAGTGAGTACGAAAGTTATAATCAATTTTATAGCCGTAACGTAACTTAGCATCTAATATGTAAATACCAAACAAGCAAATGCAAGTTAAATTTTACACATACAGCAAAGGCAAAGGAAAAGGCAATAGAAGTTGAAGATAGGAGAACATATTATATTGAAGAATGGAAAAGAAAAGAGCTAGCAAAACCTTGATTCTCTACATTTTCATATGTAGTTATAAAGCTCTTCGAATCAAACATGCAGTAGTAAAAGTACGAACGAACATTCTATAAACAGCACGCTCAAAAGGGAGAACCACATAGGGTGAAAGGAAAGAATGGCTTGAAATAGGAACTTGAAATTTCTACTAGAACGAAATCAACTTTAACACTACCTTTTTCCGGAAGCATCTCTCCTTCCTCTTCTGCCGAAATTTGGTCAGGGCAGCTTCTCTTTGAGAGAACTTGTTTTGATCTATTCTGTTTCCGCCCCCACTCCCACTCCCACTACCATCACCACTTCCAGTTTTACCAGCAATCCCATTATCACTTTCCATGTTAGTACCTCCAGCATTAACGGCAGTGCTGCTCCCATTTTGTCCATTGCTCCCATGGTTGCTACCTGAAGCACTTCCATTGATGCTATAATTGCCACCATTACCTTCAACAGGCCCACCCAACATATTGGATGACCCACAATGTGGAACAACTGCAGCCATTTTCTTCAATGATGAATCATCATGACCAGGTGGTGTCAGTTGCTGTTGCGATTGCATGTTATGGAGAAGATGATGATGGTGATCGTTATGGTTAGTGAGATGCTGAATTTGGAGTTCCTGAATGGTGCTTCTCGGTTGAGTCATCATCATTGTACTGGCAGCATCATCAGCCTTCTCTGGTAGAATCTGCTGAGCACATAGCGGATCACCTTTCATAGACTGAAAACTAGAATGTGGGTGCAAATATTTCATTGTGGATGATCCTGCTGACTTATTGTTCAAGACTGCTGACTCAGTGAAGGCGTGATTTGTGGTGGAGCCCATATCAATGTTATTGCTACCAACATTTGAGCATTGATTAGGATGATCACCATTTGAATGAGACTGCAGATCACAAACTGATCCTTTTCTAGTAACAGCTAAACTAGAATCATGTGGAGGGCCACTTCTAATGTTTTCCCCAGAAGCCTTGTTTGCCTGTGAGGCTGCATTATACCTGCACACAGAAAACAAATATAGGACGAGCAAGTCATAACGTAGACAACAAATGTAAATTGTTTAGGATCTCTAATCTGAGATTAGAAAATAAAAAAAATAAAATAAAAAATAACGCTTCTCGTACCTAGAAAAAGCTGAGGAATCTGAGCGTCTTAAGACATTACGATCTTCCAGAACTGCTGTCCCGACATCCTTAACTTCTCTAAGTCTTTTTAAACTAAGTTCAAGGGGCGGGGTCTCTTTAGCATCACCGGAGGATTTATTTTTTATATCTAAGATCTTGGAATGTTTTGAAGCCTCAGACTCTGTGCTGTCCAAATGGGGATCGGTAGTCTCAGTGGGGAAACCAGTCAGATTGACAGCTTCATATTTTAATTTTCTTGATGGACTCTCACTATTGAGATCCAGCTGTGCTTTATCTATTTGCTCCATCAATTTACCAGATCCCTTCTCAAGTAGACTCTTTTGTTTTGCACCTATAAGTTTGATTGAATCTTCAACCTGGTATTCAAGTTGTAAATCTAGATTTCCTGGCACAGCCTTCTCTGGTTCTTTACCGATTGCATTGTCTGAAATGTTAAAAAATAATAATAATAATAAAAAAAACTCACCTACATGACAACAAGAACCTGAACAACCAAAACAAATTCTAAATGACTGGCCCATACAAGGCCATAGTATACAGATTATCTTGCATACCAAGTTGTTCCTCCTTTTCTTCGTGCTCTTTTTTAGTCATTACAGGAGCCTGTTTATTCCATGATATTTCCGCATTTGAGTGTACAACTTGTGCACAGGTGCTATCAGGACATTCAGCAACTTGATCCCATGGAGACACAGGCTGTGGACTGTCAACCTCTACAGCTTGTTTTGTCCAAGAGCTCTACAAAATGATCATGCAATCATAACCTTTTAGTGCTTGTACAACAATCCAACTTATAGAAATTTGATAAAGCTCTAGAAACTTTAAAGTGAGACAGAAATTAGCATGATGAAAATAAATTCTAGTTTATAATAATCTACTTCGCATCTCAGATTCTTCTTAATATCCACTTCTAATCCTCATGCACTTTGCCATGCATTTTTGCACATGCATATGAAAATTGATCTAATTTGAAAAGAGACATAACAACCCCATAAATAACTTAATGTCTGACCAAAGAAGGATATCATCCATGACGTTAGCACATTCACACTATCTACAATATTTTATCATGAAAGCAATCACATCAGTTTTTCCAACTTACTATGACCTTAACTTCTTTATATTCAGTAGAACAGAAGTTCCATATTTGGGCTGGACTCAGACCTAACCTGTTTTATGTCAGAAACGGGCCACAGCCATCTAAAGAAATGTTTCAAATCTGAGTACTTGGCAAGTAACCTATAAATGCAATATTATAACCCTAATATATTGAACTGCCAATTAAATAGAGTTTATCAATAACAATATCCATGCCTTATTGAAAAATACACATCTCCATTTTAAAATCTGAAATGAAGTACAGTGAAAAATCAGAAGGATACATGGTGTAAAAGACTTTCAAGGGGAAGCAACATGAGCTGCTCCTCTCACATTTGACTAAATACTTGAATGAATAGGCATGAAGGAAAGAGAAATTTACCCCCTTCTGACCAGAAAAAGAAGGAAAAACAAACACTTAATTGCTTTCTTTATTGAATTTTCAAGAGAACTTCATCTATTATATTAACTAAATGGAAACCTCTTCAAATGCTATATCAGTTTTATTCTTTGATTTTTGTGCTTTCTTTATTGAATTTTCAAGAGAACTTCATCTATTATATTCACTAAATGGAAACCTCTTCAAATGCTATATCAGTTTTATTCTTTGATTTTTGTGAAAACATTGTCTTTTTGTTGGTTTAGTCAAATTCTTGCAATAACAACAACAACAAAGCCCTAGTCCCAAACTAGTTACGGTCAGCCATACGAATCCTTTGTTTTTAATATGTTCTGTGATCAGATTAATAGCGATTCAATGCAAAGTATAAATTGGAAAAAGATTTCACAACAAAAATAATGAAAAAATTGATCTTCTAATGATAAGTTACAGAATAAAGGCCATCCAGCACTTTGAATGTTTGAAAGCTCAGGATAACGGCAACAAAGAACCAGTGGCAATCAAATAGAACAAGAATAACGTCCTGTGCGTAATTGCAACAATGAAACTGATACTTCGAAATTTAACTGTGTGAAAGTATCAAAGCCAAGAAAATATTTCCTGGACTCAAATACAATATTGAAAGAAAATGACGAGTATAAACATGATTTTGCTAATAAAAGACTGATCTTACCTGGGTCCCGCTCCCATTATCGCTTCCATCCCCAACATTTAAGCCGATGCTTCCATTACCGTCTTCATCATTACTGCCAGTGTTGTTGTCAGACTTGTCAACACTTTTTGATTTTACAGATTTTTGAGTTTGCGTGCCACTTTCACTCCCACTACCACTAGACTAAGGAAAAGATAAGAAACTGATCATTAAACACAGAAAGAAACAGAAAAATGAATGCAATCCTAAAAGAAATAAATGTGTCCAGGTATGATGCATAATCAGTGTCATCAAAGATAAGTTCCTTCCAAATCAATATTGATGATTACTCCATCTATCTCAAAAGGGTGATCTAAGCACTGAAGTAAGCAGGTGCATTGGTTTCTATATGCCTTCAGAAAATCCAAAGAAGAAAAAAGCAGCTGGAAACTCCTTAAAGACCTAATTGCAATTGAGAGTATGGCTTTGAAAATCTGAGGTGGAAAGTTCCAGCTACTCACACTATGGCATCTTCTCCAAACATGCTGCCAAAGGTTCTTAAGTTCGTTCTTTCGTATAGGCTTCACTAAAAAATCAACAGCACCTTTTGACAAACACTTAAAGACTAAGCCCATTGAATCATGAGACGACATCACTGCACACATATCTCATAAGAAAAAAGGTGGTTAAAAGTATCCATTCGAGAAGTCACAACATGATAATAAGATCTAACGCCAAAACAACAAATAAAATGAATAAAAGCCAAAACTTACTGATGACAGGAACGTTCTTGCGTGTTTTGTGGCTCATAATCTTGCACAAAAGACCAATGCCAGATAAGCAAGGCATGACTACCTCAGTTAAGACAAGGTCAATGTGATTAGTCAAATCTTCTAATATCTTCCATGCTTGTATTCCATTTGCAGCGTCAATGACTGACACAATAATAAGAATTATAAGAACAAAAAGAACGGCAATATCATATGGAAAGACAAGAATTAAAAACCTTGAAGAAATGATACTTATATTTAGTAGGTGGACATATCAATATCAAAAGTAGATTGCATTAGGAATAATTGCCACAAACGAGAGTCAGCATATTAACTAACAGAGTCAACTAAACGTGCTCAGTGATATGCATGGTCAATCTTTAGTTGGATCATCAGCATATTGATGATTAACAAGTTTGTTTTATCTGTCATAAATGAGTGAATGTAGCCGAGTGAGTTATATCGAGAAACCAACGGCGCTGCACTGGATAAGTTTGATAGTAAGACACTTAGTTTTTCTCTCTTATTTTCCTTCCTTTCCCTTCCTCCATTTCCCTTTCTCCTGTTCTCTTTCTCTAACATGCTCTCATTATATCTCTCTAGAACTAACAAACTGGACATTGAAGTTCTACAAGTGAACTATCACAGTTATAAAAAGTGACATAATAAAGAATTTGAAAAAAGATGGCAACTATTTCCACATGATGAGCATGGACATTCAGTAATGCAAAAGTCATATTTGCTACAAATGCTGTTGCTTTAGTAACACGGGGTAACATTGCAAATTAGGCCCAACTTCGACATACATTCTTGAATGCTTTCCATGACTTGTAATTTGAGAGGTTCACATGAAATCAAATTTGGAACAAGAAGATTCACTTTGCACATCAAGAAGCATTTTTGGAACATGGAAGCTTTTGATTAAATAGAGTTTGCCTACAACTAAGTTACTTTAAGACCATGACTTATAATTTGAGAGGTTCACATGAAATCAAATTTGGAACAAGAAGATTCAATTTGCACATCAAGATGCATTTTTGGAACATGGAAGCTTTTGATTAAATAGAGTTTGCCTACAACTAAGTTACTCTAAGATGTTTTATGTGAAGCCAAAATGCTGGCATACAACTTATATGGGTAAAAATATCTGACTACTATAGTTCCCTCCCGTGAATTTTTTGAATATTTGGAACAATTCAGTTATGTAGCATTTTTTCCAAACTCTTCCATGAGAAATTGCAATCCATGCAGAAATAGAGTCATTTATTCACATACACCAGACTAATAAAGCTCCTAGACATATCTTACATAGAAGGCAAAATGCCAACAACTACCTTACACCGTAGATTCTTGCTATTTATCTGCATCATGAAAAAGGTACCCTTAACATTTTGTCCGACATATTTGGAAAGGTTTCCAAATTTTCATTTCCTAATACTCAACAATCCAATATTTAATGATTGATTATCTAGCCAACCAAAATATATACTTTAAATAACTAATAAGTCACTCAATATCAGTTCTTAACTAGATTTCCAATTTATAGGACAATCAACCTTGATGGGTGGTATCTTTAAACCAGTAGATTTTCTATTGAAACCAATAAATTTGAATTTACATGAAATTCATCATCTTATATACTCCACTAAATTGGAACTATCTATCAAACTAATAGAATAGAAAAATTGAGTTCAGAAACAATTGGAATTAAAAATTTTGTTTTTGAGGTTTGTTGCTTGGCCATGGGAGGTTGATTAAAGCCAGAAAAATTATGCGTCTACTATAAAAATATGACAATCAGTCTAAAGATTGAGGGAGGATTTGGGTACATGACACGCCCCATTCAATTGGTTGTTAGGATAAAATGTATATTATACACATATGCAATCATCCTAAGATTTGTTGACTAGCATAAGATTGAATTTTGGACATGTACAGAAATCATCCTAAAGTTTAGGGCGAAAGTCGACATGATTTGCCCCAATTGATTATCATAATTTGCTACATTCCTTTATTCTTTTTTTCTTTTGACTTAAGAGTGAAGAAGAAAAAAACCCCATGCAATCCATTAAAAAGAAGCAAAGGTTCCTTACAACTATTCAAACCATAAACAACCCTACATCAATCCATCAATTTCAACAACAAGAATGATACACCATCATAGCCACCTCTGAACCATACCAGCATTGGAAAATATTGCACGTGATAATGCTAATTCAAAAAACAATAAGATGCACAAAAGTTTATTGCAGCCAATGAAATCCACAAATAGAATTTCAGTAGATCATGCACAAGCAGGGATAAGCAAGTGTAATATTTGTACAGGACACAAGGTTTGCTAAAAACTTTGTACCAGAATTTCAAGTTTTATGACCATTATTAATTTAAAGACTTTAAAGCAATATCTGTAGCAGAGAACCTGTAATACCTTCATAACTGCAATTGCGAAGCAGGGCAGTGACAACATGACGCGTAGAATCATCATTTTCCACCAGCAGGACCTTGAGGGTTCTCAGATGGAGAAACCTCTCCCAACAAACCATTGCTCCTTGAGACTGCTGTTGCTGGGATAGTTGCAGTGCAGCTGGTGGGGCCTGAGAAGCCCCCACATGTCCAGCTGTTATGTTTCCAGCAGTGCCATTTACTTTCAAACCATCATCTTCAGCTAAATTGTTCTCCTCATTTACAACACCATCCTTAACTCTCTTGTTCACACTTCGCATCTGATGATTAACTTCCCTCAAATCTTTGTTCCCAACTCCATCAACGTTCATCTAGACACTACCTGTCAATTAGATTCAAACAGCCTAATAACAATAATAATAATAATAAGGCAGGTGCAATAGCTGAACAGTGAAAAACCCTCTTCAATCCAAAAAACAAATGGCACATAGCTTCCTCTTCCAGAACCCAACTCTACAAATTCCAGATACTGTAGCTCAACCTGAAATGAAGAGCAAATCACAGCGCAGGCATCAACTTTTCGTAACAAAACAAATCTCACCACCTCAGATATTTCCAATTTTGTTCAATCCTCTAAAAGTTTTCTCAATTTAGCCTGAATGGACAGAGCATTATATGAGATTATCTTAAATATATCTCACTCTAAACAGAGAAAAAATTAGTCCACAAATTTTATTCAAATCTTACAACTCCAATTCATAAATATCAACCAAAACAAACAATGACCTTTAGTTGACCGTTTTCCATACACTTCACAATTGTACAAATTACAGTTACAAACCCTAACCTGAAGCAAAGAGAGAATCAACAAATCTTACATCATTCCATAATTAATCTAAACAACGAGTCCAGAGATCTAAACAACCCTCCATTAAGGACTAATTTCAAAATTCAACACACTCCATAACCATTCATTTCAAGCATAAAACGAAATTGCATAAATAAACAACTAAAATAAATAAATCCGTGGATATGATAACAAGATTTAAAGTAGACATGGCAAAATTCCTCTGCAGCTTACCTAAATCAGAATACTAATCACCTCGTAAGCTTCATTAAGCACCAATACGAAGCTTGATTGAGCAGAATAGGGAAATTAGCATTGCAGGTGAATTCTCAAAGCATGATAACAAAAAGACAAAAACAAATATAATTAAAAAATATATATATATATTAAAAAAATTGGATTTATGGAGTAGAAAAAAATAAGCTCCACTGGTGTAAGAAATGGGGAGACTAAAGGAAAAATGCTATATCGGCGACCTTCTGTTTTGGAGGAGAAAGGAGAAGATGTTGAGATGAGTACAGGGTTAATGACGTCGACGGAATGAAGTTGTGGAAGTGGAACGTTACGGACCTGCCACGTAGGTTCAGATATTTACACGTGTCGTAGAATATGGGGTGACTTGTACTTGCTGAGTTGGACAAAATCAAAAGCGGAGAGCTTAACGTACGTGGAGCATCTCTGAAGATCTTTAGATATCTGATGTGAGACACGTGGCGGGGCTGGAGTTAGCGATTTTGATCTTAATCACGGACGTCAAACATCCAGCAATCGCTGTTCTACTGTTTTTTTGAGTGGAACGCTGTTCTTCTGTTTGATTGGGGGCTTAAAGCCCAAATGTCCTCCGTTTAAAAAAAATTTTCAAATAATTCTAAAATTCAATCACACCTAAGCTATCTATAATCTATAATTATATTATATAATCTATAATAGATACTCCCAATATCCATAAATAAAATAAAGTCATTTAGAGTAATTTTTCCATATATATAAATCATTTGAGAATATTAAAGAGTAATTAATGAATTTTTCTCAATCTTACCGTTTTATATATATTAAACACATTAATTATTAATTATCTAAAGAAAATGGCAATTTAATTAAATTAATAAACTTTTGTTATAATTTAGAAAAATTAATTACTTAATTATTGCGTATGACCCTTAAACGATAGATATTTATGAAGGGAGAGAGTATAAAAGTGGAAACAATGAGGGGAATTAGGATTAAAAAAAAAAACTACTAAAATTATAAATTGAGAAAAATATTTTTAAAAATTTTAATTTTATTTGTTGAAAAATAAAAATAATTTGATTTGATTGGCTAATATTAGTTTTCTATTAGATTTAAATTCTATTAGTTAAAAAATAAGATAAAATTATTAAAAAAAAAAGAAATGTTTAATGATGTACAAAATAATTATAAATTTAATAAAGTGAAAATTTTAATATAACACCTAATTGAGAAGTCATATATCAATTAAAAATTTTAAATTATACAATATTATAAAAGTATTGTCATATTTTAATTAAGAATTATAATTCTATTGTAAAGTTTTGTCTATCTTTATTAAGAATTACATATTATATATAATTGCAATATATATAATTACTTTATTTGGGCAAGTTTTATTTACTTTGATCGTTAAAAGTTTTTTTACTTTTATTATCAAGGATTTAAAACTATTAAGAATACACTGAACATTTTGCTCTCGACTGATTGTTCTCAATCGTTAATGTATAATTTTAATCTTTATTAAATTAAATTTAATATTAATATTATTCTATGTGTTATTAATGTTAATCGTTATCAATCGTAAATGAACATTAACAATCATCTAAAATTTACTTTGTATTTATGTGTAAAATATTATAATTTTAAGTCTATAATCATTTCATGTATTATAAAAAATAATTTATACACATTCGCATAAATTGGTTTAATTTTATTTTTATTACAAGTATTATTAACTTTTTCTTTAATAGAATTATCATTATTTTCTATAAACATATTATTGTTACTATTATTATTGTTGAGTAAATATTTTCTTATTATATAATAAATTTAAGCTTTTTAAATTACTATCATTTGAATTTACGAGTATTTTTTATTCAAATTTTATAAATATTTATATAAAATTTAAGCCTTTTTAAATTACTAGCATGAATTTACGAGTACTTTTTTAATTCAAATTTATTAAATTATATATATATATATATATATATATATACATATTATATATGATACTATACTTATATATATATGAAAGAAAAATCAAAAATATATGAAAGAAAATCAAAATGCAGTAAATATTTTATTTAATTATCAGTTATTTTTATAATTTTATTTACATTTTATATATTATTATATTCAATTTTTTGTTAATGAAAATTAAAATATCATTTTTGATAAATAACAAAAATGATAAACTAAATAATGAGTAGCTTCTAGTTAAAGATTGTAAAATACCTTATTTTACTTCTTTTATCCTAAAACAAAATTTACAAATTATCTCCTTAAACAAAACAATCTAAAACGTCTTTCTCTTTCCATATCTCACCATTCTCCTTCTCTAATTTATATTATTAAAAATATTTAAATTAAATATATATAACAGGATTATTTTACTGAGAAAATTAAAATTGACCATTTTGCTTAATAAATTCATCTTTTATTTAAAAAAAAAAAAAATTATGATCAAATTCCTGTGCATTTAGAGCTACCACGTGTCCTTTAAAAAAAAAAAAAAAAAAAAAAAAACACGTGTCCTTTAAAAAGAAAAAAAAAAAACACAAAAAAAAAAAAAAAAAAAAAAAAAAAAAAAAAACTACGACGTGTAACTCCCGCCTTTCACAAAAGAATAGCCAACGACCGAGAGAGGCAATGGCAGAAATGGCGGTTTCTCACTCTATTGCTTTCTCCCCGAAAATTTCTCAACTCAGCGTTATCACCAGTAATGCTTCGACACGTCTACTTCTCACTCCATCACCTAACCGAGTTAACCTCTTCTCCAAGCATCAAAGTCGAATTGTCTGCTCTGCAATCTCTGGATCTCCTGGTAAGTATTACAATTATACACTTAATGCCTAATTACTGAAGTTAATTATATATTTAAACGTTTTTCTGATTTGAGTAGGAACTAAATCTTCGGGTTTGGTGAACGACGCGTTTTTATTGGATACGGTGAAGGTGTTTGATTTGGATGGAAATGGAATTCCAATTTCCGATTTATGGAAAGATAGGAAAGCTGTTGTTGCATTTGCCCGTCATTTTGGGTATTAATAATTTATTATATTACTAAATCTATAATTAGTTACAGATTTCAAGAAAGTCTATCTTACCTTTTCTGTGGGCTTTCAGATGTGTTCTTTGTAGGAAACGTGCTGATTATCTTGCTGCCAAGAAGGTAATTGCATAATTATATCCTAGTACTGAAATTTTTATGTCGTTTATTACCTCCTGTTTGGGAGGTTAAAGGAGCAAATTTACTTAATTAGGGATGGTTGAGCTCCCATTCTTAACTATTTGCAGTTATTAAATGTATCTATGGCTGTTATATCATTGCTTTTGATATGTTAATAGGACATAATGGATGCATCTGGAGTGGCACTTGTTTTAATTGGACCAGGCAGCGTTGATCAGGTTGGAATACGTTGATAAGATAATATTGAGTAATGTTTATGCATAATTGTTTTAGCATCTGCAAGTATCTATAGATGATTGTGTGTTCATGCTTGTCTTCGATTTTTTTATGCATTTCCGATGCTATCTCTACAGTAAGAATGATGGACTTTAGTTGCAGTTAATTAAATGTTTTCCAACTTGAAAAAACAAATGGACATTGCTATAGAGTACTTAAGCGTGCACAGATGCACTTTAACTGCACTTTCTTAACGTTAAATTATGTATGTCATGCTTTCTTCCATATGAATGTGAAATTTGATGCATATTGTAAATTGGTTGGATATTTTCGATTACGATTATTAGTTACTTGATGCAGGCAAAAACATTCTCTGAGCAAACTAAATTCAAAGGAGGTATCTTTCTTATAGAAGTTGAATTGAGTAATTGCATTTTATTCTAGTTTACATTTATCACAAGTAGGTGCAATTCAAAATCTGGGTGAATTGCTGAAGGAATTCTTCCAGAGCAAATAATAGGGTTGCCTTTCTTCTTATTGCAATTTTATTGACAAAACATTGTTTTTTTTTCTCCCGTTTCAGAAGTGTATGCAGATCCTACCCACTCATCATACGAGGCACTAAAATTTGTTTCCGGGGTTTCAACCACATTTACTCCTAAAGTATGTAAGAAATATTACATTCAGTTATGTAGGGATTCCTTTTAGTCTTTTGGATGCTGGCGGCTTATAGATGAGATGCTAGCAAAATTTTATGCCTTCGAGTTTGTATACCATTCCGTTGTAAATAAATGATCTTATCAGTCAACTGTGTAACATGTAGGCTGGTCTCAAGATAATACAGTTGTACATGGAAGGTTATCGACAAGACTGGAAACTTTCATTTGAAAAGGATACTGTCTCCAGAGGTGGCTGGTAGGTGAACAGTGAATCATGTATTGCAGCAATCCTTATTGAGATTTAGAAGTAGTCAAATTAATTTTTTTTTTTTTTGGTTGTTTTGCTTTATTTACCTTGTACACTTGTCAGACCCAATTGAATCATTGTTATCATATTTGATATTTCATGGTATGGTCTAAATAACAGGTTTACAGTAATTTCTAGAAGTGGTAAAAGTTGTTTAATACATATGAATTGCATTGATTCACAGGCAGCAAGGTGGAATTATAGTTGCAGGTCCTGGCAAAACAAATATCTCATATATCCACAAGGTTAGTTCCTATCATTTGCTGTTTAATCCTCTCTCGTTCTGATTTAGTAAATTTGAGAGCAAGCATGTTGATCCATCAAAGCTCAAAGTCTCTTGATTCATGGACATATATAAAGGTAGGAAAGTGGACAGTTTGAAGTTGATGTGTAATAGTCACATTATCAGAATAACATAGAAAACATTCATTGGTGATGATTAACATTTGGAAAGGGTATAGGCAGTAGACTTGCATGTCAGAGATTTTTATATTTGGAATCCATAGTAATTTCCCTCACGGAACCTGAATTGAATTGCTTCTTTTAATTTCTTCAATAGGGTTAAAAATAGAGCAGATTTTTACACTTTTTTATGAACCGAATCGTTATTTCTAATTTGCATGTCAGTTGTTCTATTATAATTTGCACTCCTTATGAAGTGCCTTAAACTTCGCTGATTCATGGTTTGTTAGTATGGTTTCATTATAGTGTAAGTTTCTTTCATTTGTTCAGGATAAAGAAGCTGGAGATGATCCAGATATTGAAGAAATATTGAAAGCTTGTTGCTCATGAAGAAAATGCCATATTCTTTAGCTACAACGCTAGTGTCTCATTCAAAGGTCCCATTATACCTAGTTGCTTCATTGCTGGACAAGTTCAAAGATTGGAGCCTTCACTGCAAATGAACATGGTCCAAAACATTTCACTAATTGCAATCTGAGGTTTCTTTTTACCAATGTAAAATGTATTTTAGACCCAAAATTTCTACTGTATAGAAGAATACTTCAGGGTTTTGTGTATCATATAGCTTATAAACGAATGTGTTAAAGGTCAAGGTTATGTGTCTTGCATTATCCATAGCTTTGTAAATGTGTACGTTAAAGGTACTTCTTTTTGCTGGTATATCTGAAATATCTAAAATGACAATGTCAGAATTTGAAGGGAATTGGCATTCTCATTTTCTGAATGTATTATGCAAACGGTTCAGGAAATGTGTGAGATTCAGATTAGACAAGGATGACCCATCGGGCCTCGCGCAATGCAGTCCGAGTACAATACGTCGTCGTTTTAATTGATTGAAAACGGCTACTTCTTTCCATCACCAGACCTAACATGGACTGGAAAATGTTCAGTTTCCCGCCTCTCTACCTCTAAATCCCGCAAATGGCCGACACCACCAAAACCAAGAAACGCCGCCGCGCAGATCCGGAATCCTCCAACGGCCAACCGGAACTCCCTTTTAAAAACCGCCTAAAGCCAGACTCTGTAATCCTTGAATCTCTACAATCCCTCTTAGAGTCTACTGTCTCCGCCTCAACCTCGTCAAAGCCCTTGACCCTCGCCGACCTCTCCCTCTCGACCACCTGCCGCGAGGTCTCTGATTTACCTCTCTCCTCCGTCCAATCCGTCATCGAATCCTTAGTCCTTTCTCTCACCCACTCCATCCTCTCCGGCCAGGGCTTTTCCTTTAACGTCCCTTCACGCGCCGCCACTAATCAACTCTATGTCCCTGAGCTCGACCGCATCGTCTTAAAAGACAAAAATACCCTCCGCCCATTCGCTAACATCTCCTCTGTACGCAAATCCACTATCACAACCAAAATCCTGTCTCTAGTCCACCAACTCTGCCTTAAAAACATCCATGTCACAAAGCGAGACCTTTTCTACACCGATGTCAAGCTCTTTCAAGACCAGACCCAATCCGATTCCGTTTTAGACGACGTGTCGTGTATGCTTGGGTGTACTAGGTCATCTCTCAATGTAATTGCTGCAGAGAAAGGAGTGGTAGTCGGGAGATTGATTTTCAGTGATAATGGAGATATGATTGATTGTACCAAAATGGGAATGGGAGGGAAAGCAATTCCACCCAATATTGACAGAGTTGGGGATATGCAAAGTGATGCATTGTTTATACTTCTAGTTGAGAAGGATGCAGCTTATATTAGGCTAGCAGAAGATAGGTTTTATAATAGGTTTCCATGTATTATTGTCACAGCTAAAGGACAGCCTGATGTAGCAACAAGATTGTTCTTGAGGAAAATGAAAATGGAGCTGAAATTGCCTGTCTTGGCATTGGTGGATAGTGATCCTTATGGGTTGAAGATTTTGTCTGTGTATGGTTGTGGGTCAAAGAACATGTCATATGACAGCGCTAATTTGACTACTCCAGATATTAAATGGCTAGGAATTAGGCCTAGTGATCTTGACAAGTATAAGATACCGGATCAGTGTCGGTTGCCGATGACAGAGCAGGATATTAAGACTGGGAAGGATTTATTGGAGGAGGATTTTGTGAAGAAGAATCCGGGATGGGTTGAAGAGTTGAGTTTGATGGTGAAGACGAAGCAGAAGGCTGAGATTCAGGCTTTGAGCTCATTTGGGTTTCAGTATTTGTCTGAGGTTTATTTGCCATTGAAGCTGCAGCAGCAGGATTGGCTTTGATGGAATTGAAAGCTTTGAGCGAATGTTGAGTTTGAAATGGTTGCAGAATGTATTTCTTGTTTTCAAATGTTAGTTATCCTTAGATTTTCATGTACTCGTATGAATCATGATAATTGTAACAATGTTTAAGTTTCACTATAGAACATTCTCTTTGTAATGTCATTGGATTTAATTTGAAAGTACTCGGTGGTCAGTTTGTGAATCTCTACCTTTGACTTTTGAAAGTACCAACACATCCAATTCCTAAACATTTTACCATTATGGCAACTATGGTATATTGGAGGAAATGAACGGTTATACCTTATGGGAAGCAGAAATAATAATGATGATAGGGTGGAGGGAATGAAACATATCATAGATGGGAAATAGCTCTTTTATTACAATATATTCTGTAAGTTACATTTTATCTTGTATCATAGGCATAGCATTGTGGCCTGCTGCTTGAATGAATCACAGACTGGTAAAAAAAAAAGAGTACATGTACAAATAATATACAAATATTGCATTTGTACAGAAACAATAATCACCTTCTAATAGCACCTGCTCGTCTATGCAGCCAATCATGCAATGAATTCCTTGTGACCTTCAACCTCTGTACGGCTATAGGTCGCCGAGGGGAAGACACCATCTTCCTATCTCTTTCAAAACTTTTTAGCCATTTTGAATCTGAATCAAGAGGGTTTTCCAAATCCATCTCTAGGTTAACCATAAATCTAGGAACTGCAATCAGTACCTCAAGCCCTAATTCATTCTGCAGAAGTTCAAAGATTGCATCTTTCACCTCTGACTTCCCTGTGGCAGGAAGCATACTTACTTTATCGACTCCTAAGGTTATCCACATGTCATCTTTTACTGAATGTCCTGAGATCAGAAACAAGCGATGGCTCAACATGCTTGAAATTATAGGCAACTAACTTATCTCTATTCAAACAACTTGTGTACAACTCATGTTGTATTTTTCTGCAAAGTTTGAATGTGTATATGCATACATTGATCCATAAAGGACACTCATGATCAGTTCTTTCTTAGTATAAGATTGTTACCATACCTGAAGTGAAATTCTCTTTGATCATTCGGAGAACTGCAAGAACCACAATCCGAGCTTCAAGCTGTCAAGATGTGTTAAAGAGGTATTAGCAGTATAAAGTGAACTATGACCAGAACTAGCATATGAAGTCTTAAAGACCAATGATGATTAAGATCAGTGCTAGGATTCATTACCAAATAATCCGAAAAAAATATTCAGCATATCATTTACTGATTAAATTTACCTTTGTCAGGCCCTGCAGGTCAACTGATATGCTTTCAGCAGCATTGTTCTGCAAGTGTGCTGCAACTTTCTCAAGAAGAAGACTGTGGGGTCTCCCAAAGTTGGTTCTTTTGTGAGATTGAACCTGGTCCTGGGTCTGATCATTATCTCGTATTACTCCTTCACACCATTCCTCTATTAGTAGCTTAAGATAGTAATCGTTGGATCTGTACCTGCAATCCCAGTACAAAATTACAAGAAAAGTAAACCTAATTGATTTTATACCAAATTATCCACAATATACAGCCAGGAATGCTACTCTCACTGAATCCTTGTACATTTTAGAACAATACATGATGAATGTATACATACATAACTGGACACATAAGTTGCAAAAGTCTATTATTAAAGTTTGATAATCGTCATTATAGCTTGGTATAATTTTCAACACATGAATCTGTTAAAAACATGTTAAAGAGCTCCTTGTATGGTTTTCCAAAGCCCTTCCATCTAAGCCATAGATCAGCTCAACAAATGTCCACATAGTGAAGTATCATAATGCACAAATTTTTGCGTCAAATTAGCATGCAAGGACTAATTTCGATATTATTGTATTTAGAATACTTGCTTGACAAGACATGAGGATAAGTGTCAAAGATGACAAGTGCTTTCACAGCTTGCAACTCAGGATGCAGATTTCGGAACAGGCAAAATTTGTTGAAGGATTATGGCATCATTTTAATTATGTGTGTGCATGAGAGACAGACGGTGAGAGAACAACAGCATTTGTAAAAATGGGTTCATACTCGAAGTGGACATCTTTTGGAGATACAAATATGATTAAAAGCAAGGGCATTGAAGAATATTCATATAGTTAGGAATTATAACAATACCCTGCTCTCCTCATATCCTGATATATAGCCAAGCATTGTTGTACTTCCTTTAAGGAACCATATCTGGTTCGAGCTCTTAGCAATGTGTCGTATGTGACCTGAAAAAGGTTAAAAGGACATCAAAGACGTATTCAAGCCATAGGCAAGCTGTAGTGACTTAAAACATGAACAAGGCAGCATGAGAAATGAAATTCACATAATTTATTTCATGTTGCTGTAGAAATGGAAAGTATAATGATATCTGCTAGATTAAGAGATCTTTTATCTTCAGCCATCTTGATAACTAAGAAAAGAACTTGTTAAGCATTTCAATAGAAATCCTTTAATCAATTCATTAATTTTCCAACATCTTAAAGCAGCAAATTTATGTGAAGTAAAAACAGAGATTTTCTAAGCAGAAAAATCATCATAAGTCAGGAAATAAGCAAAGAAGCTCATAGAACTTACCAAATTTGGTTTTATTTGGTGTCTTTTCATTTCCGCAAATAATGAGTATGCCAGCTTCAAATCTTTACTTTCCACAGAAACCTATGAACCAAAAAATCATGATGAATCTCTTATAGGGAAAATCAAACTCAGCAAAAAGTGTAAATAAGTCTATGATCCAACGTATAAAGAAAGCTTCAAACCTTAATAGCTGTTGTATATGCAACGACATCAGGTTCTATTCCAGCCATGCGCATGTCCTTCAAAATCTGCACTGAGGAAAAAAATCCCATCAGAAAACATGTGTTCTTATGAAATTCCATCCACAGCAATATGGCTTAAAAATTATAAGAAAAAGAAAAGGATGTAACAACAGACAGGAAAAGAGAAGAATAGTTTGAGAAGAAAACTGGTAGTTGCATTCATAATGCAAATAAAGAAAGAAAAGAAACTTCAGTGAGCTTCAGCTGCAGTTTACATGATTCTAAAGAAAGGAAGCAAGTAGCTTAAATGAGAGGTCTTGTGAATATGTACAAGCATTATTCTTTAAGGCCCATAACTTTTAGTTACTTCCAAAAATAAAATTTTAAGCGCCAAGCCTTAATCAGTAACACAAGAGAAACTTATTGAACTGATGAGTGTTCGATAGGATACAATTAAAGGCACGCGTTACCACCTGATATGATGCTAGCTTATAGCAGCATATGATATCCATATTCCACAAATCAGTTACATCAAATAGAATTCAAATTTCTTAACTAGTGTGTCCTTGTGTTCATGTGTGTATGTGTTTTACTTTTCCTCTCGTTTCTGACAAGTGAGATATGATTATTGGATCTGGATCCTAATTCAACCAGCAGCAATGGTACCATAGATATTATACACAAGATACAGATAAAACTAGGCACAGCTAAAACAAAGATCAACTGTATTCACACCTGTATGGCACCCTCCACATTGCCTGAACTTCCACATATATCAATCAATATTGACCAGCTTATATGATTGGGAGAAAGGCCCATTCTCTTCATCTCATCCATCAAGGTCTTTGCACGGCGGTAATCACTGCCACATGCTTTCATTAATATATTATATGTTGTTGATGAGGGCGTGAAGGGAAGTTTCTTAATAAAGGTTAAATAATGTGAATTAGATGCTAGTTTTTGCACAGTAGTTATATTATCTTTGTCTGCATGCCCTGTATTTGTACTATTGCTAGTGCCATTTCGATCTCCAACGGTACTATCCTGGACTTCACTTCCTTTCCAGGTCTGGAAAAGCCGAAAAGCTCTATCATACTGGCAAGCCTCTACACAAGCATGTAAAAGGATGTTGCAACACTGTGAATTTGGTTCACAGCCAACTAAAAGCATCTCTTCAAATAATTTAATTGCCTGCTCTACAAGACCCACATTGGCACAGGCACTGATCAGTGATGACCATGTAAATGTATTAGGAGTAACATCGGATGATAGCATATCTTCTTTAATTTTTAATGCCATTTGCCATAATTTTGTGTCAGCAAAGATCTGAATCAACAAAGTTTGCAAAAGTCACTGACGAGCATAAAAATCACAACCAACTAAGAAGCACATAAGGATAATGAGATTATCTATGAAGAGATGTTGAGATTGCCAATCATATGCTGCAGAGAGATTTACCTTAATGATGGTGCAGTATGTGAAGACATCCAACTTCAAAAGTCCTGCTGATTCCAACTGCTTCACTTCTCGATAAATGTCTTGGGCCAAGTCCACTCTTCTGGAAAAAGAGCATGCCTTCAAAAGGATGTTGTAAGATGTCATATCTGCTGTTACGCCGAGATCCTGGATTTGTGGGATAAATAGGTCTATCATATTGTATGGATAATGTGAATGCATAAATATTCTACCTTTAAATTATGGCAAGGAAAAACGTAATATCAATTAATTTTTACACTGCACTAAAGAAAAATATATACATGTTTGCTTGATGTTTTTACAGTATTATTATGATATAAAACATGAAAAAAGAATTTTATAAAAAATTGAAGGATATCCTTTCCTTTCAGTATTTTGATTTTTTTTTAATGGAATTTTGATTATTTTTTATGTCTAAACAAATAAATAGTAAAGGAAAAGTCAAAAGCTCATGAAGATGATAAAGCAAATGCATAGAGAAACATATTTGTATATGGATACTCCACTACATAATAGAGCTAAACTTTAAAGGACATGAAAGGTGCATAAATTTGTGTTTTATGCGCATTTGCAGCAATGCATGTGTGGAAGGAGAGAAAGCGTAAGAGAGTTACTTGCATGCTCTTGTATACATGCCATGTGTAACCCAAATCACGGGCGTTCACATTCATGAGACTGTTGAAAACATAGATATTTGGGATGACCTTCTGCTTGCAAATGTCCTGGAGTAAAATTCAAGGTCAAAGAAAGTTCTCAGCAACTTTTTTAAGTGATATGACATTAAAGTTTGATTTGATAGGTAAAAGAAGTTTTAAAGTAAAATGATGACAAGATTTCTAGAGCAGAAATATGTAATTAAATAACTATAAAGTTAAATACTGAATCCAGTTCCCGTTATGTCCAAGATGATCAAAGGTCAAAGGCAATAAACCTACAGAAAAGGTCAGTATGCTTGCTGACCAATCTATTCTGACAGCCATAGCCAGATTTTGTAATAAATATAGGCAGAAGGAACATGCACTTCGCAAAGTTGGTTGTAGTCTTCTATAAAGTAGAGCATCCTTCATGAGCTCCTTACTTACGTTTTTTTTTTAATATATGGTGCATCCATTGAAGATGGTTAACACATTTAAACCAAATGAAGTGCAAGAAAGGTGAAGACAGTCAAGGAATCAAGGCAAGTACCTCATAAATATACCTGGATTTCATATAGTCGCCACAGAGACCACAAACATCAATTGTTGCACGACAAACATACATATTAGGAACACTTGAGTGCTCCTTAGATGCTTCGTATGCTGCCAAAGCAGAATCCAAGTCCCCTCTTTTCCCAAATTTATTTATGATGGTACAATATAATATACCTTCATGTGGAAAGAGACTTGCATACCTGCAATACAACAATAAGAAAAATATCAAATGTGACAATCAAACTTGAAATAACCAGTGAAAAATGTCTAAACAACCAACTCATTGAAAAAGAATGATAGTACCTCACTGCCATCTGTGGATTACGTTTATGAATACAGATTTTAATAACTTGAGATGGCTCCACTAGTTCTCTGATGCAGAATCCAAAGCCTGCAAAGGGAACATCCAATGCAAGAATCTCAATCATACAAGAACAACTGTGTACTGAATCTTCAAGCATGCAACATTCAATCAAAAATCTCTTACGATCACTTCCATATGCATACACAAAAATGGGTTATCATACAAATCGTACTAAACTCTTTGGGTCCCCTCTCGTTTAGGCAAGAAATAAACCTGCCCAAGAGGACATATTGAGCTCCCATTTGTTCTTACAATAACACTTAAAAAAAATATCTTGAAGAAGATTTCGGTAGCAGAAACTAGAAAGATAACTCTTTTACTACACATATCGTATACAATTTCTAGAGTATGAATAGTCCAATATGCTTATGTGAATTGCTTCAATAATAATTCAATTGGTTAGAGACTAAAAAAGCTCATCATTAACGAAAAAGTCTTACCAGCAAGAATCTCCATTAAACCAACGATTTCTTCCAGGTTACCACTATTCACAATCCGTACACACTCTGTTCTAAGCAATTCCATAGCCACCCCATCAAAAAGCTTCGACGGAGGAATTCCCGACTTCTCAACTCTCCTCAAAACCTCATCAACACTCTCTACATTTCCCTCTCCAAGATTCTTTGAAATTCCCTTGGCCAAAGAAACCACATTAAGTCCAGCAACAAACTGTGAAGCCTCAACACCTGAAGCAATAACGGACTCTGCAATTATAGAGAAGTCATGAAGGCGGCCATCCTCGGCAAGCTTAGAAGCTAGGTCGAGGTAGTAGTTGAGGAGAGACTTGTGGCGGGAGAGGTCCTCTCGAGCGCTGGAGAGAGGAGGAGAGCGGGAATGGACGGTAGATATTGATTTGGAAGGGGCAGGGAAAAGATTGTGAGGTGAGGATTTGGCTCTAGGTTTTGGAGAATGGTGGTGAGGAGTAGAAGAGGAAGATGGATTTGGAGGAGTAACAATGGAGGATGAGCTCAGAATGACAAGCTCTCTCATTCTTGATTTTTTCCAACCGTTATTGTTCTTTTTGGGGTGGGTTTAGGCAATGGGGTTTTATGCTATTTGGCAAAGTTTTTTGGATTGAATTTGAAAGGTTGGTATTTTTGGTCGAGGAAGCTCCCAAATTGAATGAAAACGACGGCGTTTGTTGGTGGGAAGGACTAGAGGTAGGCCTTAAAATTCGAAAAAGCCCAGCCCATAAATAGACAGGCCAGTCCAAACCCAATTAAATGCACCTTCTCGATCAAAAACCAAAAGTACAAAAGCCCCCTTGCATCACGGCCCCCGCCACCACTCCTCTCCTCACCGGACTTTGTAGAATAACGTCAAAATAAAAGCCCTAGCCACCATCTTATCCAGAAAGCAGGCGTTTAGCGGCGGGCGTCGGTCGTTCATTGGATGCAAATAAGAAATGCCTCCGAAGCAGCAGTCAAAAACCGATTTAGCGAAGAAGCAGAAGATCGTAGAAGATAAGACCTTCGGTCTCAAGAACAAAAACAAGAGCAAAAATGTCCAGAAATATGTACAGAATCTCAAGCAATCCGTACAGCCCAAACCTGACGCTTCAAAGGCCGCCGCTAAGGTCCGATTATATTTACTTTTTTCTTTTGTCCCTTATTAATTTGTTTTCTGTTATTTCTTTTTGTGCATCTAGCTAATCTATTGCATTGATCTCTAATTTGCTTCTACTTCCATTGAAAAGTTGGCAAAGCATCTTGCTTTACTTTTTTTTTTTTTTTTTTTTTTTTTTTTTTTTGCTTTACACTTTTTTTGTTTTTTTTTTTTTTTTTTTTTTTTTTTTTTTTTTTTTTTTTTTTAAAGTTTATTTGTGCTGCTAAATTTGATTAAGAGAGTTATTGAATTATCAGAAAAAGAAAGAGGAAGATAAGGCCAAAGAAAAGGAGCTGAATGAATTGTTCAAGGTGGCTGTTAGTCAGCCAAAAGTTCCAATTGGTAATGTTCTCTCTCTAAACCCTAATAGAATATACTATGAATAGTTGTGAGCTTCTATTATATGCATAGTTTAGTTGAATGTAGCTTATGCTAATAATTGCACATGTAATCAGGCGTTGACCCCAAGTCTATACTATGTGAGTTCTTTAAAGTGGGACAATGTGCTAAAGGTTTCAAATGCAAGTTTTCACATGATTTGAATGTTCAGAGGAAGGGAGAAAAGATCGATATTTACAGCGATAAGCGTGACCAAGGTTATTGCATAACAAATTTAGTTTGTTTGATTGTTCTCCATTTGTTATTTATGAGGATTCATTTTTTGTGGTTGTTCATGTGTATTTGGTTTTGGTTTTTCCTAGAAGAAACAATGGAGGATTGGGATCAAGAGACCTTGGAAAAGGTTGTGGAGTCAAAGAAAACGGAGTATAATCAAAATAAACCTACTGACATCGTAAGTATTCTCCTTAAAAAAAGTAGAATTGTTGTGTGGAAAACTAAAGAACATGCCAGCTTTAGTTCCTCATTATTGACTTGCAATATTCAGACTACTTTCATGCTTCACGTTTATGTGTTGAATATGAATGTTGAACTCTTGCTTCTCTTTTTGCATCCTAATTGTATTATGTACAGAATATGATATCACAGTGAGATGGCATTGGTACTTTGCTGGATATGATCTCTTTGTTTTATGAACTTTACTAAACAGAACATGTTTGTTGATAGTCCCTTTTGGCAATAAAGAAATAGTGTATTTAATATTCTGATATAAATGCTTACTTAATTAACTTAAACAACATAATTGTTGCTGGGAGCCTGGCCAATTGAGGTTGGAAATTAGAGATAAATGGTAAATGTAAATTGGACTTGTGGACCTAGATTTGTATGAGCTTATTTAAAACTTGGAAAGACAATGTATGCTGGCATAATTTCAAGCCTATTAGCAACATCAAGATGCTACTGAGAGTTTGTTTCAATTCAGGAAGGGAAAGAAAACTCCGAAAATATTACAATGAAGAGGTGAATAAATTGGATAAATCACAATGAGTTTTAGAGAGGGAAAAGAGATTGTTTTTGAATTGTTTGCAATCTCTTGTACTGAAAAAGAAACAATTTCGAGGAAGGAAAGAGGGAGAGAGGAGTATGTATTAGAAGAGATGAGATTCTTTAGGTTTGGTGCTTTATTTGGCATACATGGGTTCATGACATAGTGACATTAGGCATATGCTTACACCCACAAGGAAATCCGATAAAGCAAACATTACAAAGATATCAGCTTAGCCTGAAGAGAAGCATCGTGTCTTTGATTTTAATTTAAACTTGTGGCCATAATTTGGGCTGATATTTGTCTTGTCTTGGTGAACCTTTAGTTCATAGTTTATTCATACAACTTATATCGTTTGGGAATATATATGCAGGTTTGCAAATACTTTCTAGAAGCTGTGGAGAAGAAACAATATGGCTGGTTTTGGGTCTGCCCAAATGGTGGCAAAGATTGTCATTACCGGCATGCTCTTCCTCCAGGATATGTACTAAAATCTCAGATGAAAGCTCTTTTAGATGAAGAGGCTGAAAAGATATCAATTGAGGAAGAGATTGAAAATCAGGTGATAACATATTTCCTTGAGCTATCAATGCCGTGATTTAAGAGCAGGAATGCAGGATTTTTTTTTTTTTTTTTTTTTTTTTTTTTTTTTTTGGCATAAGTAGTGTAACATTGTTTTCTGTCATGCCCATTTCTTTCATTCAAATCCCAGTAATTTTTTTTTTTTTTTTTTTTTTTTTTTTTTTTTTTTTGGCATAGTAGTTTATACATTGTTTTCTGTCATGGCCATTTCTTTCATCATCCAGTAATTTTTAATAAAATTATTATTCTTGGTTTTAGCGTGCCAAAGTAGCAACTACAACACCTATGACTCCGGAATTGTTCATGCAATGGAAGAAAAAGAAAACAGAAGAGAGAGATGCTAGTTTGGCTGCACAGAGGGCAGATAGGGCTAAGAACGATCGAATGAGGTACTTCTTCCTCCTGTCTTTGTTGTTTTACACACTTATATGGCGCACAAATGCTCTCTCTCTCTCTCTCCTGCACGCAACATAGTAGAATGGACACAGTAACAAAGAGGGAAGAGATGTGATTACATATGTCATAGTTCATTTCATTGGTTGCTAAATGTGTTGTACTCTTCATGTTATTCCAGTGGCCGTGAGCTATTTCTATCAGATGCTAGTGTGTTTGTGGATGATGCTGAGGCGTATGAGGAATATCAAAGAGAGGAACAATCTAATGTTCCTGAAGAGAAGGTAAATTATATCAAATGATTAAAATGACTTGTTGTGGATCTCATAATTGGCCCTATCTGAACTTAGATATAATTGTTTAGGTTCAGAGAACCCGTCCCAGCCCCCACCTTTCCAACACCCATGAAAGTGCTCGCTTGAGTTTGTTTGTGTTGGAGGGGGTGAGGAACAAGGCTTTCTCCTTGTTTATCATACAGCTCAAGTAACATGGCACTTTTGCTCTGTGCCAAATAATAATCATGTCATGACACATATGTATAGGCATAATGTCATTTTGTTTGCATTGCTGCTAATAGAATTCTATATGTTTGTGAAGCATTGATGTCTCCAATGTAATTGAAGTCCCATACTTGCTTTACTGTTTGTAATCTTTAAAACTGACATGGATGTTCCTGATGAGTTGACTGTAGAAAAATGAGATATCTCATCACTGTAGAGTAAACATTTCTGTTTTTGCTCCTTCTGTGCAGGGCAATGCTAATTCTTCTGCTGATGGACCAAGTACCTCTGCTAAATCTGTTGGCAACGTTGAAGATCCAGATGATGATGATGATGATGATGACGAACTGGATATGGACGAGTTGAATGAGCTGGAAGCAAGTTTAGCAAAAACATCAATCCAAATTCAAGAGCCTGGCAGTGTCAATTAGTTTCTTAATGCAGAGTCTGCTGTCTACATGCCTTTTAAAGTGTTGACTCCATGATCCTGCTGTGAAAGGATGGCCCTGGCCTGTGACAATCTCACAAGCTGTTGATTGTGTTTTTGCAAGATCTTTTCAGAAGTTACTGAGGCCTTCCTTATTTCAGCAACACATGTTTACATGATACCTTCTATTTATCCTATATATGGATTCTGAGTCTCATTCATATTTGTGCCGCTTGGCGTATGCAATTTGTGTCTAGTTTTGATGCTGGGTCTGTCCTGTCAATAATATTAGGAAGATCATAAATGATGTAGAAGGTTGATAAATTTCTGATCATTGGAATGCTTCAGAGATGTCTCTTGTTTGAGATTTTGTGATTTGGCAGAGAAATATGTTAGTGGAAATTAGTAACAATTGATGCTATCTTAGAATTACAGCCCTGTGGTTAATTAACAAGTGGGTTATTCTCAGTAGGGGGTGTAAACGAGCTGACTTGAGCTCAAATCTGCCGGGTTTGAAGCTTAGCACAATAGAAGTTAGCTTGGCTTTAAAAAAAAAAAAAGAGCATTTTAAAATTACTGGTAGTTGTTTTTCTCTGTGAACGATGGGTTTTTTCAAGTTGAATGTTTGCCATTATTTTGAGCTAATTTAGAATTTGGATATATTGTTCATCACTATGACAAATTACCATCATCAAAATCCACTCAAGCGACAAAAAGGAAATTTTTACTGTTGATGTTGCCGTTATGCAACCCATTTTTAAGCAATAATGATTGTATAAATCCAATTGTCGTTGTGACAATTTATATTTATGAAGCAACAGAAGACATGCAAATGTTCAAAGTCCCAACTTTCAATGAATATGGACCAATTTTTGAATCAAGAAACCAATGAGTGGCAATAATTTACCCTACACAGTACTATATATGGTCTGAACTCAACACGAAATTAACTGGATAGATTTTAATTTATGTGTTCATGTTATTATCATATACCTAGTCATAAATACATCCACCAATAAAATTCTAACTTGGAAAAGGGAACATTCAAAGTTTGAATTCCCTTTCCCATTTTTTGTAAAAAATGGAAAATTTTCAATATTTTACAAAATAAACTGTGAATGGAAGTAGCTATCCGATCAGCATGGTGGTCGGGGACATCTTTCAGTAGTAGGAAAGTAGGGGCACCACCACACCACAGCACTTCTTTCTGCAAATTCATCCTTAATTTCAAGAAAATGTATGCTTAATGATTATTCATAAAGCAAGTTACTTTATTGACAATGAATAGCAATTGCTTGTCCATTTAATAAATAATAGTACTTAGTGCTCACTAACAACACAAAAGCCAAGATTAGCAAAGGATTGATGTATGCAATAGGCTGTCTAATCTTGTGGTGACAATCTTTTTGCGTCAAAAGCTCCAACAAATAACTTTCTTTAACCCTCTGTTTTTTCCTTTAAGTGCAAAGGTTCATTTGATCTTGATTTCAAAAAGCAGATGTTTTATTTGTTCTTGTTCTTGTTCTTTGTAGGGTTAGTGTTTCCAATATTTGAAATTTATAACTGTGGCATGAAAAAGAAAACTGACTTCAGCTCTGGAGGCTGAACCATCCAAGAACTTGTCAATGGACAAAGCTTTGATCAGTTGGTGGAAGAAGATCGAAGAAGAAAGCTTACGAGCAACAAATACAAATACACAATCCGAGACCTTGACCCACACGTATATGGCTTGTATTGTTTAGAGGGAACAAAGCAAAGGTTTTCCTGCCCCACATGTTCCCTCTTTTAAAATATATTTCTACCACGACGAAATGTTAGATCATCTTTGGGCTATTCTGCGAAGTGAACCTCTAATACCATTTTTTATCATCTGTCTTTAATTTCCTTGACTGTTCCTTTTATGTTCTTCCTTGACCATTACAAGCTCGTGCATTTTACGTCGAGTAATTTTTAAGTATAATTCTCGATATAAAAAAGTTTAGAATTCGAATTTTGGTCGTTTTTCTTATTAAACTTTTATTAAATTAAAATTTTCAAATTTTCTTGGATTTCACATGAGTGGATAAAATACAAATTTTCCATGAAACTAGGAATCAAAGACAATTTTATGTGCTTCCTAAAATAGGAAACTAAAAAAAAAGAAAGACAAACAAAAAGTACAGTGCTTGAAGCCAATAACTTTTTGATTCAATTCAAAAACAGCAACAACATAAACACTAATGTAAGTAATTAGGTACTTTATTCAAAATCCACCAAGTACTGATACACAACAATATCAGGAAATCACAGCAAAAGCTGGAACCAGCAAAGTTGCGAAGAAATGTTAGAAAGATATACAGTAATAGGTTCAACAGAAACAGAATTCCCATTAGAACGATAGCCCGCACTTGGTAAGGCGTAATGGAATGTAATGTGATATTACAGCTTACCAAAATGTATTCTATTAGTATTATTATTTGTGCATGGAGGTGGAGCCATTTGGTTGCTGAGGTTGATCCTCCTTTATCTTCTTTTTATTAAGGGCTTTTCCTGCTTTGGCTACCATATTGGCTAACTTAGAGAATATCTTCACCTTGATTTGGCCTCTTTTTGGAGGAAGCATATGTATCTCTGTCTTCTTGTTTTCTGGGGATTCAGTGGCTTCATCAGTAATGGCCATGTCTAGCTATCTGCAATTGGAGAAGGAAAAGCAAGCAGCAAAAGGAAAATAAATAAAAGAAAGGAAGCAATTATTTAAGGAGAGGCAGAAAGGGCAGACAAACACACATACATATATATATGTGTTTGGTTCACATTTGAAGTGACATTCTTTGGCGATGATAAGAAAATTAATAACGGAAAAAGAAAATCAAGAAATAGAAAGTTGCAAGAATTATTATTTAATATTTTTCCATGCTCCTTTATGAAAGTTTCAATAAGACATTTTGTGAGGTGTGTACAGTCATGATCACAGTACATTAGGGGTCCACCGCACGCATGGCTAACAATAGTGTTTTGGAATACATTTTGGCTTAATTAACAAGAAATGAAATTTGGCTAATCTCTGAGATTAGCTGATGAAAGATTTCATAACCTATAAATAGCGACTCAAAATGATAATCCACATTTTAGTTTTAGCAGACGATTTCTATAAAAATAGGAGCTCGACCCATGAAAAAAGAATTCGTAAGAAGGGACTGTCACGATCTCTAAAACAAGATTAATCTCATATCCAATGAATACGGGAGTACTCATGGGAAAATCTGGAAAAAAAATGAAAGATACCAAATATCTCATAAATTAACATATTGAGATGATATGTTACCGACTGCTGACTTTGTAGGTTTTGAACGTTGATTATAATTCATCTTCCATTGCATTTTCACATTCATTCACACTCATGATTATGATTCTTAAAGGCTGCAGCCCATTTTTTTACTGAAACCAGCAAGTCTTGGAATCAAAATTCTGATACTAAATTAATTTTTGAAAATTAAAAACAAGTCAAGGTCTATGCCCCATATAACATATCAACATGACTGGCTTTCTTACCATGTCAAAGCTAAGGGCTCCAATTTCTCAGTTTATTGGTTATCGTAAAGTTTGTTGTCCCCTTGAAAATGACTCAGAGGAGTTTCTGTACAAAGAAGAGCAGACATGCCTAACAGGTGTCTTCCTGCACTGAGAGAAACACAAAATTGGGTATAGTCTAGGATTTTAAAGTTTCTTTGAGGAACATAATAATTCATTTTAAGAACAAGTCTTGTAAGTGGCATGGTGAAATTGTATTGCAAGTTGACTGCAGGTGAATGTTTTTCGAACTCTCACGCGTAGAAGAACATGACAATAAGGTGATTCTCATGCCAACAATCTGATTAACATGAGAAGACCAGCCAAATCTAGCTTCCATCGGTATCTGCATCTCAACTTCAGTGCTGACTGCTCATCGCTGCGGCTGCACGTTAAAAGAAGGTTCAGTAGTGGACATTTAAGAAATTTAAAAAATAAAAATAGTTCTTCCATGTAATATGCAAATTTGAGAAACTTTTTCATCTATTTTCCTTCCACGTGCCTCAGGCCAAGGCACATTAGTAGCAATCTTCAACATTTGATCCTTTCACAAGTTCAAAACTAGCTACAAGAAAAGACAACTGCAGAAGTCTTTCATTAGTACACTCCAAAGAAATTTCTCTTTTCAACATCAACTTCTCCAACCAGTCTAAAAGATCCAGAAAGATCCAAAATGTAATTTGTTGGCCGTTCATTATTTCGTTCTTTCCATTAATAATTGGAAATAGCATTCAGGTACATACGAAGGTTTTAAACCTTAATGAAGCACAAGAATATTAACAAAAAAAAAAAAAAAAAAAATAATGAAGCACAAGGAATATAACAAAAAAAAAAAAAAAAAAAAAATGTACTCAAAAAAAAAAAAAAAAAAAATTACTCTTAGTAGCTGCATTAAGTTGCAGTTCTCTGCCCTACGCTCTCTTTCTTCATTACACTTTTACAGCAAAAAAAAATTGCTTTCTTGGAAAAAGTTAACAGAACTTGAGTTGAATCACTTGATCGGATAAAGAATAGTGTAGACCAAAAGAAATGTGACTATAACAATGGCCCCAAATAGAGTAAACCTCGGACTGGTCCACAACATGAGGTTCGACCTCTCCGTTCTCTTGATAGGATCAACCTCTTCAGACAGTGGGTAGTTCGAGCGTCTAGGATTCCAAGTCACATACTTGTTTGGAGAGAACTGAGAGAAAAAGGTTTTCTTCCCCTGCTTTCTGAATTTTGACCAGGCCTTATCCCAGTCTGTTGAAAATTTATCACCTGAGGCAAGTGCAACAAATAATATTGACGTAAATTACCTCTTTTGGAATCAATATAGGAAAGTTGTATTCACATTAGACGGAGAGCACTATACATATAAAAAGAATTGTCTTTTCATTCAACAGAAGATGTGGTAATTAGTAAATATGTCAAACTAATTGCAAACAATCTTTTGCAAGCTTCCTCAAAATGTCTACACAAGTCTGGCAAAGGAAAACAACAAAACCCAGAAGGTTGCAGTACGGACATTATAAAGCCTTGCTGAGAGAGGTTTGTGTATGTTCAAAGTTTCGAACACGGGGCTTAAGCATTCCTAAGGTGATTAACATTTGCCTCGAACGATGACAATAGCCATCAATGTCAATTATGTCATAGATATAAACAAATTAAAAGGAATACTCAGTGTTTTAGTTTCACATGTATCCTATTGATTATGGATTCTAACAAGGCCCAAGAGTCATTTCCAAAGAATTGAAATCCTGAAGGAATAACAGGTTCTTCTGTTGTTCAGATTGATACTAATCAAGATAGACATAAAGGTTCTCCTTTTAGAATGCTTGTTGATTTTACTTTCACGATGACTACCACAGCGAAAGAATGAAGAATAAGAAAGACAGCCCAAATAGGGAAACATTCAATACGAACTCGTTCAATCTAAAAGTTAAAACTTGTAATTGAGTTCCAAAATTGATTTCGTATACAGAAGCTATGTTTGGTTCCTCTAGAAATAAGAATGGGATGCAATTTCCTTGATTAGGATTACATTTCTTTTAAGTACGCAAATTAAATAATCAAATTCCTGATAACAAGACGAGAGTTCAGTTAGTTAAGAGCCTACCATTGTCGTCGTTTCGGTTGGGTTGTGAAGAGTTCCTCTGAGAGCAGAAAGCTGTAAGAGGAGATTTAAATTTTTGTACTTTTGCAGACAATAAGCTATAACAGAGACGACCTCGAATATCCATTTTCTTAGCATCCAAACAGAAATTCAAGACTAGGCTCACTGGTATTGGCATATCCCCATTACTAAGAGCCAATGGATGTTTGGCCCTCTCTTATCCGACTCCTCTCATATTCCACCATATATTCTGGGAGAATGACACGTGTCATATTTGTATCTTTCTGGGACCCCACCCGAAATCAAAGTGGTCCGTCCATTCACCGAATTGGGCTAAACTAAATTGGGCCTTGGATAGGATGTCTAGTAGGCCTACGTTGTTATTTGGTTTACCGCTATTTGGTAATATCGTTTCGTCTGTGTCCATGTCCATGTTTGATCATGGTCGGTCGGCAGGTAGCTTCGCCTAGCTCTCTCATCACAAGTGGAGATCATCCCACCACGTGTCTCGCGAACGTGGGTCCCTGCTTATTGTTTATTAGTGCGTATTTCACGATTCACCGCACGAGGCGGGAGATCAATTTTTGGCCGTTGGATGATTTGGTTGTTGAAACGGCAGGGATTAAATGCTGGCCACTAGTGTTTACGCGATTTTATTAGTGGACTAGAAAGAAAGACTGCAATGTAGCTTTCTGTAATCTGTGGTGGGTCCATTTGCCGATTTGTTGCTGTGGTTCCAAACCATCACTGATTCTCCGCGTCGCGGGCTAGCTAGTCCAGGTTACTATCGGAGGTGAAATAGCAGATAAGAAGGAATCATTTATTTATTCATTTAATGCTCCGTTGCTAAAACCAAACAAATTTATATACAAATAGATAAATTAAACTTTCAATATCAAAATCGAAGTTGAATTTACTGCGAACACCGAATCGATTCAGTTCAATATATTTTTTCAAATTTTAATAACTTTGGTTGTATTGAAATCTAACTGATTGCATTTGATGAAATAAAATTGAATTACCTTAAAACTTCAAATTAAATCGAAATAAATTGAAAATCGAAATTGTAGTCGACGAACCAACCGAATTCAACAATGTTAGTTTGATTCAAATTTAGTCACCTTGATTACCACCAAACAATCAATCTTCTAAACTCTAAGACTATCTAATTTGGCCAAAGATAATTTTTTTGTATAATTAATCCCAATTTTGCATTAAATGTTAAAAAATTAAAGGTTTAGCAAAAATAAAGTAAATAATATTTTTTAGCTAAAGGATTTATTAGTTAAAAATATTAAATATTCTCTAGATATTTTTTATAGATATTTTGTTTCATATTACATATTTCTTATGTGGTTTTATTTTAACAAACTCAATTAGTTTTTAATTAGAATTTAATTGTGAGTGCTGTTAAAATTGTTAAGATGTGAAACTCGTAGGTAAACCGGTAAAATATAAAATCCATAACTCGTGGAATGTATAAAATATCACATTTCATTATTTGATTGAAAAATAAAACACATTAATATAAATATTATTTTTGAAATAAAATTTTAGTATTTATATAAGACGATGAAATCTCACTCTCTGATTTAGAATTTCTATTTCAAAATGATAAAATTGAAATCATAATATTATAATTTATCATCAATTAAACAAATATATTTTAATAAATTAATGAAATATTTAAAATTTACCACTTAAATTTTATTAATCCAAATAAATTGTAAAGGTAAATAAAAATATACACTGTATAATTTGAAAAATTGATAGCGATGGGGGATGGTTATTTAATAATTCAATATATATAGTGTCTTTTCACACAAATGATTGGATCATTCGTCGAGTAAAAGAAGAGACCAAGGAGAATAAAATCGGCGTAGACGAGGAGATGGTAACATGAAGTGGACGATTAAATGAAAGGTCTGAGATCGCTCTTCAGTCTCCCCCACATCTGCCCAGCTCGCCAGGAAAAACTTGGCCATTTCTGTGTCGTTACGCTTGCTCAACCAAACTCGCAGCAAAAAACATCTCTCTCTCTCTCTCTCTCTCTCTTCCTCTTTCTTCACAGAATTCCCAATCTATGGTTTGTTTTTCAAATACTGTACCAAGGAAATGATCAACAGCAACGCAGCCTCCTCGCCTGCGAAGCCGCCTCCACCTCCGCCTACTCAACCGCCACAATCAATGGCCATTTCATCATCTACAGCTACCACATCATCAACCGCACCACCTACGGCTGATGGCTCAGGCAAGAAGGTGAGGAAGCCCTACACCATCACCAAGTCCCGCGAGAGCTGGACCGAAGAAGAGCACGATAAGTTCCTCGAAGCTCTTCAGCTGTAAGGCCCTCATTTTCTCTTTTCTATTCTTCTGTCTCTTTGTTTATATTGAATCAAGCACTAGCAAAATAATAATAATTATTATCATAGTTTAGAAGCATCGGCTACTTCGGCAATTCTATTCATTTGCATAATTGATCTTTATGTCCCGAGCTTTAAGCTATTTGCTGAGATATAGATTATAATTTTGAGTATTTGGGGGATTGTAATTCAATTGGAAAGTTCAATTGCAAACTTCGAGTATAGTATTGGACTGTTGTTTAATACTTTATAGGTGACAAATTATAGTACACTTGATAGGTCGTTCGAATTAGCTGAACCTTAATTTGACTTTAATTAGTAATTACTTTCAATTCCCTGGCAATTGTGTAGCTTTCATTTTTTTTGCATTGCGTTTCTTTCTTTTTTCTATTGGTTATAGGAGTTGCTTTGTGCAAATTGAATAAAATGAAGCATGTCATGCTTTTGTTAGTCTGTAGAACATTTATTCGATGGAATTGAGTCCTGAATTTAGTAGCACTTTGCCTTTTCATTTAGGTTTGATCGTGACTGGAAAAAGATAGAAGATTTTGTGGGTTCAAAGACAGTGATCCAGGTTTGAGTTTTGTTTCTCTTGTTTGCAGGTTATCTTTTGGGAGTTCATTTACTGATTATTTGCCTTTCTAGATTCGGAGTCATGCACAGAAATACTTTTTGAAGGTCCAAAAGAATGGGACAATTGCACATGTCCCTCCTCCCCGCCCCAAGCGCAAAGCAAGTCATCCTTATCCACAAAAGGCATCTAAAAATGGTTAGGCTTTCTCATTAATTGATGGTTCATTTGAATGTAGCTTCAGAGAATCACATGGTTGATAGGCTGACATGTTATGTCATATGTTGCAGTTTTAGTTCCACTCCCAGCATCCATGGCATACACTTCTTCAATAAATACACTTGCACCTGGATATCCTCCATGGGATGACACTTCCTTGCTAATAAATACTGCAACAAGCAAAATTATGCCATCACAAGACGAATTTACAAATCTTCAGGGGGCTGAAGGCATGTATATTGCTTTCTGTATTGTTTTCTCATTATTTTATTAGTAGACTGTCTTTTATAATGGGAACTTTCCAGCACTTCTTATGCCATTCAAAATTACTGATTCAGCTGATATTGGATCAAAGGGCGTAGCAAGTTTAAGTAACAATAACATTAGCAGCATGGGGAACCTACGTAGAAAACTGCCAAGTTCTGAGATACCAAAACAAGCGAAAAAGGCTCCTGTGCTTCATGGTAATATCCTAGACTAACATCATCTGTTCTCCACACAGAATGTAGAAAGAAAAAGGGCTTTTTCATTTCCATTGATGGTTTGCAGGTTTGCCAGATTTTGCTGAAGTATATAGCTTTATTGGGAGTGTCTTCGATCCAGACACAACTGATCATGTTCAAAAGCTCAAGGAAATGGATCCTATAAATTTTGAAACTGTAAGTTACATAGAACTCAATGAAGGTGGTTTAATTGCCCATATTTTTCCAATGATACTGCGCAAAGATAATTATTGGCATGCTCAGATAAAGAAAAAAAAAAAAAAAAGGAAAATGGTCAAATGGCCTGGTATGGTGGTGGAAAGTGACTAATTTGTAGATTAAGTCTGCAGATTTTTCCATACTTTTGTCCCACAATGATTAAAGATGCCTCATGCACCACCTGCACAAACTTGTTATAATTTGCACTAGGCACATGGAGTGATAGCATCTGTTTGAGAACTGATATAAGGAATTACATATCGCTGATGTCACCAATCTCTTGCATGCTCGAACTTAACTGAGAATCAAAATGAACACATGAGAGTAGCAATTATTTCATACACTATAACATGGTACCCTCTAATTTTCTATTTTATTTAGAACAAACTTTGGTAGGGAAAGAACCTTCCATTAGTGGTATAGTCTCTTTTGAAGTTTATTCTGACATGGAAGTATAATGATTTTCAAAAGCCTTGTAATTCTGATCAGAGTCTCAGATATGGTTGATGGTGTGAGTTTAATGAGATTCTTTGGTCGTGAATGTCAGCCTAGCTTGTCCATCTGTCATCATGGTTAATAAAGTATGGTATTTAATGCTTTGCATTAGATGATACCCTGATATTTTTTTCTCAGTCATGTACTATCCAGAATTGGAACTTTCTTGAGGTGTATCAATCAAAGTTTATGTTCTAATATTGTAGGCAGAGACTGTGTCCTAATTTGGCTAACCACTGTGAATTTGTTAATTTGTTTATATGATTCTCTTGTTTTTGATTCAAATTTATGTTTACTTAATGCCATTTGCTGACTTCCAGGTTTTGTTATTGATGAGGAACCTCACAGTTAATTTGTCTAGCCCTGATTTTGAGCCAATTGTAAGTGATAATGCTTTTCTTTCTCCTGCACGATTGTAGCTCTTAACCACAGAGAATTTTTTTATGTATAAGAACCAAGCGTAATTTGTGCGTGGGAAAAAAAGAATCAAGAAACTTTGTTGTTATATTCATCCATTTTGGCTCATTGAAAGGGCCTCACTTGTAATATATTTACAGCAATTGTATAAAGTGTGGGATTTTATATATAATCAATTCTATGCATTTTGGAAATAAGGGTTTAACGTAAGTGAATGTTTAAATAGCTTCTACGACAAATAAGAGTTCACTGCCTCATGAAGTGTAGTGAATGAAATGTTTGATTCTCGTTGCCCTTAAACAGTTTCTGTACATTTTAAGTGGGGTTCCATAGGTTTCTAAAAGTACAACAGTGTATAGAAGAAAAGTAAACAAACAAAAATGTCCAAGGTATATATTTTAACAAAGATTGTGACTATTTGCTCCAAGCCATGTATTCAAGTGCAAAGTAAGCAACTAGTTCTATCCTAGACAAATATGTAAAATATATAGCACGACATTGTGGGAAACTATCTGAATATAGTTTCAAATTTGCAAGAACACTGTTTGGTTTACAATGTGGAATTGAGCATGTGATTCCAAAACCAACAATAATCAGCATCTGTCTTCATTATCTTCTATTACATCTCAAGCACTTTGCTTTACCTGTTATTTTGATTAGAAAATGTCCCTTAATGATATCTTTGACATATTCTTTTTCTTTATGAATTCTCTTTGGTAAGTGATTGCTCTGTAACCTTGGCTAGTTGATCTCCTTGGTTAATTCAGAGAAAGGTCCTGTCATCATGTGACATTAATGTGCTGGGAGTTACTGCCAAGAACCAAACTAATGATATATCAACTTGAAGTTTTTGCTACTCACAGCTTGCTGACTGGTGAGTGTTTTATTATTCTTCTGGTTATTCTCCATTGCTGTACCTCTATATACCATTTTTCCTGACAACATTCATTCTTTGCAGTAGGGACCAGGTGATGTGTAGCCAGAATGTCTTGCTCCTTCACTGGAATTAGTAGTGCCTAGCTCGGAATATCAGTAGAGGCAAAGCACAGCAGCCGCAGCCAACAAATGGCTGTGAGTGGAAGAAAGTTATATAGTGAATTCTAATGTCTGCAACTGCACCGAACTTAATTTCCACTGATCTCTGTAGGAAGGGTCGTTCGTATTCTGTACATGATGGGTTCTTCAACCAAAAGTGTGTATATCTTGCGAGGTTTACTTGGTTGCTATTTAACCATTCATTAATATAGTGTCATATCCACGTGTAACTATGAGATTGAACACATTACAATAGGAAAGCCTTAGACATGTTGATGTAGGTAATCAAGTAGTTTTGTATACTGTTGTTTTTCCTTTCTTATTTGTTGTTTCTTCAGATGTATTATGTTTGTTAGAGAAAGCTAAATACATTCATTCCTACTGATATTTTGTCAAGATTGTTACTAACTATTTCTTTTATTGGTGAAATATACGATGATTGAAAATTTGAAATCTATAAAATTAGGTAGTTATATAAGTGAAACCACTAATAAGAATTTAGTGTCGTCACTAGCGATAATTGCAGTTGTAAATTTTGAGATGTATGCACGAGTGAGCTGCAAATCAGAGCCAATTAGCCTAATGCGTAGGAAAGAAAATGTTATTCTTTTTCATACATTTGTGTCATCTATAGACTAATTAACAACGATTCTCTCTCTATGAGCATCCATATTTTGCAAACCTTAATCTAAATAAGGATTTAACATAACTAATCACCTTAGAGGTATTAAGAAATTTAAAACCGTACCTGAAATTATGAAGGTTTGAGTTCAAATATTATTCATTTTTCCGGACATTGCCCGACAAAATGCTTTTCTTTTTAGGCTCCGCCCAAACACAACAAGTCCAGCCCATCCGTAAACTAAGCCCAAACTTTATGTCTTCTAACAGAAACTGCTTATACGCGTTACCAAACACTCAGAAACGCTTGAACCCTAAAATCCCACTATAAATACTCTCAAATGTTTATTTGCCTTTTCTCTAACCCAAAACCCTAGTTTTCTCACTTCCCTGCACGCACAGATCAAAGAGCACGATGGCCGCTGCAGCTGCCCGTCCTCTTGTCTCCGTACAATCCCTCCCTTCCTTAAATGATATGGCAACGGATTCCGCTTCCACCGTTCCCCTTCCCGATGTTATGAAGTCCTCAATTCGACCTGACATCGTTAACTTCGTCCACTCCAACATATCCAAGAACAGCCGCCAACCATATGCAGTGTCCAGACGCGCCGGACACCAAACCTCTGCCGAGTCCTGGGGTACTGGACGTGCTGTCTCCCGTATTCCCCGTGTTCCTGGTGGTGGTACTCACCGTGCGGGCCAGGGTGCTTTTGGAAACATGTGTCGTGGTGGACGCATGTTTGCACCTACTAAGATCTGGCGCCGCTGGCACCGTAAGATTAATGTGAATCAGAAGAGGTACGCGGTCGTTTCAGCTATTGCTGCTTCAGCTATCCCTGCTTTGGTTATGGCTCGTGGCCATAAGGTTGAATCGGTCCCGGAGATGCCACTTGTCATTTCTGATTCAGTGGAGAGCGTTGAGAAAACATCTGGCGCCATCAAGGTGCTTAAGGAGATTGGAGCTTTTCCTGACGCTGAAAAGGCTAAGGATAGTCATGCGATCCGGCCTGGTAAAGGTAAAATGAGGAACCGGCGGTACATTTCCCGCAAGGGTCCCCTGATTGTCTATGGGACCGAGGGAGCCAAGCTTGTCAAGGCTTTTAGGAACATTCCAGGAGTTGAGGTGGCGAATGTAGACCGCTTAAATCTGTTGAAGTTGGCACCTGGTGGCCATCTTGGGCGTTTTGTTATTTGGACCAAGTCTGCTTTCGAGAAGCTGGACTCGATCTATGGCTCTTTTGAGAAACCCTCAGATAAGAAGAAGGGTTATGTGCTCCCCAGATCTAAGATGGTTAATGCTGATCTGGCTAGAATCATCAACTCTGATGAGGTGCAGTCAACGGTGAAGCCTATCAAAGAAGGGGTTAAGAGAGCTCCTCTTAAGAAGAATCCCCTTAAGAACTTAAACTCAATGTTGAAGCTCAATCCGTATGCTAAGACAGCTAGGAGGATGTCCCTTTTGGCTGAGGCCCAACGCGTCAAGTCTAAGAAGGAGAAGCTGGAGAAGAAGAGGAAACCAGTCACCAAGGTATATCTATTCTCTTTCATTGTCTACATTTGTGTAATTAGTACTTTGCATATGTTATTACAATCTGTGATTTATTTTGAATGTTGGTATCCGATAGTTGTCCACATTTGTTGAATTTGCTGAGTAATTGTTTAAGTAAAGTTGTTTGTCAGATTTCTATATTGCATTTTGGTTCGATTATTACATAGTTGTATCTGCTAGACTTTGAATTTTGGTAATCTGGATGTGGGTAATCAAATTGTTTATTATAGTGTCAATGTGTTAGAAACTTAGAATCTATGAAAATATTTTAACATAGTCTTTTTAACTTATTAGGCTTATGTGCATACGAATGGCATTTGACTTATTTTTAAGTCTCATTAACATTGTTCCATCTGAGGTTTAGTGTAGTTTGTTTTATCCTAGTGTGTTGTTGAGTTGAATACGCTTTCTGTTTACCTGCTCCATTCAATGTTGCATCGGCCCTTTACAACTCTAAACATCATGCCATGATGCGATCTGATTGCACCTCTAGATATTTAATTGTCTTTTTTGCATCTCTAAATTTTATTTGCTTTATAGGTTTTATTTTTTCTGATCACATGATGGTGTAGTATGCTCTTATTATATTATGTATTGCTGCTTATTTCCTTAATTCTGGTTTATGTGAATTCCACTGCTTGCTAATTGACCTTGTGTTTCCCTTCTTCCTATGAACCTACCAGGAGGAGGCCGCTGCAATCAAGGCAGCAGGCAAGGCATGGTACCAGACCATGATTTCGGACAGTGACTACACTGAATTCGAGAACTTCTCCAAGTGGCTGAATGTTAGCCAGTAATTTATTTTTCTGCATTACAAGTCGAGGAACAGATTTTGTTTGTTATGATTTTCAATTTCTTTTGTTATGTTATGAATTTGGACATGGTTATGGATAGGTGGGAAGGAATGGAGGGGTATGATTGCATTTTCAACTTTCTGTTCTCCTTCCTGCCATCTTGTCTTGTTTGGTTAGGTAAAAGATTCACATTTGAGGTAAACACTGAGATTAAAAAATTTTCCCTCTTTACTTGGTTGTGATGGTATATTACTTTGTGCTTCGTAGTTAACAGTAGGCTATGAATTGCAAAAATGTCTTCAACCCTTCTATTTTAATACTTTGCATGTTATTTTGCATTTGCAACCTCAGTTCGTTAAAATTGACAGAAGCCTTTTTTAATATTCTGCTTTTATCGAATAAGCTTGTCTTGCTACATATAGTGATGTAATTTGAGTTTTTGATTTCAATTTTACTTAGACTGGTATTCCCCTACTTCTGAATCTCGACGGCTTTTATGCCCTAGCACATTCCTTGTCGAAATTAATTGTATTAATCCTGAATGCTGAAGTTTATTTTTGGCTGATAGAAGCTTCTGAGCTCTACGTCAAAGTTAAGGTCTATTTCACCTTCTTTGTGAGAAGCATGCTTAAGTTAAATGATCCTTTTTACTTGAAAAATGCTATAGATTTTGTTTAATATTGGTTTGTTTTTATTTCTGCTTATATTTCTATATCGTTTGTCATTGCGGTATATATATATATATATATATATTGGCGTATGGGTGTTGTATGCTGCAGCTTTGTTTTACTGATAAAAAAAGGATTGGCTATTGGGTAATTAAATTTCACATCAAAGGGAAAATGTGTTCAGTCTGTACTCTTTCAGCAACCGATTTTGATTTGAATCACAATAGTTAATGGCAGAGGAAATATGTTTTTATTTGTTAATAATGTGATTAGCAGTGAAATATGAAATATCTAGCAGCTTATGGTATTTCTTGCTTCCTATAATTACACGCGGAGATGAGAGCTACGGCCAAATATTTACATTTTCTGTGGTTTCTCCTTTTTGTTGAATGTTTGCGTTTATGAATTTGGTTCCCATGCTCACTCATGCCTTGTAACGAAAATCTGAGGTCATATTTATTCGATGAATCACATGAATTCCGTTTTATGTAGTCTTTCTGTGTGGGCATTTTATCAGGGCTACGCCTTCTGGGCCCTGATTCGGAATTGGAGGTCATAACTTTTTAGCTTTTGGCCCATACAATTCTAGTGACCATTTTTCTACTATTCATTTCTGTACAGATGATGTCAGAAAATTATTCCAATTATCTCATTAAATTGTAGTTGATTTGTTATGTGGGAGCCTTTGACTGTCCTATTCCTACCTAATCAGCTTTCTTGAAACATCTTTAATAGAAATAAGTATACAGTGTTTGTATCCACTAAGCTAAAAACCAAATTTAGAAGAGAAGAAAAAGTTGTTTGGCGTGTAGACGATAACGTGTCCACTCCAACCATTAGCACATATATGTAGATATATATGTGAGCAAAATGGCAATAGAATACTCTCCTTTATCTTAATGAAAGTTTAACTATTTTCAGGTTCTCATCTTAGCCGATATTCTTCTTGTCTGTTACTGTTACTACAGTTAAGTACTTCCCTTTGTCATTATCAAATAACTATTTCAATCATTATATTAATTACATCGTAAATGTTTCTTTTGTTCGCGTTTGAGTTGTGAATAAGATTCATTTTAACAACGTTGATTTTAGATTTAGATTTTTTAAATTATTTTCTTAAAAAATTAAAAAAAAAAAGAGTAAATTAATTAATCAAAACAGTAAAAAAAAAAAAAAGCAAATTTGAAGAAGGGAATTGCTTAGTGCTATATTTGGATATATTCGATATAATTTATTAATATGAAAGTTGTTCCTTAAACTTTGCACTTTTTAGCTAAATTCTCTAACCAACCATATTCTATTCTATCACTATCAAATAATACCCACAAAAGTTTAGAAGAGGAGTCTCTTTTGGCTATGTCTATCACCTAATATCACTTCCCATTTCTCAATTAAAATATTAAAACTATCCCCACTATATAATTGCCATTTGCAAAGTCAATTTCAATAAAGCCAAGTGCTTAATGATTCTTCAAAATATCTTTTCTCCATTTCAACTATTTATTTATTTATTTATTTATTATTTATTATCATAAGAACAAATTAGCTACTACATCTATCAAAAAATTACTACAATTTAGAATTATCAAACATTAATTCTTTAATTTTAGTGATAAGGGTTCTATTATTTCACATATCATAACCTTTTCTTCCCATGAATTTCTTGATTTTGATAAGGGAAAAAAAAAAGTTTATATTATGATTGAATAATATCAAGAAAATAGTACCAAACTCCCTTTTTTAATTAATAATTATTCATTCAACCAATAATATTGCAATTCCTGATCCTGGTAAGTATGGAATGAAATTATCCATTCAATAATACATTAACACTTTCTCAACAACCCAACCTCCCTTCTTTTTTTTCCCTTAAAGTCATTAATTAAAGAGGATGGGATGGGAATGGAATTATCAATTTTTATAAAAAAAAAATATGAAATTAAATATTTATGGAATATATGTAAATTATTTAATTATTTAATAAGTATTTTCACCCATTTTTATTATCTAATACTTATTCGTAAAAGAAGATGAAAGCCAGGTAAAAAAAAATTTGTCCACGTGATGGATATGATAAGAAGCATTGTGGGAGAAAAGTTGAAACAAACGACAAGCAATGAAAGGTTTAATGAGATCGGGACCCATAATTTAGTGACAGTTGGCATCGTTTTGGGTTGTAGACGACGAGTACGGATATTGCCCCTAAGATTTCACACTTCACACCTTACAGTCCACATGGCCAATTGCAATGCACATTTACATATGATCATCACCATCCAAATTCACTTTTAACTCAATTCCTTAATTTTAAACGTAAAGGTTTCTTTTATTTTTTAATATATTAAATGATTCAATATCTTAAAGTTGGAATTTTGTTTTTGAAATTTTAATTTTTAATTAAAATATAATAATTAATAATTAATTTCAAAAATTTTGAGTTAATTTTCTTTATTTACTAAGAAATCAAATGGATTAAAATAATAAAATTAAAAAACTCGAGAACTCACTTGAGAGATTTATTCACGTTACATTCCATTGATAATAATATAAATTATTTTTATAAACAGAAATTATTGAGATTCGAGGCGCCCGTGCTCGAATTGCTCCATATATATATATACATATGAATCAATCACCATCCAATTCACTTTGTAACTCATGTCCTTAATTTTAAAACTGTAAAGGTTTACTTTTATGCTTTTTAATATATTAAGATTGATTCAATATCTTAAAGTCTGGGAATTGTTGTTTATTGAAATTTGTTAATTTTTCAATTAAAATATAATAATTAATAATTAATTCCAAAACATTTTGACGTTAATTTTCGTTTGTTTACTAAGAAACATCAAATGGAATTAAAATAATAAAATTAACAAAACGTCGAGAAACTCACGTTGAGAAGTTGTATTCACGTTACAATTCCATTGATAATAATATAAATTATTCGTTTATAAACAGAAATTATGAGATGTCGCAGGGCGGCCCGTGCCTCGAATGCTCCATACTGTATATTATATATATATATATAATCTAATTTTAAAAATTTAAAATAATATTTACTGTTTTGTCCTCTACGTGCAATACTATGTTTCACTAACACTCTCTTTCGAAGAATCTCAATTTTTCTTATTTTTAAAATAATTAGTTCACCTTAATATAATTAATTTTAAAAAATTTAAAATAATATTACTGTTTTGTCCTCTGTGAATATATGTTCACTAACACTCTCTTTCGAATGTCTCAATTTTTTTATTTTAAAATAATTATTCACCTTATTAATTTAGAATTTTATTAAATTAATGTTAGAGTCTTCAGAAAAAAAAAAAAAAAATCAGAAATAGTAAGAAGAAGAAGGAGTGGGTATTTTTTATAATAATTTAAGATCCTATATTTGCCAAACAGCACAGCTACTTGCTCTTCTCATACGTCCCATCCACTCTTTTGTACTCTCTCTTTCTCTCTTTCTGCTCTTTCCTCCATAGCCATCTCGCCAAAGCTCTTAACCCTCTCCTTTCTTTCAAACAAGAAGTGGAAGAGCCGGCCGTCCTTCGTGTAGCCGGCGACAGACTATAAAAATCTTCTCTGCACCAGTACACTACAGAAGAAGCAGCTACATGCTCTTCTCTCTCTCTCTCTCGATCGCATCAACTCTGATTTTACAGCTATAGCCTACTAATACTTGCACCGCTTAGAACGCTGTCCAATTAGGCTTGGAAACTACGTAAATGTTGGATCTTAACCTTTCTGTGGTTTCTGCTAATTCCACCTCTGGTTCTTTGGAGATGGCGGGAGAGACCGGTGGGGCTACTAACAAAAAGAAAAACATTCTAGAAGTTTCCTCTAACCAAATGGAAAGTTCTGGTAGCTTCAATTCCTCTTCCATCGTCAATGCCGGAGACGAGGACTCCTGCTCTAATGGCGAACCTTGCGGCTACACTTTCAGCATCTTAACTAATGACCAGGCGAAAGTATTTGACGACGATGATGATGATTGCGCCCGTGGCCGGACTATACAGTTCTTTCCGGTGGACGGCCCGTCGTCGGATTCCATGAAGAGGCAGTGGTTGGATCTTGGGGGTAGGGATATGGTGGCGCAGGTGCAACAGAGGCCACCGGTCAAGAAGAGTAGGCGTGGGCCCAGGTCCAGAAGCTCACAGTATCGTGGAGTCACCTTTTACCGGAGAACTGGGAGATGGGAATCTCATATTTGGTAAGTTATTTATTTAGTAAATCTGAAATAGTTTCTTGTTAACTTGGGGCTTTGTTGCTTGTATTGTGTCATTTTGTATCGGCTTTGAAGTGAATGTATGGTCTGGGCTTTGTATGCAGGGATTGTGGGAAACAAGTCTATTTAGGTAAATTGATAAGACTCATTTTGAATCTTTTTGTTCTTTTTCCATTTTCAATTTTTGCCCAATATTTTGGAGTGAAGTTTTATTTTGCTTGTTAATTGGAACATTATGTTGTGAATGTGGTGTTTTAATTCTTGCAGGGGGATTTGACACCGCACATGCTGCTGCGAGGTAATTATGCTAATCAAATAAGCGACACTAAAATGTTGGTTATTATCTACAATAGTTAGGCAAACATGTTGTGGGCCTTATTGGTTTAACTTGACTGTTGATTTTCAGAGCATATGATCGAGCTGCAATTAAGTTCCGAGGGGTTGATGCTGATATCAATTTCAGTGTGAGCGACTATGAAGAGGACATTATGCAGGTGGGGATTGATGCATTTGTCACATAAAGGAATTTGATCAGTGTGTTTCAAAATATTATTATTATTATATATTTTTTTTTTTTTGTGCTTACTATTGATTGGTGTTTTGCAGATGAGCAATTTTACAAAAGAAGAATTTGTGCATATTCTGCGGCGCCAGAGCACCGGATTCTCCAGAGGTAGCTCGAAATATAGAGGAGTGACACTGCATAAGTGTGGACGATGGGAAGCTCGTATGGGCCAATTTCTGGGAAAGAAGTGAGAAACTGCATTCTCTGTTTCACATATATCTAGTTGATGTCTTTGTTACTGTTATTGTCACTGTTAATTTTGGTAAGAACTTGAAATGTGCAGGATTGAATTAAAACTATGGAAATATTAGTTCTTTTATGAGGCTGTATTGCTTGCTTGCTTGCAGGTACATTTATCTTGGGCTATTTGACAGTGAGATAGAAGCTGCAAGGTCTTAGTGTTCATAAACTAGTCTTTTGTTTTCTTTTAGAAACAATGTGTTAATTTGTGATGCGACAACTTATGTTTCAATTCCTTGAGATGTTGCTTTTTTTTTTGCTAACCAGGGCCTATGATAAGGCTGCCATCAAGTGTAACGGAAGGGAAGCAGTCACCAACTTTGAGCCAAGCACATATGAAGGCCAAATAATATCAGAGGCCAATAATGGAGGTACTAATTGTTGTTGAACATTGAGTTGAGCTTGACTTCACATAGGGAAATGCTTTATATAAGAATCTACTATGACACTGTCTTTTCTACAGATGGCAATCAAAATCTTGACCTAAACTTGGGAATTGCTCCCCCTGATATATCTGAGAGCCAAAAGATAAACAGAGAGATGGATACTTTTCATTTTCAGAGTAGCTGGGATGGCAGGTCTATTGACAGGGGACCATTGGTAATACTTGTATCATTTCTGATCTCATGGCTATGTGTTCGTGACTTTGTCTTCTCTGGAGAATTTCCTTCATAATCTCCATTGAAGAATTTGGTTGAGGTCTTGGATTAGCTTACTTTTACTCTTCTTTTACAGATTATAAACTCTGCTTCCGCAACATTCAAGGATGAACTGCCATATGACCCTCCAATGGCACCTGAGCCCCCTGCTTTATGGGGTGGCTTAGATACCAATTTCTTTCCCATCTGTAAGGTAATTTACTTTAATCTATTTTTCTCTTAGTAACATGTTTAGTTTGCTGGTTTGTCTTGGCAATACTAATTCTAAATAAATTTTAAAGGTTTTTGCACATGCACTTGAAGTGATTGTGGTATGATGCCCATCAGCTTGCACAATGAGCTTCTTGCTCACTTTTATTTGTATTTTCACCTCATAGGACCTGTTTTCACGGTACCCATGTTTGTAGCTTACTGTGAAATGCAAGTAAAAATTTGATGCATCGCTGTAACCACTGGAAGCTTTTATGATTCATCTAGTTGAAGCAGTAAAGACCCAGAAATAGCCATTCATTCACCCCTGTTAAATTTCATTACCTCTTGTGATCACAGGAAAGAGCAATAGATAAGAGGATGGAAGTAGATTCATTGCCAAATTGGACATGGCAAAGCCAAGGTCCATATGGTGGGGCAAATCCACTGCCTCTCTATTCTACTGCAGCATCATCAGGATTCTCACCTTCAACAATTACCGTACCTTCAGCAGCTTCCGGTCAATTTCACTTTCCAAATTCAGCAATTCTCCACCGCCATTTTTCTCCTTTCCGTCACCAACCCCAGCAACATCTTCCATTTCTGCTGTAGGTAACTAGTATACACAGTCTAACAATGGCCGGAGTCCAAAACCTTGTTTTCTGTATGGGAAGGAGGAGATGGATTGGCAAGCAAACAAAAGCCAGGAATGGTAATCATATTCATATGTTATTGCAGTTAAAAACAAGGATCATTAGATTCAGCTTTAATATTTCTTGTAAAGCTTTCATTAAAGTGGAGGGTTTGGCCTGGATGGTAAGAGGTAATCTTGAATATTTCTACCTAATCATCTGGAAACCTAGTTGTCGTTTAGCATTTATGCTTTTATTTGCATATATTAGAGATATCGCTAGACCAAGGCAGGTTGCTCATGTATCATCTCTGGTTTACTTGTAAGCTTCATCTTCAGAAGGAAAACTAAATCTCCAGAAAGAATGATCAAAATGAATATATTTGTTCAGGAATGATTGACAAATAGCTGTATTTTGATTCAAAAAATTAGTGAAATACACCTACTCTTGTATGATATTATTATTACTAGGAGGTCCAGCATTAAATAACAATGCCTGGAAGCTCCTAGTAAAATCTCAAATCCACCTCTTATCATTTTGGTCAGAAACATGATAAACTGAGCTCATTGAAAAGAGATTTGCAGTTGTAATTTCTCACATCACATTATATTAAATCAGGGCAGGAATGGATAGTTCGTAACGGAGCTAGAAGACTGAAATTGAAATAGTAGTTAGTGTAACTAAACAATGGTGCACTCAATCTACAAGCATCGACTCAAGTGGTGAGGTAATACTTAAGTTTACAAGGGGATTTTTGCAACGTAAGATATTCGATGCATAGAAAAAAAAAAAGAAATAATTATAGAAAAGATGAGCTGCAAATATTAAAACGAAAATATTCTCGTACTAAAAAAATATAAAGTTTCATATTAAAAAACATCAAAACGAGTAGTTATAAATTTCAAGACGAGAACAATTTCGTATAAAAAAGAAAGGATAACACCTATAGTTTCGTGTAAAAAAAAAAAGGATAACATCTCGTATCAAAAAATCTCAAAACGAGAATAGTTTCGTGCAAAAAGGATAAGGTCTCATACCAAAGACGTGGGATGATAATAATAATAATAATAATAATAAAAAGAAGGTAAGGTGCAAACTCAAAATCAGTTGATGGTGAATGACAAACAATTGAATTGTGTAGTCGTTGTTGTCCTAGAGTAACTTAATTGTAAACCACGTGTAAAAGAAAGGTCAGTTGGTCGATAGGGCCCTCTTCTTGAGCTTAGTTAGTAGTAAATTCCGCATTCCTCGGCTTTAAGACAGTACTACGAGACCCTTCAAAAAAGAGTGAGAGAAAGGTCTGATGTACTTTACATGTATTAATAGTACTAGTAGTAAACAAGGACTTCCATTAATGCTAGGCTTTTCATCGACCCCCATTTTTGTACTACTTGGGTCCTCTCCTTTTGTTTGTTGGGGTCTGTGTAAGGGAAGGGAAACCTTACCTTTCCTTTCCCTGTTGGTAAAATATTCATGGTAATAAATAAAGCTGAGCTCTGCCCATGCAATTCCAAGGTTTGCTATTTGTGGCCACATTTTATGGACTCAGCGTACAATAGCAAATAAAGGTGCAAAGATGCGTTTTTTACTTTGGGTTTTAAACTATCTTCTTATAATGGACCCATTTATTGCCCTTTTGAATCATCAGTGAAGTTGCTTCTTCATTTCGTCTGGTTTTTTTAAAGAGGAATCATTGCATTTTTAGGCCCTGAGTCCTGACCTGACCCCTCTCTCTCTCTCTCTCTCTCTCTCTCTTTTCTTAAAGAAAGAGACTATTGAAAGTCTGTTTCTTTGTTTGTTTGTTGCTATATTAATATAGAACACATAAAAGTGCTCATTAGTGATTACAACATTTTTAAAAGCCAAATATAGAGTAGTAGATCTATAACCTGGTACCTAAAACTAAAAGTCTACTAATCCAAAAAAATTGAAGTAATTCATATTTTTAAGCTCGTGGTTAGTACTAATTAAATACTCATTTTACGACATGTGCAGAGCAGCCAAACCATGGAACAATTCCTAGAATTGGGATTCTGAGGGCCAATTCCTTTGTTTTGTTTGCTGACTGCGTCCTAAACCATGGACATAGTTTTCTTTTCTATAGGTAATCAAATACTCATCAACCAAAAAGAGCTAAACAACCTATTTTTATTCTTGGTTAAATAGAAGTATTTCATTTACTTCCTCGTTCTAATCAAAGACAAGTTATGTGATAACCTTTCGTTTGAGGCTTTGAAGTTTTAACGAAAAAGAAAAGAGTAGCCTGAGCTGGTACACCTAGCCTTTGCTTTTCATCGTAGAACACATCATACATTCATTAATTCGTACTGGTCGCCTTTTATCGAGTGGTTTAAAGGGATATAGTCATTGATCAGATCGTCTCTTCAAATAGATGGGTCACTGTCTAATCGATCCTGCGTGCAGGACATTTATTACTGATTCACTGCAGAGAACTACACCTTTCTAAGACCAACAAGGTTTCTAGTTCAATTATTATTAACCTAGAAAGTAGAAAATCAAGAGATGACTTTCTAATGAGTTCTTACAAGCACATAGCATACTGTTTTTTCTGGTATACATGGTTGGATTAGGAATGACACTGCAAAATATTTATCTGCCATCCAATAATTATCTCTACTTGTTCCAAATCCAAACTACAATTCACCATGACTACTCATATTCCATCTTAACGACAATCAACATCATCTCACTCACAAAATAAAATTCATAATTCTATAAAAAAATTGTTTTTGTACTATACCTATATTCTAATTTGATTAATAATATTATTAAAATATTTATTTTTATATTCCCATTTCATGTGGAATGCATCATTATTGTCAAAGCTAGCATGCATTTTGCCAAATGGGAATTGAAGGTTAATGCTACTATCCACCCCGTTCATATAACACAGCTGTAAATGAATAAACAAAATTCCATTTTCTTTTTAATTCTGCAATGCCTTAAGAATGTATAGAGGGAAGGTTTGTATAACACACATAAAAAACAATTCTGACCTAATTTAAATTCAAATTGTTCTCAAGATAAATAAATAGACTACACATATTGAAGTATGAGAGAATTTCAAATCACACATCCACGTGAAAAGCAAATTTCCACAGTGACATCAACCATTTTAAGTGCATATACACTACATATAAATGATTTGTCTGTCATTCTTCGACTGACCGGGCTCAAAAAGAAAATCACTTACCAAGACTTATGCAGACAGCAAGAGCTTCCAATACAATAACTCAACCTACAAAAGAATTTGAGACCTAGCTCTACATGGTTAGGTATATATATATTTATGTTCTCCATTCAGTAGGGGCAGGTAAGAGAGAAGTCAATGCATCATTTGACAACGGCCAGATATCCACTGCAATTTCATGTTACCTGCAAAAACAATCCAATTATCAATAAAACTGTCTCAAGAAACTATATTTCAACAATGAAAAGAGCAATTATGTAACTGAAAACACAAGCATAAAATGAAGCAGATGTCTTCCGCAATTTAACCCTTCGTGGCGTGTAAAAAAAGACTTTCAGCTTGCATGGAATGAAAATGCAACGGCAACAAATCAATTTAATATGCACCTACCGCTGAAAGGGCGAGAGCAACAGCCAAGTCAATGCTATGACAGCCTCTACCACTCTAGGCAAATAGTCTTTGGACCATCCACCATCTCTGCAGGCATAATGACCTTCATTTATCACTCCCAAATCAGTATAGAACTTCCTGGACATTCAAGAGGCAAAGAACATAGTTTACCAGATGTTGGGCAGCGCACAAAAATCAAGATACCCGACCTCATTCTAAAGGGCCAACTTACACCCACCAAGTTGTCCAACCAATTTCATTGGCCTATTCGAGCATCAAGGAAGAATTCCTATTTCAACAGAAATTACAATGCAAATCCTCTGTTGTATAGATTGCTAGAACCAGACATTTGATATTTCAAATCCTCAGGGCTAGGAATTATTTTGTTAAATCCCAGCTTCCCATTCATGAGTAATTCTGACATACCAAGATTACTGACACTCTTGATTTCATCCCAGCTGCCCCAGCAGCCATGTGACATGTTCAAATTTCTGACTTGTTGAGTTGCCATTTGTGAGAATGGTGATGAATTGTTGGGTGGGGATTGTCCCAGAAGCATTGATGAAATACTGTAAGCATCATTTGGGGGAGAGAATCTATTTCTGAAGTGATCTGGGAACCTAGGGTTCTGCTTAACAGAAATTGATTGCTGCATCAGCATCTGAAGCTCTGTATCATGATTAAAGGGACTGATCCGCGGTGATAAAGCTGGCCTCATGTCAAAGCTTGGATTACTCAGCCTTGCTGCCAGAATCCCACTACCAACTTCCATTATTGCAGGATCAACGAATTCAACATCAATGGAGCTGCCAACATTCCTAGATGATGGTGCAGAGTTTTGTAGCAAATGGTTTGCTGCATAATAACAGAAATGTTATAAGTTTTCCAAGAAAAGAAAGTATATAAACCATAAAAGGCCCTAAATTACAAACCATCATAGTTCATTGCCCCATGAGTAGGAAACCCTGGCGGTACTGCTCTGCTTGGAAGTGAAAATCCTGGTGGTGAAATTGGAGCTTTAATAGCTGCCAAAAAAAAAAAAAAAAAAAAAAAAAAAATAAAAGGCGCCTAATTACAAACCATCAAGTAGTTTCATGCCCATGAGTAGGAAAGCCTGTTGCGTACTGGCTGGCTGCGCTGCGAAGTGAAAATCCTGGGGTGGTGAAATTGGGAGCTTTTAACTAGCTGCCAAAAAAAAAAAAAAAAAAAAAAAAAAGAAGAAGAAATTTAGAACTAAGGAAATGCAAAAGTGGCAAAATGATAAGATGTCTTTCCGGCTACCAAAAAAAAAAAAAAAAAAAAAAAAAAAAGAAGAAGAATTTAGAACTAAGGAAATCAAAGTGGCAAAATAGATAATGTCTTTCCCTACACATGAAATCCTTTTCCTTCCCCCGCCCCCTCCTCTCTCTCTCTCCAACAAAAACTTGCTTAACAGACAGTAGCTATGACAATTCAGGCACTTCAATACTAGAAAACCACAAAATAGCGGTTCAAATTCAATGTACTGTACAGGTTTCACCACAGTGGCAAAACCACACTATGATCACTAAGAGAATGGGCACACAGAAGAAAACAAACTTTAAATTGATAGTAACTCACCAGAAAATTTAGAAGCTGAAAAAGGATGGCTGCTAATAAAACTATTGGATTCCACAGAACTGCCATTTGAAGAAATATCACGATAGCTGTCCATGTAAAGATCCTTGTTCTCGTTACAATAATGTGAAGCAGGAGATCTATTGATTGCATTTGCATGAGTATGCCCCAAATTAGATTCTTGGTTATAGAAATCATCCTGCCTGGCAAAAGAGAATCTTGACTGATTGCTATCTTGTACTTTTCTTAAACTTGGTACTTTTAGCGAACCATGTTGTCCATCAGTTTCACCTAGCAACCTAACTAAAGTCTGAGGTGATGTCAGTGTATCCTCCCACACATCCATATCCATAGATAGAATACTTGAGATAATGCTGCTTTCCCCAATATCCACAGCAAAATTACTATTAGCACTAGCTTTAGTAATATCGCATCCTTCCAAGTACTTCCCTAATCCCATCCTTGACAAGACGTTAGAATTGTTAGTAGTCACATCTGAGTTCAAGCAGCTATTAGGCTGGTTGTCAAAGAATCCATTAGATTGTACTGGTTTGTCGGGTCTCTGTGGAAAAGCAGAAGCATCACATTTCACTGGTACGGTGCTTGGATGTCCACCAACAGTACTTTGATTATTAATCTGGCCCCGTTTCCAGGAATGATAACCTGACTGTGTGAAATTCTGTTTTGAAGAAAGTTGACAAGACAAGGATGGCAGATTATGGTCGTCTCCAGAAGCTTTGAGCTGCAGATCATCAAAACCTAATAGATCCTCAACTATTGAGCTTTCCCTTAGTGCTTGCAATGCTGAAGACTCAATATGAGGGTTCACGTCCTGTTGTGAGCCTCCACTTATGGGCAGGTTATGATTAGACCTTAAACTTCCTGGAACTACAGGATCAGAGTTCTCATCCTTAAGACAGCTGGCAATGCTAACTGACGATAATGCAGAGCACAGTCCCTCGTTGTCTTCATCTGCAAGAAAATTTTCATTTTCATGAAGACCCGGACTGGATGGTTTGGCAAGTACTAAAGAGCTTGTGCCAGCAGGTGGTGTAGAAATATTGCTACATGTTACGAGAGGATCAACTTCACAACCTCCTTCAGGTATCATGGTACTTTCTATATCACTGGATCTTTTGGTGCTCACAACTTCAGAAATAAAAACTTGGGGACCACTTGAGGTTTCAGCCTTATGACTGAGAGTTCCAGCGGAAATGGACAAACATGTAGCTGGTGGTACACTAGAAGAGACACGCATGACCCTAAGACAAAGATAAAAAAACAGAAGTAAATATTTTAGGATAAAAATATCATATAAGAAGCAATTCCCATGCCACATAACAGCACATGTTATACCATGAAGCTGCCCCAGGAAATGTGTTTGATCTTTCAGCACCACCATCAGCACAAGATCCGCCATCGGAGTTTTCAACATTCTGCTGGAAAGGAATGGCAAGGTCTATCAAGTTGTGAGCAACAGCATAAAGCAACTCTCATTGACAGGGGGGGAAAAAAGAAAAACAAATGTACTCTTACAAATAAAGAACTTTTGGAATCAAGTTTGGTTGGTGATGATAAGTTTGTATCAGTATACTCGTCTACTGGAGGTGGTAAAACATTTCCTGAACGCCGATGCAAATTGTTTGTAGCACCAATAATTTGTTGAACTCTACTCCTTTAACACGATAATGAATCAATTCACATTAGATACTGCTATCAGTAAATGGCAAGCAAGTACTAATGCATCAGATAAAATCTTTTGACGTGACATAATAACTGAGATTAGGAAGCTAGAAAGTGGACCACAAAGGACCAAGAAAAAGAGGATCAAATAGAAAATTGCAGTCATAAAAAAATACAATAACCTGAAGCATAATAAAGAGTTAATCAACTAGCATAGCAGAAGGCAACAAATTTAATGCTATGCTCAAGATATATTCATGACATTGTCATTAACTTCATTTAAGGAATGACAAAGTGGTCTTTCTATGAGATGGGCGGGGGGAGGGAGGCAGTGGGAATGGGGGTTCTCTTAGCAAACATAATTGCACAAAATCAACCAGAAATGCAGGTTCTCTTATAACCAAAACATAATGCATCTCAGTACTAGAAAATCACATTATCTTATTAGTGCTTAAGCGAGAATGCAAACCGTTGAGTCTCATACCATTGTAGCCATATTGTTTTAACACAACCACACCCCCCACCAAAAAAAAAAAAAAAAAAAATACTAGAAAAGTCAGCATTAATCTTTAGTTAGTGCTTAAAGCGAGAATGGCAAACGTTGAGTCTGCATACGCATTGCTAGCCATATTGTTTTAACAGTGAAACAACACCCCCCCACCGAAAAAAAAAAGAAAAAGAAAAATTATTTATAAAAAAAAAAAAAAAAAAAAAAATTATTATAAGATTCTTATTTCTTAAAACAAAATGAAAATATACAATAAATTAATAAACAAGCAAGATTTATTTCAATAACAGAACAAAGTATCTCCCATTACCCAAAAACCAATTTACTTTGTTAGAGTCCACAGACATCCTTTGGGCAGTTTCATAGATGACCAACAATCTGAACATGAAAATAACACTAAATGGACATACCTTGTAAAAGCAGAAACTAAATCATCTTTCGTAAAACTATCTTCTTGAGCACCAAATTCATGCAAATATAAACAATCTGGAATGCTGCAAGGCTGGACCAAAACAGAACCAATCACAAAATATCTAGGAAGGCTAAGGGCTTGCAAATTTCTAAAGTCTGAACTAATCAAGGTTCTGTTTGTCTTTACTCTCACAAAAAAAAAAAAAAAAAAAAAAAAAAAAAAAAAAAAAAAAAAAAAAGAAAACAAAAAAAAACGGAAAGGAAAGTAAAAAGTTGATGTTGGTTTTTTAGTGGGCTTTGTATGAACAGAAACATCAATCAAAGGAATGTTTCCTGGCCAGAAGGAAAAATTAATAGTTTGCAAAGACAAAAATGACTTCTTATTTTTAAAACTAAATAGTTTTGGTTAAAAAAAAAAAAAAAAAAAAAAAAAAAAAAAAAAAGAAGGAAAGAAAAAGTTATGTTGGTTTTTTAGTGCTTGTATGAACAGAAACATCAATCAAAGGAATGATTTCCTGGCCAAAGGAAAAATTAAATAGTTTGCAAAGACAAAAAATGACTTCTTATTTTTAAACTAAATAGTTTGTTGTAATGACTTCCTATGTTTGTTTTATACAATGCTTGTGCAAAACATACCATGTTTTTGAGCCATGCATGGCAGTACTTAGTGGTTCCGAAACATGCCCTGCAAATAGAACTTGTTATAGATCATTTAACTATCCTAATATAACAAAAATGAAAAAAAGAATAATGAGCTTACCTTAAGATTCTACCTTCTAAGGCAAAACTGTGCACTGACTGAATACAACGAACAGCTTCCTCCTCTTTTGAATATGTTATATACCTAATCATTGAAAAAGAAAACCACTTCACATTACAGCAAACCCGGAGCAAGGCTCAGCCCACTTGGAGAGAGAATGACAGAGAGATGGGCAAGAGAAACTATTTGACAAACAAATGGCCAGGGCACTCACACACAACAACTGTTGTTTGAAGAATGTTGAATAATCCCATTAGCTGTTCTAGAAATAGACACCTTCAACACCTTTCCATATTGGCCAAAGTACTCTCTTCGCTGAAGAAGCTGCCAGCAGCAAAAAAAATAAAATTTCTGTTCAGATACTTGGAAATATATATTAAAAGATAAGCAAGTAAAAGATAGAACTGCGAGAAATTAAGTACCAAAGAAACTATAACAGCACAACCAAAGAACTACTCACAGCTTCATCAGCAAGATTTAGTGGTAACCCAATTATATAGACTAGATTCCTCTGAATAACTCTAACGTTACTGAGCTGCATCCTCCCTTCTGATGGTTTATTAGGCTTTGCCTTCTGTGATTTCAGCTTTCGCTCTGAATTTATTTCAGCCACCAGTCTGTGCAGTCAATGAAGTATATTATTATCAATCATAACCCTCAAACACTAATCAAAGAGAATTACACATAAAATGAAAAGGCTTGTAAAAATATTAACTTTTCACAATCTGCAGCCATCCCCACAATCCTTTCTTTGTCATAAGCTGTGCGGCATGCAGGACATCGCCCCTCAGTATTATCCTTTTCAGCCATTTCCATGATGTGATTCCAGCACCAAACACATATCTGTTAAAATATAGAAAAAGAAATAAGTACACAGGCAAGCAACACAATGAAGATACAAACTACAAGTAAATGAATGCACAGTGAAGACACTGAGGTTGCATAACGTCCAAAACTTCATGATCAAGTAAAAATTTTGAGCTCAAACCTCATAACCACATTTGCATGGCTTCAACTGTTGATCTGTCAAATCCATCTCCTCAGTGCACAATGGGCAAACTTTGTCTCCCTTGTCACTCATGGTTGCCTAAATATTCAGCAATATTAGACACATCACATACATGCTGATTAAATGCTCTTCATTTGAAAAAGAAAAAATCAGGTGTGAATTATAGTCTTGAGAAACACAAGCGAAACTAACATCATAATACTAGCAGGATGGTAAAAATTCTAATGCTTAAGAATTACACTTGAATTAAAACACAAAGGCTCTAATGAGACAAAACATGCTAAAGCCATCTTTCAACAGCTCTAAACAAGAACCAAAAGCTTATAGCAAATTGAATCTCACTGTCTTTAACTGGAATTTAGCAGATACGCCAAACAATCACCATATATTCCTGTTTCTGCAACCGTGAATATAGAGTAAAATGGAATACCACACATTTTACAGCACACCTCGACTCATTCTTAAGATAGAAAAATCCAATCAATTCTACACTCCTCCTCAGTTTAGACTAGCCAGGTAAAGCAAACAAGATAGTTCATAACACAGGAACCATAAATTATAAGCTCAACGTTCTTTCTTTTTCCTCCATTTTTTGTCAGGAACCAAAAACAGTTTCAAGTGATTCATACATTCAAATGAATCAACAAACAGCTGAAAAAAAAGTAAAAAAACTAAAATCCTTGATCCACTAGGTAGTTCTAGGTTGCACTAATATCCGTACAGAAAAAGGAATAAATAAACAAATAAATCTAAAATAATACAAAAGAAAAATAAAACAAATCTATATCTGAAACAGGAATCAGGATCCGAAAATCTGGAATCTGTATCTAAAAACAGCCTAGAAACGAGATGTGTGAAAATGAAATCGTTTTTTCAAGTTCACAGCTTACAGCAAGCGATTACTAAAAATAATAATAATAATTAAAAAAATTAACGATTTGTTTTTATTCTAAAATGGAAATAGCAGCTTAGGAGGAGGAGGGCGACGACGACGACGACTTACAGTAAGTAATGGAAAAGCAGAGGAATCTGAGAGCGCGAGATGAAGATAGAGAGATAGAGACGACCTTTGGAGAAATGCGAAAGCCACACAGTGGAGAGACAAAGTCTTTTTTATGATAGATGGATAAAGGGGTGGGGGTGGCCTTGTTGTTGTTGTTGGTGCTGTTGTTGGATGTTAACTGTTCTCTATTGCGCGTCTGCTCGCTGACCTGTCAGTAAAGTATTTACATATAGCCATTTGGGGCTTTTGATGGGCTTCAGAGTTGGCCCAGTGATCACTACTAGGCCTAGATCCAACAGTTCCAATAGTAGTTCTTTTTCCCTTCAATTTCGGGCTTTTGATGGGCTCCAGAGTTGGCCCAATTAAAGTTCTGGTGCCTTGCACATTTTCTTGACTGCATTATCAACAATTAACATTATCAAACTAAATCATGAAAGAGAAAAAAATTGTAGGACTCTCCAGAATTCTCTTCACTGAAAATAATCTTGCTTACAAAGACAGATTAGCAGGCCACATCACCATAATTCACTACCAAACTCTCATCATACGTGGCAGAATGCGATTGGATCACCTTCAAGTTTCCATTTGTGTTACGGCTCAAGGATGAACATAACCAGAACATAACGACCTATTGGAACACTCTGGAAATGGAATCCAATAACACAACGCCAACACTAGAAACTTCTCTTCTCTTATCTTGATTATGCATATAACTGCTGTGATTTCGCTCAGTTCTCAACGTAAGCAATAAAGCAGCAGAGCAAGTAGCTGGTGGTGACTGGTGATTGATCTATAATCCAAAGGAAACGATTTCATGATTCTCTTGTAATAATAATACGTTTGGTGGGTGATTTTCTTGAATTTTTCACTGCAGTTAGCAAAACATGGGGAAAATCTACCCAAAGGTGAGTGAGGAGTATCAGAAAGCAGTCGAGAAATGCAAGAGGAAGCTTAGAGGACTTATCGCTGAGAAGCATTGCGCTCCTATCGTCCTTCGCTTAGCGTAAGATCAGTTTCCATCTAAATAGATAAATTTTTAATGGGATATACTGTATAAAATATCTATTGCTTTGCATGCAGATGGCACGCTGCAGGTACTTTTGACGTGAATACAAGAACAGGAGGGCCTTTTGGGACGATCAGGCTTCAAGAGGAGCTAGCTCACGAGGCCAACAATGGTCTTGATATTGCTGTCAGGCTTCTACAGCCTATCAAAGACCAATTTCCTATCTTAACTTATGCTGACTTCTATCAGGTACTTATGTAGGTTTTAATTAAGTCGGCAACCCAAGAATATATACATATATTTATTTATTCTTGTTACTTAATTGAGAATAATGTGCGTGTAATCGTTACAGTTAGCAGGAGTTGTTGCTGTTGAAATTACAGGAGGGCCTGAGATTCCCTTCCATCCAGGAAGACCGGTTAGTGAAACTAAAAACATGCATTGATTAACTGCTTTTTGGAGAATTTGTGGCTTAAATTATTTTATGCATGTTAATTTATTTCAGGACAAGACTGATCCACCCCCAGAAGGTCGCTTACCTGATGCTGCTAAAGGTCAGCCTAAGAAGATTTAAATTTGAGACACTTTTGGGAGAGGATTTCAATATCACTGAATCAAATTGAGTCCATTCTTTCATTTTTGGTTAAATCTTGCTTTAGGTTCGGACCATTTGAGGGATGTTTTTGGTCGAATGGGTCTCAGTGACAAAGATATAGTTGCCTTGTCCGGTGGTCACACCCTGGTATTTATATATATATTGATTGATTGCTAAATGAGAACTAATTTTTGGCATAATATATTATCAGTGTTCTTGTTTGTACATTTATTTACAGGGTAGGTGCCACAAAGAGCGTTCTGGATATGAGGGACCGTGGACCTTAAACCCTCTCATTTTTGACAATTCCTATTTCAAGTAAGGTTAATGTATAAAGAGAATCGAGTTTTATTCATTTTTATGCTCTTATTAAACAAATCCATGAGCATCTCAAGATGGATTCTTGCTACATAGGGAACTCTTAAGTGGAGAAAAAGAAGGCCTTATTCAGTTGCCAACGGACAAGGCTCTTCTAGAGGATCCAGTCTTTCGTCCTTTAGTTGAAAAATATGCTTCAGTGAGTATATATAAATCTAACCATCTCTTGTATAGTTTAGCCACAGACATTTCCTGCAAATGCAACTTTTAAAACTTTATTTGCTGTTATTTTGCCTCAGGACGAGGATGCTTTCTTTGAAGATTATGCAGAAGCTCATTTGAAGCTGTCAGAACTAGGGTGAGCGATCGACAATAATTTAAGCTTCCGTTTAAATTTTCTTTATGGTAATATTTAGTATATATCTAACTTGTTCTATATTTATTTCAGCTTCTCTGATGCTGAGTAAAGGAATGGAGAGTGGGTGAAATTATTTATTTGAATTGCGTTATTTGGTTATTTTGTTGAACTGTATATATCCATCTCTTGTATAGGTTTAGCCACAGGACTTTTCCCTGCCAATGCAAACTTTAAAATTTTATTTGCTTGTTATTTTGCCTCAGGAGGGCATGTTTTTCTTTGAAGATGTAATGCAGAGAGGCTGTTGCATTGTGAAGCCTGGTCATGAACTAGGGTGAGCGATCCGGACGAATGAATGTTAAGCTTCCGTTTAATGTTTCGTTTATGGGTGATTTTAGTATTATATCTAAACTTGTGTCTATAATTTATTTTCAGCTTCTCTGATTGCTGAGTCAAGGAATGGGAGAGTTGGGTGAAATTTTTATTTGAATTGGGGCGTTATTTGGTTATTTGTTGAATCTGTATTATATATTATATATAATATATATATATATATATATATATATATATATATATATATTTGATGGCATGAGGAGAGGAGTGGAACGGGCTTAATGGTGCTAATGTCTAGTGCCGCTTGTACTCGGCAGAATGTATGTGTGTATTTTATGTGAATGGAAGACGAAAAGATTCATGGCACAGTTCTCTTTTTGTGGTATGTGTAAATGGACTGGAAAATGAAAGTTTGAAATTTATTTTGGTATGTATAATTGTGTGGGTTTGTTGTTTTAAGTTTGTTTCATCAATTTAAAAAAAAAAAAAAAAAAAAAAAAAAAAAAAAAAAAAAAAAAAAAAAAGCAAAGAGAACTGTAATTGTTTCTTCTTTAAAAATGAAATTATAATGTCCGACTGATTATCTATCGATCTTTTTTTCTCAGCAATAAATAATTAAAATTTCATTTAATGTGATAGAATTTAGTTTAACGGTTATAAATAAACTGAAAATGAGGAATTCATTCAAGTTTAGGCTTTGGATTTGGTTAATCGATATGAGTTTGGACCACTGAGTTGAATCTATGACTATGGTGACTGTAAATTTGGTGTCATGTTTTGTTATTTACTGATGGTTTGATAGATTCTTCCAGTTTGTATTTTGTTTCCTTCAGCCTAGTAACGGTCCTACCTGTCTCACTGAAATTTCCAACTAATAAATCATGCCTCACCTTCCTCCATTTCAATAATTCATCTTACTTTTTTTTTTAAGATTAAGCTCCATTTATTTCCCAAAATACTTTACTTTTAAATTCAAAAATATTTTTTATGAAATTGTTTTCTAAATAATTTATATTCTTTGATTGCAATTATTAAAATTTGATAAAAAAAAATATTAAAAATACAAATGAAAAAATTATATCTACTTATTTAAAATTTTTCACCCTGTCCAAAAGAGGAAAGTGTATATGATTATATATAATTATTCATATATAATACAAAAGCAAACATATAATTATATATATATGAGTGGCAATTATCATCTACATTCTACCATACAAAAGCAAACTTCAATTATTGGTTTATTATTATTTTTTAATTTAGTAGCAACGTAGAGCCATAGTGCTTGTCAGATCTTCAAATACTTCAACACTAAGAAATGTTATGTACATAACATTAAGAAATCTACATTTATATTTATATATATATATTTTTTATGATAATACCTATATATATGCAACGTTTGATTCCACTTTCAAAGTCCAAACGGAAAAGAAAAAGTGAAGGCCATTGGAAAAAAACAATAAGATGAGTTCTCTTTTTGGAAAGTTAGAACAAAGCTATCTTTGATAAAAGGTAGGCATTAAACAATCCTTATAAAGAAAGCTCACCTTGTTGAAAGTTCCATTAAAGTAACTCAAATCCTGTATTTCAATGGACTGGTTTTCCTTCCATGACACTCGGTCAATCACTCACGAAAGAGGAAAGACTCTTTCTTTCTGCCTAAACAACTCCTCCACCAAGTGTGTGTGTGTATATATTTTGCTTTGTTTTCTTTATTATTTTGTTTTTTTTTTTTCTTTTTTGATTGACAAAGTTTCATCCCTTTCATGCAATTTGATATTATAATTTTATTATATATAACTTTATTTCATCTAATTAAAATTAAATTAGAGTAGTAATAATTAAGCTTTTTAATTTGGGGTTATGAAATATCAGAAATGAGTTCAAAGTTAGTGGTCACAACACCCAAAAATACAGCCAAAAAGGTTGCTGCAGATAAGATGCTGAGCATAGTGAGGGAAGAAAGTGGAAAAAGAAGAGTTTGATCGTTGTAAAGTTTGTGGCTCACGTGATTGGGACGATGTGTGGTTTTGATAATGAAGTTTCCTCTGATGTCTATCCACCACTCTATTATGTGATTATTATGAGTTAATTTAAATTTAAATTTAGGATGTCTCCATGTGGTTCAATCTTACTCCACAATACAAACACTATCTCACACTTCTAAGTAACGATATAATTTATACAAGTAATTGCCAATTATTACGCCCTATAACCAAAAAAAAAACTTGAGCCAACTTGAATATGATACAATTTTCACTGCGATGGATTAACATATCTAAATTATTTATATTTATATTATATTGTGTCTCTTAATCTATAAAGGGAAACACTCCTAACACGGATTTTCTCTCTCCACATAAATTGATCATTCGATCTGTTATTTAAAAGACATGAATCCTTTCTATTTAAACTAATCTTGTTGGCTGCATAAGTTTATCTATCTCATTCCCACCCCTCCCTTTTCCTTGTAACTATGTGGAAAGAAAAAAACATATTGGTGTAAACGAATCGAGTGAGCTCGAATCTGCCAGGCTCGAAGCTCGGCTCAAAAATTAATGAGCCTGAATATTTTAGGTTTAAGCTCGGCTCGATGAAAGCTCGAGTTCGACTTGAGGATCAAGTTTAATTCGAAAATTTTTGAGTTCAGGCTTGATTCGAGACTCGAGTAAGTCTAAAATAAACATATTATATAATATATATATATATATAAGATAATAAAAGTTTGATAAGGTTCAATAAACTTTCGAGCTAAACATCATTAGATTTGAACTTGGATTCGATTCAAGCTGAACTTTTTTAAATTTGTATATATAAAATAAATAAATATTATATGTATGTATATATAAATTTATACGGCTGAAACAATATAAACAACCCACTTTGAATCTCTTAACTAATAATAAATTTTTAGACTTTAGTTTATAGCGGGTCAAAAGAAAATCATGAATAGTATTAATGAGGAGCTTTTGTTTTATTGATTGATTAAGTAGAATCTACTAAGTTGACTTAACAAATTATAAACATCAGAACAAATGATGAAAGCAAAACAAGTTTAATTATCTAATATTACATTTACTTGTCTAATTAAGCAGTTTATTGTTGTAAACATGCATCTATATAAGATTTTTGTGCAATCTCTCACAATTTTATGTATAATATCTATTTACTGTATTCATTTTATTTTAAAATTAATTAAATCTTAATATATATTGAATGATCCTGTGTAAATTGTATTATAAAATTAGACATAATTAAATACGTAAAAAAAAAATATTTATAAAGAGAGTGTAAATACTCCTAAAATAATTAAAAAATTTATGTCTATATAATTTAAAATTTTGCTCGTACTGGATTCATTTTTCAATTAAATAAATTAAACAGCAATATTTATCACCTAGTAATAATTTGAATTAAAAATTACCTCTCACCCACAAAAGATTAAAGAAAAAAAAAAAAAGATGTAGTGTGAACTATAATTACTATAATGTGTAAACCTAGTTGCCATTTTCAATATCATCAACCACAAATAATAATTACAGGCATGAAAAGGATTATATAGTTATGTATGTGTACTTTAAGCTATTGATAGTTTGCTTCCCTTAGAACCATGTGAGCATTCACATTTGCCCCCTCTATTTATTTTTATTTTTTGATTGCTTGGATCATAATTATTCATGTAAAAAAGAATAATCAAATTCAACTTATCTTTTACATTTTCCCATTTTTATATTTTTTTGGTAAAATATATAAACAACTCTTCTATTTTTTGTAGCATTTTAATATTTACAAAAAATTTATTGTGCCATTAAAGTTTATAAATTTGGATAATATAGTAAATTTCCTAACACTGGTAACAATATTTTTTAGAGTTTTTTAATTTTTATATATGAAATATTGATTTCATGTGTAAATATTATATTTTACAAAACAAAATATTTTACATTTTTTAATTATCTAATAAATATTAAATTGATTTAATTTTACAAATTGAAGTATTTAATAGAATGATTTCATAAATTAAAGTACTTTAAATATAATTTTACAAATTAAAGCGTCAAATAAATAAATATAAAAATAAATTTATATATTTTTTGAAGTTTAGTCTTTGAAAAGAACATTAAGAAAAAATGAATTTATACTTACACTTTTTTAATTTAATAAAAAATTAAGAACCTAATTTTATATAATGCTAACTTCCTATTAAGTAATTGTTAAGAAAAAAAAATCTTATTACATAATTGGAGCACTTAATTGGCAGATTATTAGTTTAATGATACACTAAATAATTAAATTAATTAATTAAGAAAGGAATGAGATCATGTAAGTATGTATGTCGATTATTCTAAAAAAAAAAAAAAAAAAAAAAAAAAAAAAAAAGGCATGTGTGTCCATGGATGTGATGTGACATGGTAAAGCAACAGCGGTGGGACCCAATACGAGTCCAAGCATCATCATTCATCAAAATGATGAGAGAATCTGGACCGTTCACTCGCTTGACCTGCAACGTATGATCGAATCGCATGTGTCCAGATTTTGCCAAAAGCTACTCCTTGGGTCCCACTTGTCCACCCAACCCAAAGGCAACCATCCTTCACTGCGCTGCATTTCTCTAAACTACACTGCTTCCATTGCCATTCCCAAAGAATCCAAACTCTCTCTCTCTCTCTCTCTCCAAATCACTGAATCAAAACAGAGTAACAAACACTACCATATCTTTCTCTTTGAAAGAGAGAGAAAAGAAAACAAAATAAAAAAGAAATCATCTCTCTTTTTGAAATTTTCTTTGCGGGTTTAGTTATACTCCTACTTAATATTGTACAGATATACTTTATCCCTTCTCTCCTCTTGTACTGTAACAGACAGTAGCTTTCTTTTTTCCTTTACCTTGTTTATTGACCGCCATTCTCATGTTCTCATTCATCTAATTAACTGTTTTCTCTCTTCACACTCCAGAAATGGAGAATGGGCTTCTACTTTTCCCTATTCTTCTTCTTCTTCTACAACAACTACTACTACTGCTATTATTACCTGATTCCTCCTCAGCTCAGATGTCGGGTAACTTCCTCCACATGCTTATGTTTCATATCTGTATATATCTTTGTTTGTATGTACGTATGTGATTGCCTACCACTCATTTTCTCTTACTTTCTTTCTATGGGTTAATGGTTATTATTCAAATTTCTCGCTTGTGTAGTGGGTGGGTTTCAAAGGTAGTGCCTTTTTTTAGTGTGTATTGTGTAACTCATTAAGGTTCAAGACATTTGGTGGATTTTTTTTATGCAACCCTGTTGGAATATAAAGCTTAAAAGATGAAAAAGATTTCATTTGCATTGTAGTGGTGCTGTGTTCTTGGTTGCCCCTATATTACTTAGATTTTATTTCTAATTTGTATTGCTATATCTGATTTGGGTTTTGATATTTGAGGATAGAGAATTTTCCTCGTCTTTCAGTGTGACGATATAACATGACAGTGTTTGCTGGTCAATTTTGTTTTTTTGTTGTTGACGAAGAATTGAAACATTAACATAATATATGAGAAACTACAGTTTATTAAATAAACTTCGAAATTTATGCGCTTTTGTTTTGATATAACTTCTATTTCAGGAATTAATTAAGAAAGAACTAATGTAGCCTTCTCAAAGTTGAAGGATTTAAATCCTCAATTTTCAATTTTTGCCTCTGGAGTGAAAATTCTCTCATTACCTGTGAAAGCAGATGCTATTTCATAGTTAAACGTTTTGCTAATATGCTGCTTAATTAATCATCCTTGTAATATAACTTAAATATGAAATTTAATAAGCCTAACATGACACCACCCACTTGTTGCATATGATGTTGAGTTCTTTGAACGTGAATGCATGTGGTGCTAACATAAAAATATTATAGGAATTAAAATAGTTACAGGAAAAATTTGAACTACAAATTTCACTGGATGACTAAAATATCTCATTTGGAAATCCAGCTTCTTACCAAAGTTTCCATGCGAGAATCTTAAATTAAGATTTGAATCCTGCCTCAATCTTATCAATGATGTGAACATGTATGAACATTTAAACAGGTTTTCTGAGTTTGAACTGCGGGGGCAAAGAAAATTTCACTGATGAACTTGGACTGGTGTGGACTTCTGATTATGATCTTATTTATGGAGAAACAGCAACCATATCAGTTTCAAATGAGACAAGGAAGCAATATATGACATTAAGACATTTCCCTGCAGATTCCAGGAAGTACTGTTACACTCTGAATGTCATTAGCAGGACAAGGTATCTTTTAAGAGCAACGTTTTTGTATGGTAATTTTGACAATAACAATGTCTATCCCAAATTTGATGTCTCTGTTGGGGCAACTCATTGGTCCACAATTGTAATTTCTGATGCTAATACAATAGAGTCTATAGAGCTGATATTTTTGGCTTCAAGTCCTACCATCAGTGTGTGCTTATCCAATGCTACAACTGGGCAGCCATTCATATCTACACTTGAGCTCCGACAATTCAATGGTTCAATTTATTATACAGCATATGAAGACAAGTTTTATCTCAGTGTCTCGGCAAGAATCAATTTTGGGGCAGTTAGTGAAGATCCAGTAAGGTATGCACAAAATATCTGGTCGAAAATTCAGTTTGGTTAAGCGTTCATTTTTCTGAACTCTTGTCAAATGATTGACCATCATTTAGAAGGAGATGGAAAAATTACTGGACAAATTTAGTTATTCAAAATGGTATGATACTGATATCCAGAAATATCCTGATCATTGTGAGAGAAAAGTTCAGCTAGGATATACGTGGTAGAGTTATACGAGTATTTTTGTGAACACAAAGCTTGTTATTCAGAGGAAAAGAAATGAAATTGTCTTCTGTTATTTCAGGTACCCTGACGATCCATTTGACAGAATATGGGAGTCTGATTCTGTGAAGAAAGCAAATTACCTTGTTGATGTTGCTGCTGGTACTGAGAAAGTTTCAACTGACATGCCAATAGATGTTAGTCACAATGAAAGGCCTCCTCAGAAAGTGATGCAGACTGCTGTAGTTGGCACGAATGGGTCATTAACCTATCGGTTGAACTTGGATGGTTTTCCTGGTTTTGGTTGGGCTGTTACGTACTTTGCAGAAATTGAGGATTTGAGCCCTGATGAATCCAGGAAATTCAGGCTAGTGCTACCCGGCCACCCTGATATGAGCAAACCTGTAGTTAATATCCAAGAAAATGCTCAAGGAAAATATCGTCTCTATCAACCAGGATATCCCAACATATCCCTTCCCTTTGTATTATCTTTCAGATTTGGAAAGACTTCCGATTCATCAGAGGGGCCACTTCTGAATGCTATGGAGATAAACAAGTATCTAGAGAAAAATGATGGTTCCCCAGATGGTAAGTAGAAATAATGTTCCTTGAGTAGAGATGTCATTTCAGTTGAACTCCGGTGTACAGTTTGGTCTTATGAACTGTGTTTTTATAAGGATTGCTACATTGTCATCTTGCCATTTTTCTTTTGCCTATGAGGCATATTATCATGCATATCATTCATCATATGAACTCATCAACTCTGATCATATCTGTTATTAATATGCTGTAGGAGAAGTGATTGCTAGTGTCATTTCGTCCTATACATCAGCAGATTGGGCGCAAGAAGGTGGTGACCCATGTCTACCGGTTCCATGGTCATGGTTGCAGTGTAACTCAGATGTCCAACCAAGGATAGTCAAAATGTAAAGATTCATCTCTTTTGGGATATTGTACACATCTCTGTATGCATTCCTAAATTAATACAAGCCATATCTGAGATGAATTATACTTTACACTTGATCAATAACTTTTGTTCTTTGGCAGCTTATTGTCTAGTAAGAATTTGACAGGGACTATTCCTTTGGACTTGCCAAAGTTGAAAGGATTAGTTGAAGTGTGAGTTCAAACTGCTTTCTTTGTTTCATTTTTTTTTTTTTTTTTTTTTTTTTTTTTTTCCATATCTGAGATGATTATACTTTACATGATCAATAACTTTTTCTTGCGCAGCTTATTTCTTAGTAAAAAATGTTGACAGGGACTATTTCCTTTGACTTCCAAAAGTTGAAAGATTTAGTGAAGTTTGGTATCAACCCTTTCTTTTTTTTTTTTTTTTTTTTTTTTTTTTTTTTTTTTTTTTTTGTGCTTAATCTTGGATATGACTTAACATCAACTGCAATAATAGTTTAGTTTCATTATCGTCATTATCCTCTTCTTTTATTGATACAGATGGCTTGATGGGAATGCACTAACTGGTGGAATTCCAGATTTTACTGGATGCACCGACTTGGAGATTATGTAAATTGAGTTGACTTGTTCTCTTAATCTGGCATTTAATGTTGGTTTTTTCAAGAGATAAATCTAATAAAGATCCTTGGTTCTGTATAGCCATCTCGAGAACAATCAGTTGACGGGTGAGCTGCCTTCATCCTTATTGAACCTACCAAATTTAAGGGAACTGTAAGTTATCCAAACTTGGATTTCAGTTATTATTGGTGCTTGAGATCAATATTCTTGATTTTGACTGATGAAGAAATGATTCAAAGTGATTGTACATTCAACATCAGTGTTGATTAAATAATCTTTTTTTGTTTTATTCCTTGGTGCAACAGTAGAGTTATGGCCATGTGACCTAGAGGTCATGGGTTTGAGTCTTGGAAATAGCCTTTTGTGAAAATATAGGGTAAGGTTGTATAGAATAGACCCAAAGTGGTCCGACCCTTCCCTAGACCCGCGCACGGCAGGAGCTTCGTGCGCCAGGCTGCCCTTATCTTAAATTTTACTTATGGATGAATGTGTTACATGTTGCTTTTGATTGCAAGATTTTACTCCTGGTAATTATCTAAATTGTTCATATATGCTTGACACCTTGGACCATTGCAGGTATGTGCAAAATAATTTGCTGTCTGGAACAGTACCATCAGGTCTTCTCAATAAAAACATTGTTTTGAAGTGAGTATCATTTTTAACAAGTAGATATGAAATGCTTCACCTTGTTCAAAAATTTTACGGCAGCCATTAATGTGGTTACATATTTATAGCATGTATAATTGTATTTGGGAAAATGTTGTCTGCATATTCTCTATAAATTTTAGTAGAACTGGTGCATAGTATACTTTTATTCCCAGTTTAATCTAACATGCACCAGATATAGAACTTAATACATGCTTATCTTCATACCATCACTTTCAGTCACATAACTAGTGCACTGCACTTCCATGTGGTTCTGAATTGAAATGTTTACCTTAACTTGGTTAACTGCAGCTACTCTGGAAACCTTAATCTTCATGGAGGAGGCAGAAGAGGAAAGCACATTGGTATTATTATTGGTTCATCAGTTGGAGTTGCTGTTCTGCTGATAGCTACAGTAGTATCTTGCTTATTCATACAGAGAGGGAAGAAAAAACCTGATCAAGGTGTCTGTGTTTGATATTTTAAAATTGTATGTCTATATTCTGTGTGGCATCTTATTAGCAACTACATGCTTAATTTTTCTTAATCTGTTTTAGAACCACCTGTTCAAAGGCCACCTTCTAATGATACTCCAGCAGAAGGAGCTTATTGCTTTGCATTCTCTGATATTGAAGATGCTACAAAAAAATTTGAGAAGAAAATAGGCTCTGGAGGTTTTGGAGTTGTATACTATGGGAAAATGAAGGATGGAAAAGAAATTGCAGTCAAAGTTCTAACCAGTAACTCCTATCAGGGAAAACGAGAATTTTCAAATGAGGTAAGTTTCCAATATCCACAGCGTTGTACGTAATTCACTATTTTTTTTTTTTTTTTTTTTTTTTCTGTTGTCATCATGGTACTGCCAATCTTTCTGTTTTGACTCATTTAATCTTAGTTGTTGATGGTTTATGTGGTTCTTTTTTTTTTTTTTTTTTTTTCTGTTGTCAATATGGGTACTCCAATCTCTGTTTTGACTCATTTATCTAGTTGTTGATGGTTTTATGTGGTTCTTGTTTTAGAATAAAATTAAAATTTTAATAGAAGGTCAGTGGTCCAAGTTTGTTACCACTGAATTGTGTTCGTTTCTATATTCAACATCTCTAGCCCGAACTTCAGTTACATACAAATCAGGTACTTAATTATACATAACAGGAGGGGGAATGTTCTCATTCTTAAAGCATTTACATGGCTAGTATCAGGTCTCATGGTTTTACATTATTTTGAAATTCCTTAACTTCATGGAATCTATAAGGAGAAATGTTCCTTGTTAACATATTGTTACTCTTTTCTCTTTTTTCCAAATTAAGGTTCCAACAGACTATTTTTATCGTAAGAGGTTCTCAAAGCAAATCTAATTACCTAGGGTGTTTTAGAGAAATCAGTAAATATACACTAGTAAACATAGAAATATGTAGAACTTGCAGGAGGGTTGATTCCTTGCTTTTTAAATTTTAATAAATCTGGACTTTACATTTGCAATTTGATAAAGGCAATTTGATGCTCCATGCACCATTCCTGTTTCTTGAAGCCACAGGAATAGAAAATGGACAGAGTCCTTTAAATGGTTGCCTTCGATTTGATGATAAAGTGTATAAGAGTTAAAGTTGATGGAATAGTGAGTTCTAATCCTGGAATTTATGCTCCCATGGTGAAAGAAATAGTCTTCTCCAATACTTTGTAGTACATCAGGTTGCATCTTGTTGCTCATTTTGTTTGGAACTAATTGGTCTATACTTTCATTTGGCATAGGTAACTCTTCTTTCAAGGATACATCATAGAAACCTGGTACAGTTTCTTGGATTTTGCCAAGAAGAAGGGAGATGTATGCTTGTTTATGAGTTCATGCACAATGGAACTCTCAAGGAACATCTTTATGGTAATTTCTGATGTTTATGAATTGAACTGATATTAATTTTGGTACTCACCAGCATGCAAACTTTGATAGGCCCATTAACACGTGGAAGAAATATTAATTGGATAAAGCGCCTTGAGATTGCTGAGGATGCTGCCAAAGGTTTATGAACTTTTTTTCTCCGTTTAATTATTGTATTATTGTCCTCTTTTATAAGGAATGTTATTGTTCTTTGCTAGTGTGAAGTATGTTTGTAGAATCGATGTTGAAGTGATCCTTGTGTTTTACTGTTTGCTTGCTTGTCTATTCAGGGATTGAATATCTTCATACTGGCTGTGTTCCTGCCATTATCCATAGAGATTTAAAGACCAGTAATATTCTTCTTGACAAACAAATGAGAGCAAAGGTTTCTGATTTTGGTCTGTCGAAACTTGCGGTAGATGGAGTTTCACATGTCTCAAGTATAGTGCGGGGCACCGTAGGTTATTTGGATCCTGAGTAAGTACTTTTTCTACTCTTTCTCCTCAAGTTAACCATCTTTGGTTCAGTTGATTGTTGTTACTGCTGATGTTATCAGATGAATTAGAAGCTTTAATTGCCTTTTATTTCAATTCAATGTACTGTTAAGCCTCTTGAATTGTGGTTATGACAGAGACAATCATGTGGGTAGATTTAAGTTTGAGACATGTCATAGGTGTCTAGAATTCTGCTTCTTGGTATTAGACATAGCCTTTTTTTTACTTTCACCCATTTTTCTTTATGTATCAGTTTGGTACTGGAATAGTGATGACAAGTTTTCTATCAAATTTAATTAATAAGTTTGCTTCTTATGGTGCACAGGTATTATATCTCTCAGCAGTTAACGGACAAGAGTGATGTTTATAGTTTTGGTGTCATCCTCCTTGAGCTCATGTCTGGTCAAGAAGCCATATCAAATGAAAGCTTTGGTGTCAATTGCCGTAATATAGTTCAATGGGTAAGTTTGTTAGAAATGCAAATGCAAGAACTTGAGATTATGAAGATTGAACTACTAATTACATTAGTAAAATGTCTGTTATGAAAAGTTAACTTTTGTAATTTATAAAAATTTGACAGGCAAAGTTACACATTGAGAGTGGTGATATCCAAGGAATTATTGATCCTTCGCTACGCGATGAGTATGATATACAATCAATGTGGAAGATAGCAGAGAAAGCTTTAATGTGCGTCCAGCCTCACGGTCACATGAGGCCATCAATTTCAGAAGTCCTTAAGGAGATTCAAGATGCTATTTTAATTGAAAAGGAATCTATGACAGTGAGAGAAGGTAACTCCGATGACTTGTCGAGGACTTCTGCCCATTCTTCACTGAACTTGGGTTCTTTGGAATTTGGTGGAACTGAGAATTACTTATCCCTTGATGACTCAGTGGCACAACCAACTGCTAGATAGTTCCTTATTCATGCACAGTAACTGGCGCCTGCGCAGGCACAGGCACATAATTCCACTTCTGTTAGTAAAAAGAAAAAGTTTTTGGTTCCTTCTTCTAGTCATATTCTTTGTTCTAGGATTGCAATGCTGGATTTCTTATGTGCAGAATGGAAAAATGAAGAGAATTTGTACATTTTTTGAGCTTGCAATCCTTTTTGAGTGCAAGTAAATTTCCAATACTGGTAAAAATGCTATCGTTTGAGGATGGTAAATGAATCCATTTTGGTTTATCAAACTCCCATAAAACGTTAGACAGAAAGTCTCAATTACAGAGTCAGGCTATTGAGACTGTTGGATTGTTGCAAACTTGGTCGAAGCAGGGAAAGACAGGATGGTATGGGTTGGTATTGGTAAGATTTATCACGTGCAAGATTTACAATTTATTGCCTTTTGGTACAGGGAATATGATCCAACCACAAGGAAAGAAATTACCATGCCTTTTTTTTATTATTTTATTATTTTTTTATCTTCAATTATTTATGTGATGTGATCTTGTTTTTGTTGGTTCCACTAAAAAAGATAAGCAATTGTGTGGCTTGATTTTGCATTGTTCAATGATAATTTATGTTTTTTTGTTTTTTACTGAAAAAGGAATTTCATTGAATTTAACAGAATTTTTTTTTTTTTTTTAAATGGATGTGTTGTTTAAATATTATTACAATTAAAACTCGAAGCATCCTGAACCAATGCTGGAGGAACCGCACTCCTCTCAGCTAGCAGATGGGCATATTGATTTGCTGATTTTTTTAGCAAAGGGTAAAGATGATGAACAAATCTCCTGAGTCGTTGATTTCTTAGCAAAGACTAAAGATGACGAATAAAATTCCATCATCGTAGTTTGAGAATCATAAACTAAAAGGCCAAAATTACCTAACGACAGAACTTTTCAGTGCATGGAGAACCACCAAACAGTCAGCTACAGAAAAAACTTTTAAATTTAGTTGGAAGGATTTTTCAGTAAGATAAAATAAATTTTAAAATTTTTTATACTGTTCGTTAACGTGTCGTTTGTCTTTGATTTGAGTTTTACTCATATTACGGAATACCAAATGAATGACTTTAAGGATATATATAAACAAATTATGAACCGCTAAACTTATATGACCTTGTTTTACCAAATTGCTACTTCGTGAACAAAATAGTAATTTTAATACAAAAAAAATTTGTTGCTTGTTTGAGCTATAAGGGCAAAACAGGCAAAACAATGTCTAATGGGCTTTCAGATTGGTCACGGCGATCGCAGCATCAACAATAATAATTAAAAAGGCCAGAATCAAAACCAACGGTGTTGATAGACCTTATTCTCTCATCTGAGTCGTCTCCTATCTCCTCTCTTCTCCAGCGTCCGATCCCTTCTCTTTCCTCATTCTCCCTCCCAATCCAATCCTCCTTATTCTCTCGCGCCTTTTTTACAAAATCCTCCTCTAAGGTAACTCACACTTTCCCTCTCACTTCACTCACTCAGTCTTTCTCTCTCCTTCTCTTCCCCCCTCTCTCTCTTCTCTCTCGCTCTCTTTCTCTTTGATTAACGATGGTTGTTGCTGATTGCCGTTTTTACCTAGGTTTTCAAGATGGCGACGGAGGCACCACCGGCAAGCCCTGGCGGTGGCAGCCATGAGAGCGGCGAACACAGCCCCCGCTCTAACTCTAATTTTCGTGAACAAGATAGGTACCTGCCCATCGCCAATATTAGCCGGATCATGAAGAAGGCTCTTCCTGCAAATGGTAAGATCGCTAAGGATGCTAAGGAAACTGTTCAGGAATGCGTCTCTGAGTTTATCAGTTTCATCACCAGCGAGTATGGTTTGTCTGATTACTAATTTTTTTATGAATTTCAGTTTTAGTGAAATTGGATTTTTCATTTTTTTTTGGGTTTTTGTGTTTGATTAATTTGTAGGGCGAGTGATAAGTGTCAGAGAGAGAAGAGGAAGACAATCAATGGTGATGATTTGCTATGGGCTATGGCGACGTTAGGTTTTGAGGATTATATCGATCCGCTTAAGATTTACTTGTCTCGATACAGAGAGGTCAACTTAAGCTTTCAATTTTGGTTGCAAGTCGTTTTCGTTTTTAGTTTATGATAACATGAAAATTTACTGCTGCAGAATAGTAAAATTTGAAATTCTGTTCACTATTTTGGCCTGTTTTATGTGAGCATGTAACTTGTAACACTAATTTGTCTTGTCTAATTCCATGATTTTTTTATTATTGTGAAAGATTTAAGTACTAAAGTTGTGTTTTGGTTTTGCCTTTATTGGGTTGAACGGATAATGCAGATGGAGGTATGTTGATATTTCTTTTACCCACTCATATATATTTTTGTTTTTCTTTTTAGTTGGTTTTTGTAAATTTTTGAAGATTGATGTCTGTAAATTTATGGTGCTCGACAGGGTGACAGCAAGGGATCGGCAAAGGGTGGGGAAACGTCTGTTAAGAAAGATGTTCAGCCTAGTCCAAATGTCCAGGTGAAATGAAGCTTTTATTTTATAGAGATTCCTCTCTTTTTGTCAATACATGCATGTTCTTGTTTCTGTAGAGTCAATTTTCTATGCAAGACATATCATCTTATTTGGGAACATTTGGCAAACGAAACCTGGCAGATTTCACATCAAGGTGCGTTCTCGCAAGGTGTCAATTATGCAAATTCTCAAGTAATCTCTCTCTCTCTCTCTCTCTTCTTCTGTGGTCATTCATGGTATGTTAACCGTACTGAAGTATGTCTGTTTATGTGAAGCTGTCGAAATTGAATTGGATTATTGAATTTATTTTGCAATGAATACTTGGAATTGCTACTAGCAATTGAGATTTACTCTCTCTCTCTTAACTTTATTATGAAAAGGATTTTGTTCTGTAACTATGGTATTAACTTTAAGAGGATGGTAGGCTTGTTTTCTCAACTTATTTTTCAGAAACTTAATGTTGTCTGACTAATGCTTGTTGATTTTTGTGATGTTTGTTTTCAGTACATCAATATGTAATGTGTGTTCACGTGCACTCATGTGGTTGATGGATTAGGGTGACCGTGAGAGGACATACACTACAGATACAGTGCATTTCTTGTGCAAGCATTGGGTCTTTTATGTGGCATTTCAGTGATAAAATTTATCATTGGGCAATCGTGCCATCATTTTTTTTTTCACTTCCACTAAACAATCAGTTAGTGATGTTATCATGAAGTCTGGTTAGCACCTTTATGTTTTTCACTGTTTTCTGTTTGCATTTTGCGCTGATAAAAAGTCACTATTGCCACCATACTGTCATCATCACTCGCTTCAAGGCTGCTGCTGCATCTGCCTCTGTTATTGTGATTTCTAATCATAATGAAACCCAGGCAATTCAGCAAGATATTGATCAAATTGTTTTTTCCTTTTTTCTTTTCTCTCTCTCTCTCTCTCTCTTTTTTTTTTTTTTTTCCTGCTGCTGCATCTGCCTCTGTTATTGTGATTCCTAATTCTAATGAAACCCAGGCAATTCAGCAAGATATTGATCAAATTGTTTTTTTCCCTTTTTTCTTTTCTCTTCTCTTCTCTCTCTCTCTTTTTTTTTATTTTTTTTGGGGGGGGGGGGGGTGGGTTTGGGGGTGGGTTGCTTGTCATGGTAGATAATTCCTATTTCATTTTTTAGCTGTTTGAGGAGCAATATGCCTCTTTATTGTGAATTCCAGTAAACTGAAAGGTTGAAACATGAATGTTGGGAGTTGGCTTGCCAATTGATGCATGTGTACGGGGGGGGGGGGTGGTTGGGGTGGGTTGCTTGTCATGGTAGATATTCCTATTTCATTTTAAGCTGTTGAGCAATATGCTCTTTTATGTGAATTCCAGTAAACTGAAGGTTGAACATGATGTTGGGAGTTGGCTTGCATTGATGCATGTGTACTTATGTGGTGAGTAGTAACTACATGAGCAGTAAACACATTGTAGGAGCTTTTCCAATTGGTAATTTTGCTTGAAATTTTCATTGCAAATTAAAAATATATGCTATCACATAACCATTGAATGATAAATGTTGCTTCTCATATTGGGTAAACATAAGCCTATAGCTGCATAAGTAGGATCAATGGTTCCTGAAATAATGTTGTTTCCATAAAGTGGAGATCTATCAATAAGTTCACAAAGGCCATAAATATCTATAGAAGAAGAAGCAAAGGAAGCAGTGATAGATAATAATCTGTCACGCATACGAGTCAAACTTGAAACTAATTAAAGTGTGATGAGATATAACATTAAATGAGGATGCTTGAAGTTCTTGGCCTGCAAGTTTGCTGGTGTTCGTTGACAAATTGTGTAATTTTAGTTTCTTAGTAATGATACCATGTTGGCACTGCCTCACCTCTTTGCTTGTTTGTTACTTTCAATTTTTATCATTTCTCTGTTCTTTTGCATTGTGCTGTGATTGATTCTCCTTATGAATTTAAATAATGCTTTTGGATTTTCTGGCTCTAATATTGTATTTGGATTTTCTGGACTTCTGAAATTTTTTGCACTTACAGGTCCAGCATATGATGGTTCCTATGCATGACTCCAAGTAAACTTCTGCTTTCCTTAATGCAATGTCATCGTTTAGAGCCCTATTTAATATCTAGTTCCATGCTCACAACAAATACTGTACCAAAATATCAAATCCAATGTAAACACTAATGTTATGAATTGTTATGGTTCTCTTGTTGTATCTAGAGTTATTCTCTGTTAATGTTTGTATAATTAGGGTATTTTTTTCGCAGTTGAATGACCGGGAAATATTGTAAATCTTGTGAGGATGAGTATCCTATTATTTGTAGACTGGATATGTGTTTCTTTGTATTATGAATTGTTTAGATTACTTCTTATGCATTTGTTTCTGCACCATTATACCTCCCATTTGATTTGGATATTTGTCAAATGATGAGCAGACCAATGAATGTTTTATAGTTCATACTTCGCTACATGCCTATGTGGTCTCATTGATACATCAACACGTACCTACACATTTTATATTTTCTATAATTGCTATGCTGGGCGCTTGCAAGAGCCTAATCTTCCATGGACGTTATTTTCCCTTAGTTCATGCGAAGTATTTCCTTTTGAAGGTTTAATTTCATGATGACTTTTTGAGTCGTGGGTGCAACCTCATAATGCCTTTTTTTTTTTCCTGTCAACTATCATGTGCTTTTGCATATTTGGTTCTATTGTGTTAGTGGATTCACAGGAGATATGATCTCTCTTCCTTCTATTGTTGTGTATGTTTAAAATCAAGGGGCTCTGTTGTTGAATTTCTCAGGGTGGTGGAGAATCCATGCGGGCAAATAGAGCCTTGGAATTGGATCGAAAAGCAATGACATAAAGTAAGGAACCAAAGTTAATGGCTGCCGTGTAGTAAGTACCAATCCTGTTGTTTCCTTGTTCTCTACGTTGGACCAGACCAGAGAGGCGTACACTACTTTGTACTATGCCTGATCTTTTGGGTTTGAGTTCAACTTCAATAATAGTAGAACATTGCCCATGGAACCCTCTTTTTGCTTTTTTTCAATGTTCCAATTTTCTCTACGACTTCCTGCTTTTATTCACGGATTTGGGTTAGCTACCGATAATGGAGAACATGTTCCAATAAAAATATAAAACTTGATCTGACATCAAGCGTTGCTCATTGGTTATGAGATTTTACAAAACTTGATCCAAACACGACAAAGAATAAGGGTGAAAAAAGGAAGCTTTATCCTCCCCAATTTGGGATGTGAGGAAGGGAGATAAGATTTTAATTAATAAGTTTCGTCTGATTCTTTACTTTTTTTCATTAATTTACCTCGTCCCAAACATGAAGTTGGAATCCTTCTTACTCTTTTCCTTCCATTAGTTACCATTGTCTGGCCCCAATCACCCTGTTTACTATTTTAAAACTACCTCTGTTTTTTTTTTTTATATTGCAGCTTAAAAATTACATATATCGGCCTTTAAGATGGTGATTGCTCATCAAGACAGATGGACCAAATAAGTTCTTACAGATTGGCTGGAAACACTGCTTTTAAGAAACCCAATTCAAGAAGTTGAACTTTTTACAAGTCTTCTTGACGGTAGATAAAAAAAAAAAAAACAAAATTTAGGGAAAACGACACAACATCAGCCTCTGAATGATTATAAGTTTCTGCATTTAGAGTTGGTTGGGTATGATCACATTACAGCTCAAAACATAAGCATTTTCATTTGGTATAGTAAAATTTATGTTGTAACGAATACCAATTATTTGGACTTGAACCCAAATGTGAAGTGACTGATGACAGTGATTAGGTGAGGACCTAACCTAAAGAACATTAACTGTTAAAATTAGGAGTTTGTAGTAAAAATAACTGATAATAGAAAATAATAAAAAATGAAATTAACTGTTTAATTAATTGAATTCGGATAAAAAATAAATTATAATTATTTGAAAATTTTAATTATAAAGATAGAGTTTTAACTTGATAAAAAACGTAAAAAATTTAATTCTTGTAATTATATAAGATAATCGAAAAAGGACAGATGCCTTCAGCAATGAGCAATTCTCTTATAATTTGGACTTTGAAGCTTGCAAAATCATTAGGGATGGAAAAGTTGGATTTAAAAGAGCAAATGAGAGAAAAGAAACATCCCATGTAGTGTTGCACTCCCAAAAAATTTTAGTGAAGCTCAATTTTATATTTTATATTTAATATTTAATAAATTAAATTTAAAAATCAATAAATGTGGATGATTGATTTGGATTAGGAAAAACAAAACTTTACCCTGTAAGAGGGATGAAAGCCGGACGGATTTTCGTGGATATCCGACCCGTAAAACACTAAATTGTTTGGATAATCAAAATCATAGGATTTATATAATGTGGGTGATTGATGGTGGAATTAATGGGTAATGTATGGTAATTTCAGAGAAAGCTAGATTGGATGGTCCAAAAAATTTGATCAAAGTAATTTCAACCGTTGATACAAAGGAAAGTGTATTAACCTTCTAATAAACCAGTTTACACACGAGACTAATCTCCGAGCAGTAGAAGCTTAATATAATTACCATCTTCTATTTAAAATAGTCTTCCTGTGATACACATCTCAAAAACTCTGTTTTTATTTATTTTTTCTTTTATATATAAAAACTCACGCCCCTCCACCACTCTTTCCCTGTATCCATCATCACTTTCTGCGATAAGAAAAGAGCATCGGCCAAATTCTGGAGAAGAGACAATCCCTGAAATCAAATATAAAACCCTAAATTGTTTAGGTCGGAGGTCGATATACGACTATTTTTAGGTACTAACTTATATTCGTATAGTATAATAAAAAGTATTTTGATCTTTTAAACTAATCATAATCTATTGTATTTTGTTCCTTGAATTTCATCAACTGTTTCTCCAGTAAAGAGTTGGTTTTGTTATATTTTTTCATGTATATATGTGAGTAAAAGAGAGTTTTGTAGACAATAATTTTGCTGGGATGAATCTGTTAACTTTTTTTAGAGAAGCTTAAGCTTATCTATCTGTTCTCTCTCTCTCTTTTTTTTTCTTTTTTAAATTGTAGTTTCTTCATATTATATATATATATATATATATATTCTCCCACTTTTAGTTGGTTGACACCTCTTTGTGAGTATGGATGTGTATACTCGAGTAATTGATTTGTGGTGATTAGTGGATTCATCAACAATGGTAATGCTTATTCTAATAAAAGTTTTGAACTTAATGTGTTAAATTTTCATGGAAACCTTGTTTGGATAATTCCTTACTGGGGTTCTGGAGGGGGAGGGTGATGATGATGGTGATATGATCATTCTCATTGCTTGATTTGATCTGTGGGGAATGGTTCGTGTTTATAAACTTGTGAGAATGTGAATGACATATGTGTGTACTTTTTAGCTCTACTGTTGTTTGATGGAAAATTCCTGCTCTTGTAGGGTTATTGGTCTTTGATTTGATTATAATTTGATTATAATGGGAAATCGTGGGCAAAAGCGGGCAGAGATTATAGAAGAATTTCCAGCGGATAAGCGAGCTTGTAGTTCATTGGAATTTAGACCAAGTTCTTCTAACTCATCAATTCAAACTAATATAAATTCCATAAGTTCAACACCTGAAACCCGTGATGCTGGAACCCACGATGCAGATATGGATACTTCATCCTCTGGTTCAGCTTCAAGCCGGTCAGAGGAGGAAGATCATGAAAGGGATTCAGCTTATGGCTCATGTGATTCTGATGAAGCAATACCAGGACGTAGCAGTTTGCATAATTATCAGAGGCAGAGATCATTCGGTGATCATGGCAGATTGAGGAGTGCTTTATCCACTTTAAGTGAAGGCACTGAGTCTTCTGGGCTATTAGCTGCTCTTACAGAATTGTGCGAGGTGCTCTCATTTTGTACTGAGGATTCTCTTTCGAGCATGATGGCAGACTCTTTATCGCCTGTTCTTGTTCAGCATGCAAGGCATGAGAGCAACCCAGATATAATGTTGTTAGCTATAAGGGCTTTAACTTATCTGTGTGATGTGTTTCCCCGAGCATCTGCTTTTCTTGTTAGACATGATGCGGTTCCGGTTCTTTGTCAAAGACTAATGGCGATTGAGTACTTAGATGTAGCTGAACAGGTATGTTTTAATGCAATTAATTATGTTTATATGAAGTAGAATGTTACATATGACCTTTATTAATGATAAGTTTTTTGCTTTAATGCAGTGCTTGCAAGCATTGGAGAAAATATCTCGTGAACAACCACTTGCATGTCTGCAGGCTGGGGCAATAATGGCTGTTCTGAACTTTATTGACTTCTTCTCTACCAGTGTCCAAGTAAGTGATTTTGCAAATTTGTTGCTCACAGTTATTGGTTTTCTTCTTACCTTTATTTTCTAGCTTTGATTTTGTTTGTGATTTCCTTGCTGTTGGAGTCTTAAGTAACAAAGTTTGCGATTCTTTTTGTCTATGTTAGAGAGTTGCACTTTCAACTGTGGTCAATATATGTAAGAAACTACCAACAGAAAGCCCTTCTCCTTTTATGGAGGCTGTTCCAACATTATGCAATCTCCTACAGTATGAGGATCGACAGGCACGAATTTTCTGGGGTTTCTTCTATTTGGAATGATATTCAGAGATTAACCTTTTGTTTTTAATATTCCTGTGATCTTACAAATGTGTGTACTTTGTGTCCATTTTTCAGCTTGTTGAAAATGTAGTGATTTGCTTGATGAAAATAGCTGAGCGGGTTAGTCAGTCTTCTGAGATGCTGGATGATCTATGTAAGCATGGCCTAATCAATGAAGCTACTCATCTAATACATTTGAATAGCCGAACCACTCTATCTCAACCGATATATAATGTATGTCTGAATAGCTTTTCTGACATTAGGTTGTCCTGCATTTTTAGTGCTTTAGAGGATAATCTTCTTTTTACTATTTTGTTGGCAGGGTTTGATTGGGCTGCTGGTCAAACTTGCCTCTGGTTCAATGGTGGCTTTCAGGACACTTTATGAGCTTAATATAAGCAGCACCTTGAAGGACATGTTAGCTACTTATGATGCTTCACATGGGATGTCTTCTCTCTATGCAGTAGATGGGCAGAGCAACCAGGTTTAACTTGGATGATAATTTTTTTTTTTTAATTTTCCCCTCTATTGACAAGGATTTGAATAAATTACATTTACTATATTCTTTGAATTCCTATTTAATTATGGGAAACATGGAGCATAATAAAAGATTGAAGAATATCAACCATGACTCTGAAAATTGAACCTTTTAGGAGGAAAGGAGACATTTTTGCTGACTAGAAATTTTGGTGGGTATTACACTAAGTGGATGGTTTATAATGGTTACTTTTGAGGAAATTATTTATACTCGCATTGCAGTTTTCATACCTTTTTGCTGGAGTTTCTGATAGCATTTGAATTGAGAGACTATCTATTTATCTACTAATGCCTTCTTTCCGACTTCAAAGTTAATTGTAATAGCATTATTATTGCTACTTCATCGATTGCTTCTTCTTGGAACCAAATTTCAGTTTCTAAATGGAATATAAGTTTACGTATGGATTTGGTGTTATTAAAGTTGAAAGAACATTGGGACTTATTACCAAAAAATATTCCCTTAGGTACATGAAGTTCTAAAGTTGCTAAATGAGCTCCTCCCTTTGGTACCAAAGGATCACGATGTTCAACAAGAAGTGTCGGAAAAAGAATCATTTTTAGTTAATCATCCCGAACTTTTGCGTAAGTTTGGATCTGATATGCTACCCATGTTGATCCAGGTTGGTTATCTGATGCATAGTACTGCACTGGCTCTTTGAATTTCTTTACATTGCTTCGTGATTTTTTCTTTCTTTCCTTAAACAGGTCGTTAATTCTGGTGCAAATATTTATGTTTGCTTTGGGTGCCTATCTGTCATCAACAAATTGGTCTATTTCAGCAAATCTGACATCCTTGTTGAATTATTTAAGAATGCAAACATTCCAAGGTGAACTGGGCATTCTCATATTTAGTTATCATATATTGAAAGTCTTTCAGTCAAGGTAATAAAGTTCCTTACATGATGTGGCAGTTTTTTGGCTGGGGTTTTTACGCGGAAGGATCACCATGTGCTGATATTAGCCTTACAAATTGCTGAGATAATTTTGCAAAAACTTTCAGATATTTTCCTGAATGCATTCATTAAGGAAGGTGTCTTTTTTGCCATTGATGCCCTTATGATGCCAGAAAAATGTTCCCCTTCAATGTTTCCAGTGTTCAACAGCATTCAGCTTACATCTGACTTCAATCAAAAGTCTGTTTCAAAAGTTGTTCGAAGATGCTTATGTTATGCATTTGATACGGGCCAGTCTTCTGTAACCTCAGAGGCAGGAACATGCAAGCTTGTAAAGGATGGCGTTCAAAGTCTTGCAAAACATATAAAAACTACTTACTTTGCTCCAGAATTATGTGACTTTGAGAATGGGTTGACAGATATCCTTCAAAAGCTTAGAGCTCTTTCTGCATCATTGAGTGATCTGATGAATTTTCCCACAAGTGTGGATAGTTCCAGCCAAGATGAAGAGAAGTTTTATTGTTTATTGCGTCAAATTATGGATAAGCTTGATGGAAGAGAACCTGTTTCCACTTTTGAATTTATTGAGAGTGGAATTGTGAAGTCATTGGTAAAATACATATCCAATGGTCAGTATTTGAGTAAGGTGGAACTTCATGGTAAGTTTGACCATTATTATCTTGTAGAAAAAAGACTTAAGGTGTTTGCAAGGTTTTTTTCATCTTATTCAAGCCTTGTTGAAGGGTTACCCGTGTCCATTTTAATACGGAAATTGCAAAGTGCCTTAGCTTCTCTGGAGAATTTCCCTGTTATTTTGAGCCATTCATCCAAGCAAAGGAACTGGTTTGCCACCGTTCCTAATGGACGTTGCATATCTCACCCATGCCTGAGAGTTCGTTTTGTAAGGGGAGAGGGAGAGACATGTATTTCTGATTACTCTGATAATGTTTTCACTGTTGACCCTTTTTCTTCGTTGGATGCAATTGAAGGATTTTTGTTTCCTAGAGTTAGAATGGAAAGAACCAAACAAACAGAAACAACTACTTTATCTATGGATCCAATGGAAAGCATACATTTTCAGATTCCATCAAGTAACTCTTGTGAAGGTCAAAGCTCAGGTGCCACTGAGCCTGACAGCAATTCTACTGATTTGCATCAGATGCAGGTTATTATTTGTGGTGCCATGAATGAGAATCTTTTAGGCCACTTTTTATTAATCGTCCTTTATCTTTAACTATGTTTTCATTTATGTGGAGCTATGAGATCTTTAGTTAGTTATGTTAACTGATTTGCAGGAGGATGAGGCTCCACTGGAACAAGTGATAAATTTACAACCGCAAATTCCTGGTGATACTACGACTTCAGATGATGGTGACATTGTAAGAAGACTCTTCATTAATAACTATAATTCTGTTTCATCTCAAATTGCTCAACTAGGTCTTGTGGTCATATTTTATCTCCTCAACTTGTTCATTGTTTGCTTATTCATTATGGTAATGGCTGATTTCTTTATCAGCAAGAGAATATATAGTTGTTCCGTATGCTGCTATTGACTTTGGTAAATTACAGGCCAATCCTGACCAGGTGGGACAGTTTCCTTCTGTGGAAGACATCAATGGGAAAACTGGGAATCCTGCATCCTCTAGCAATGGAGATGCTTTGCCAAAACTGGCATTTTACCTAGAAGGGCAAGAATTGGACCGGAGTTTGACACTGTATCAAGCAATTCTCCAACAGAGAATTAAAGCTGACCTCGACATTAATACAGGTGCAAAGTTGTGGAGTCAAGTCTACACCCTGACTTATAGAATAGCTGCAGAAAGTAATGGTGATAGTCCTAAAAAATGTCATAGTTTGGCTCAAAATTCCTCTTTGGTGGATAAGATTGGGGCTCATATGCAATGCACTTCATTTTGCACCAGCATATTCAATTGTGAACTTGCTTCTGACTTGGATAAGTTGAGTCCTGCTTATGATGTATTATTTCTGCTTAAAAGTTTGGAAGGCTTGAACAGGTATACATTTCATCTGATGTCTTGTGAAAGAGTACATGCATTTGCTGAAGGGCTAATCAATGACTTAGATAGTTTAAAAGTGGTGGTTCATTCAGTCTCACAGAATGAATTTGTGAGCAGTAAGTTGACAGAAAAACTAGAGCAGCAGATGCGAGATTCTTTCGCTGTTTCTATTGGTGGTATGCCATTGTGGTGTAATCAACTTATGTCTTCATGCCCCTTCTTGTTTAGCTTCGAGGCAAGATGTAAATACTTCCGATTGTCAGCATTTGGATCTCAGCAAGTTCAGATGCAGACACCTTCTAATACCTCAGGAGTTTCTAGAGACAGGAGGTCAAATCTAGGTACTATGCACCGTAAAAAGTTTTTAGTTTTGCGTGACCGGATTCTAGAGTCTGCTGCGCAAATGATGGACCTTTATGCTCATGTTAAAGTGCCGATTGAAGTGGTATATAATGAAGAAGTTGGTAGCGGTCTTGGTCCAACATTGGAATTTTATACCTTGGTCAGTCATGAGTTTCAGAAGTATGGTCTTGGCATGTGGAGAGAAGATCATAGTTCACTTGCAGCCAGGAAAGGATTATCGATTGATGATTCTGAAATTCTAACATCTCCTTTTGGCCTTTTTCCCCGTCCATGGCCATCGACGCTGGATATCTCTGATGGCATACAATTTTCTGATGTTATTAAAAAGTTTGTCCTCTTGGGAGAAATTGTGGCAAAGGCTCTTCAAGATGGAAGGGTCTTGGATCTGCCATTCTCCAAAGCCTTCTATAAGCTTATTCTTCAGCAGGTCCTCTTCCATTTATGATCTAATTATTAATGATTTGTGTAGTTTTTCATTAACTATTGGTTCTTGATATCCCTGCTATTGATATGCATGTATATTTTACTTCTCTTTTGGAATAGGAACTGAATTTGTGCGACATTCAGTCATTTGATCCTGATCTGGGCAGGACATTGCTAGAGTTTGAAGCTCTTGTTGATAGGAAAAAGATTTTGGAATCAGTTTTAGGAGAAAATTTGTCTTCTACTTTTGATGCAAGCTTCCGAAGTACCAGAATTGAGGATCTCTATCTTGACTTCACTCTTCCTGGGTATCCCAATTACATTGTCCACCCGGATCATAAATTAGTAAGTCATCGCTGAATATCATCTAATTTAATTTGCATGAAATTACTAATTGATGGTATACAAACTTATAGCACCTTATGTATGCCTTCTACTTAGGTAAATATGGATAACTTGGAGGAGTATGTTTCTCTTGTTGTGGATGCTACTACACATGCTGGAATTTCTAGACAAGTTGAAGCTTTTAAGTCTGGATTTAATCAGGTGTGTTATGGAAGAGAGATGCTTTTTGTTTGAAATAAACAATTTTATATAAAAAACGAGGATCCCTGAACAGAATGGAGGCTATATGTTTATCCCTTCCCCTGACATGTATACTAAATGGATAACTTGATATAAGGAATGAAACAGTTTCATTAAGCTCGTCCTTTTATTTTATGGTGCGAGTTCGAAGGAACTTGGTTTCTTAAACTGTTGATTATTCCATTTCTTTATTTCTTTATTTTTATTTATTTTTTGGTTCCTTGTAGCAATCGGGTTTAATCATAATTTAACATATATTTTTTTCCCTCCCTCGTTTACATGATGTTTCTCTCAGAATGATTTATTCATTATCAGATTTTATATCCTTGGCTATTGTGATTATCTAATGTGTAACATCAATTCCAATTTCAGTGTTACTTGGTACTTAATTGATTCATTTGCCTATTTTACTTGACTTTTTTCAGGTTTTTCCAATTAAGTATCTTCAGATTTTTACTGAGGAGGAACTAGAGCGATTACTATGTGGAGAACGTGTTTTCTGGGCTGTATGTATAAAATTTGATTGATCATTTTGTGCTCCTGAATACTAATTTTTATTTACTGTTATTATTATTATTATTAAATTTTTGTTATGTTAAAGCAGTTCAATGAGCTTTTGGATCATATCAAGTTTGATCATGGATACACTGCTAGCAGTCCTCCTATTAATAATGTAGTCTCTCTCTCTCTCTATCTCTCTCTCTCTCCTGAATACTAATTTTTATTTACTGTTATTATTATTATTATTAAATTTTTGTTATGTTAAAGCAGTTCAATGAGCTTTTGGATCATATCAAGTTTGATCATGGATACACTGCTAGCAGTCCTCCTATTAATAATGTAGTCTCTCTCTCTCTCTATCTCTCTCTCTCTCTCTCCCTCCTACACACACACACACACAGATACACACACACACATGCACATGCACACACTCATCAGTTTTAGCTTTGACATTTGACTTCTTTGCTTGCTTCCAATTACAGTTACTGGAAATCATGCAAGAGTTCAATCAAGAACAACGGCGAGCATTTCTGCAGTTTGTAACTGGGGCACCTCGACTTCCTCCTGGAGGATTGGCATCCTTGAGTCCAAAATTGACAATTGTCCGGAAGGTCTGTGGCATTGATACATCTCTATCCTTCCCCCATCCTCCGTTCCTATGATGTTCATCCAAATAAACAGTTAAAGAAACTTCGTTATATTTCTTTTTGCAGCATTGTAGTAACTGTGCGGATGCAGACCTACCCAGTGTGATGACTTGTGCCAATTACCTGAAGTTGCCACCTTATTCTTCAAAAGTAAATTATTTTGCCCTATTAGATCCATTTGTACTCTTACTTTCTATCCCTATTGCTAAATTTATGCTTGTGACAATTTTAAATGATCATGTTATGTAGGACAAGATGAAAGAGAAGCTATTGTATGCCATAACAGAAGGACAAGGCTCATTCCACCTCTCGTAGCCTGGCTGATATATCGATTGTGAATTTGTAATTATTAGGATAGGTATTTTGTACAGGGAAAAGGTGGTGGTCCTGGTGGAATTTGGTGGGTGGGAAAAGGGAGCTGATTGTTGAGGAACAAGAGGAAGCTCCTCAACTTCACTGACTACACTTTTGTGGGGATAATGTGTACATACAAGTCCAGATACAGACAGCTATTTGATTTACAGGAGTTGGGAAGTTGTACAGCAAAAAAGAGGGGATTTCAATTGGATGGAATTGGCTTTCCTAACGTATATTGTACAAATCGGTGTACAGATACCGTTTAGCGTAGATTTAGTTCGTTGGTTCTTTTTTATCCAGTTGCAATTAAGGTAGTCTTGGTTAGTATTTAGTCTAACGAAGTGCTAATGTTGTTGGTTAGGTTCTTGTTAAGAACATGATGTTATTGCTTTTAGCTTTTCATTCTGTCTTCGCATATTTTCTTTTCATGTATATCTCTATATGCTCCCAACGAAGCCGGAGCTCTCATCTTGTAAACTTGATGTCAAGCAAGCAATTCTCTTCTGTTTCGTTTAAGAGGTCGAATGCAATTAAAAAAAAAAAAAAGAACTTGTTTAGTGTGATGGACGGGCTTGAAGCTTTTTAGCCAACGTTCATATATTCCAATTTGGGGGTAGAGATAAAATTTTTCCAATTATAGGGCATTTTTTCAAGTAGAAAACAGAACTTTGCAATTGCCATTATAAATAAACAAATGAGGCAAATGAATATACCATTTAAATAAACAAAATGAGGCAAAATGATATATATATATATATTTATATATAATATATTAATTAATTATATATATATATATAATATATATAAGTTTCCCACTTTTTCAATATGTAGGTGACAATGGTGTTACTTAGACTACTATTGGTTGTAACCTTCAAAGATTATCCTTATAAGTAACTTAGTCAAAGTAGTAAAGTATACGTAATAGATATAATATTGAGGCAAGTAAATTCATTAGAACACATGTAAAATATATTTCTTCTTAAATATATCAAGTTCCACTTTTTCATATGTAAGGTGACAATGTGTTACTTAGACCTACTATTGGTTGTAACCTTCAAAGATTATCTTATAAGTACTTAGTCAAAGTAGTAAAGTATACGGTAATAGATATAATTATTGAAGGCAAGTAACTTCATTAGAACACATGTAAAATATATTTCTTCTTAAGAACATAATATATGTAAAAGAACTATTGGATGTCAATCAAAAATTAATTTTTAGTATTACTTGTAAGAAACTATTGGATGTCAATTAAATATTAATTGTTATATACAATTCTTATTATTTTTTAATTTTAATAGATAGTGAATTTCTAAACAAATAGAATAGAAGAAAGCATAAGTCTTGTAGAGACAAAGGAGAGGATAGCATATGCTCAACGTATTACTTCTCGCTTCCACCAAAAATCAAAAGACTATCTCTTGTTCCTTCCTTATCTTCTGTACTTTCTCTCTCTTCGCTATTCAAATAAAACTGAAGGTCCCTCCTTTTCCACCATTTCTTTTCTTTTCTTTGCCCAAAATCAAATGGACCACCACCATCTCCAACCATGAACCCACTATTACCCTCCTCCTGTTCTTCTTCGCCGCTTTCTAATCTATACCCATTACCCCATGCTTTCTCTTTCCACTGGCCTTCTATACCATCTTCCACCACCAGCACCACTGTCGCATCGAAACCCACACTCCACTTTTGCACGTATTCTGCTACTAACCAAGCAAATCCCACAACAACAGACCTTTCTTTAACTACTGCTAGTGATGACCAAAGACTATTATCTCTACTCCGTCAAAGAAAAACCGAAGAGGCATGGAGTCTTTATACCCAATTTTGTCATCTTCCAAATCCCACTTGTCTTAGCCGCTTAGTTTCTCAACTCTCTTACCAAAACAACTCTCTTAGTCTTAAGCGCGCCCAGTCCATTCTTACGCGCCTCCGCCATGAACGCCAACTCCACAGACTCGACGCTAATTCTCTTGGTCTACTCGCTGTCTCCGCGACAAAATCTGGTCAAATATTGTATGCCGTTTCTCTCATTAACTCAATGTTACGTTCCGGTTATCTTCCTCACGTGAAGGCTTGGTCTGCCGTTCTCAGTCGCCTTGCCTCCTCCCCGGACGATGGCCCCATACAAGCAATCAAACTCTTTAAATCAGTTACTCGCCGTGTACGGAGATTCTCCGACGTGACAATGGTTGCAGAGTCAAGACCAGATACTGCTGCTTTTAACAATGTGCTTAATGCTTGTGCTAATATAGGAGATAAAAACATGTTCTTACAATTGTTCGATGAAATGTCTGAGTTTGGAGCTGAGCCTGATATCATGACTTATAATATTATAATTAAGTTGTGTGCTAGATGTAATAGAAAAGACTTGCTTGTGTTTGTTTTGGAGAGGGCAATTGAAAATGGTGTATCTTTATGTATGACTACTTTGCATTCTCTTGTAGCTGCCTATGTTGGATTTAGCGATTTGGAAACTGCAGAGAAAATAGTTCAAGCAATGAGGGAAGAAAGGAGAGATCTTTGTAAGATTATGAGGGAAGCAAATATGGAGGATTTGATTGATGATGAGAGAGATTTAACTGAGAATGAAGAGTTGGGTCAAAGTGGGGAAGATATTGTGTTTGAGAAATTGCTTCCAAATTGGATTGAAGCTATTAATACTGAACCACCATTGTTGCCTAAAGCTTATGCTCCCGACTGTAGAATATACACAACTTTAATGAAGGGTTATATGAAGCAAGGTCGTGTAAGTGATACTATAAGAATGTTAGAGGCAATGAGACATCAGGATGATAATTCTAGTCATCCTGATCATGTAACCTATACAACGGTTGTTTCTACTCTTGTAAGGGCTGGTTCTATGGACCGTGCACGTCAAGTACTGGCAGAGATGACTAGAATTGGTGTGCCTGCGAATAGGATTACTTACAATATTCTGCTGAAGGGTCATTGCCAGCAATTGCAAATTGATAAGGCTAAGGAGTTGCTCAAGGAAATGACCGATGATGCGGAAATTCAACCTGATGTGGTTTCATATAATACTTTGATTGATGGATGTATACAAGTTGATGATAGTGCAGGAGCTCTTGCATTTTTTAATGAGATGCGAGCAAAAGGAATTGCTCCTACCAAGATCAGTTACACTACTTTGATGAAAGCTTTCGCCTTATCAGGTCAACCAAAGTTGGCTAACCAGGTCTTCGATGAGATGTTCAAAGACCCGCGTGTGAGAGTTGATTTGATCGCATGGAATATGCTAGTTGAAGGGTTTTGTAAACTGGGATCGATTGAGGAAGCCAAGAAAATAGTCGAGAGAATGAAGGAGAATGGTTTCTACCCCAATGTGGCTACTTATAGTAGTCTTGCAAATGGAATAGCATTGGCTAGAAAACCAGGGGAAGCACTTCTACTTTGGAAAGAAGTCAAGGAAAGGTGTATGGTGCAAAAGGATAGGGAGAAGTCTGATTCCAATTCGCCTTGTCCACCAACACTGAAACCTGATGAAGGCTTGCTAGATACTCTGGCTGATATTTGTGTTAGGGCTGCTTTCTTCCAAAAAGCACTAGAAATAGTGGCTTGCATGGAAGAAAATGGGATACCACCAAATAAAACCAAGTATAAAAAGATCTATGTGGAGATGCATTCAAGAATGTTTACTAGTAAACATGCTTCTCAGGCAAGGCGAGATAGGAGAAGAGAGAGAAAACGAGCAGCTGAGGCTTTCAAGTTTTGGTTGGGGTTGCCAAATTCTTATTATGGGAGTGAGTGGCGGCTTGGACCCACCGATGAAGGTGATTATGCTTGAGATTCACTGTCAACCACCAGGTACTTGGTTGTAAACTGTTAATAAAATTGGAATTTCACACAAAGGAAAATGGAGACCATCGATGAAGGTGATTATGCTTGAGGTTTAGGTTAATCTCCACGGTACTTGGTTGTACACTATGTTACTGAAAATGGAATTTCACACAAAGGAAAATGGAGACCTACCACTGGTGTTTATACTTGAGATTCTGGATAACTTCCATGTACTTGATTATAGACTACGTTTACTGAAATTGGAATTACACAAAGGTAAATGGAAAATAGTATTTACCGGATTGTATCTGTATATTATGAACCTTGAATTGTAGATTCAAAATTATCATTGTAAAATGTAAAAACAAATATATGTAAATCTGTTCAGGCAAAATGACTATTCAGAATTGATTCATGTTAAAAGTCAAGTTAATACAACCTTTTACACGTAGTGGCCTTGTTTTGTGGTTATACAGTCAGGATTCCCTGGGAATAGTTTGATGAGATATTTAAACACAACACAGAGGAAGTTTTACCAGTTTTTCAAAGAATTTCAACCCCTTGACCTTGAAGATTGACTCCGTGTATAAGACGATGTTAGCACCTGCAGTACAAAGTACAGTCATTAAACAGAAGTTGCTTGTAGTAAGTTACTGGAAATGAACATTAGCTAATTTAATTATATTACTCTTGATTGCTTGAGATAGAACAGCAAAAAAAAACAAGTTTTGTTTCTGATATAAACATTGCATTATCCGGTTATTGTCACGAGTATAGAAGCGTTTTTGGATGACCAAATACACACGATAGTACCTGAAATGTCTTTGGTCCCTTCTTAAGTAGATAACCGACACTGTTTAAGTTGTCAACAAATGTGTCGATATCTGGAACTCTTAAGCCAATCCTATCTGCCAAACTGTATATCTCCTGAAATACCAGCAAGAAAATAGATTAGAGGATGAGTTTATTTTGAGAGTGCACAGTTTTTATTGCTATATAGGGCAGAAAAAACAGTTCATACAGAAATTGAAAATGTGTCTTTCTGCTGCAACTCTGACTGCTTACTGAGGGCACTTAGAAACCGTTTAGCTTCTTTCTGTTGACTCATTCCACCACTCCGAGCAAAATCCACAACACCATGTTCATCTACATATTTATCATATAGGGATTCTTTCATTATTTCAACAACATCCTGCAAAGCAGATTCCAAAAATGAAAATTTGGTTGGAAAGATAATGAAATATAATGAGAAACTACTTGTTGTAAAGCGAATTGAAATATGGTTAGGTATCAAACTTAAGGCTCATTAAGTACGCACTGTTATCCCCGTCTTGAATTAAACTAAAAGCGCAGAGAAAGCCAGCTATCCATTGTTTATGACTAACTTTAACGTCATTTGATGTATATGTGTTGTCAGTGTTAGTACTTCTCACCCGCAACAGAGCGTTGACATAAGCTTCAGAATCCTTTAAGGGTTCATTGACATAGATTTCAGAACCATCTAACAGAAAAATATTTCATAAAAAACTGGAAAGATGAATGACCAAACAATAGATAAAGGACCAACAAAAGAATTTAGCATTAGCAAACAATATCATTACCATTGCATCTTGTGCTGTTATTTCTTCTCTCAATTCTAGCCGAGCCCGAGCCTCGGCAAGCCTCACTAGACTTTCCAGTTGCCTTGCTGTTATTGGTGTACCATCAGCTGAAGTATTATGGTCTCTAAGGCGTAAATAGAACTTCTGTAAGATTTCCGCTGCTGGTCTTGACATCCTGTATCAATGGAATAAATTATATACATGCAAAATAAATCAGCAGTACCAAATACGCGCAGTTGTAGTCTCAACATACAGATTGCATCAAATTCACAATGAAAAGATCCAACCAAAATTACCTAGGAAATACGTAAGTTCTTGCATAAGCAATATACTTCCGAAGAAGTGGACCAGGCAGAGGAGCAAAATCAGCATCCTTATTTGGTTCAAGTCTCAGCCTTGAAATTAAAGAACCACTTCTTACACTCATATCTATGCTCCCATTGTTCTGTGATGCTGCAATTTATCAAATAAGGACACATATCAAAGGAAATACCTCATGTAAAAGTACATTTCTCTATAAGCAGAACCACTAGCTTACTAAGCCCCCTTCCACAAAGGATAAAAAGAAAAGAAGAAGAAGAATAAGAATACCTATCCGTAGCTTTTTTGCTGCTGGTGCTTGTTCTCCATATCCAGCATGAAGCTGTGAGATGGACACATTAATTATTCATAACTTCATATCCTAAAACAAACACTAAATGAGAAAATCCAAAAACTTTCATGCTTGGTCCCGAAGAATTCATAATTTTAATAACTAACAAAATTCTCCAATTGCTGGACAAATAGTCTTCCTTAAATACCAATAATCTTCTATCTACTCCAGTCATTTAAAGTGTGATTGCAACGTGGATAAATACAAACAAGATATCCCATGTGACGCAAATAACTATTAATTTTCTATTACAATTACTTCAAACATAACTGGGGTTTTTCCTTTGAAATTTACTACTTTATATGTTTATGACACTCACACATGCAGGCACATAACACATACACAGAGACAAATGGTTGAACAAAAGCAGACCCATTCTCCACAATGTATAATGCTTCACGTCACTGGAATATTTTCATATAAATAATGTGCCAATATGAGATGCTGGACAAGGCAACTTACTGACATTATGTGGTCTGAGACTCGTTTGTCCAGTACTTCATCAGGATTATCGAGTAATATGAATACCAAATCAAATCGTGAGAGAAGAGCAGCACTCATTTTCAAGTTTTCATTCACTGTCTTTGCTCGACTGCAAGTTGGATACAAATATCAACAATACTAAACAAGATATACAATAAAAGTATATATGTATAATTGGAGGCATTACTTGAATCATTATTCAGTTACTGCAAAACTTGTTATGTGTATCAGAAAATGCCAATTCACTGCAGTACCATACTTTCAGTCTTTTCCCAGATCATGGAGATACTATTTTAAGTACAATTGTTGCCTTTGAATTGCATCCATTATTAGAAAGCTTGAAGATAAAAAAATAACCCATAGACCAAAAAAAAGAGAGAAAAAAAAGAGAGGAAGAAGAAGAAGAAATTACTTATAATGACCACCAGCAGGGTTTGCCGCTGCTAAAACAGAAGTTCGTGCTGATAAACTTGCTAGCATGCCAGCCTTTGCAACAGACACACATTGTTGTTCCATGGCTTCCAGAAGAGCCTGTAATAATCCCATTGTAAGTAAATATATTCTAGAGGTCAAGTGGACAAAACAAAGAACTAATCGATCAGCAGGTCAGGACAAACCTGATGTTCTGCAGACATTTTATCAAATTCGTCAATACAACACAATCCACTGTCTGCTAGCACCATTGCACCTATTGAGAGATGCAACCGTTAATTAAGACATCATTAGAAAATTTCATGCGACAAGGATAATATAGAAACTTTGGAACTGAAGATAGAACCCACTTGTCAAACATGCAGATACAAGGGGACAAACATTCATTTTGTTGCAATCTATTTTAAAGAAATACCTATCTCTGTTATTTTCCTAAAGTTTAATTGTTGCTTATTAAACTTAAAAGTCTATATGTGGCATGTCTGATCATATTGTGTAAGTCTTGAAAGCATAATTTGGAGTCAATTCTAAATTGAATAAGGGTCAAATAAAGTTAAGACTTGGACGCATCTTCCTTCCAAAAGTTCCCACTCTATTTCCTGATCAACAAGTCTCTTTTTTACGCAAGGGCATTTGAGAGTCAGCTCACTACATTCCTGAACTTTGGAACAAGTGAGTACTCAGCCTTTTGATCCTGTAACTTAAGGTTGAAACTTGGGATAGAGTTGTCAATTTTACATAGTCTTGCCCTGCTCTTTTAGAGGCTGTTCCCACAACTCATAAAGGAATAAACTGACCTTCCACAAATGCTTTCCTCTTACATCCTACATATTGTTTTGTAAAAAGATGATTTCCTAGCACATGGGCATTAGGTTTTGGGGATGCTATTTCCATGTATATAATCTCCAGCTCATAATGGAGCAACCTGGTTGCACCAAAGTTCATGTATGATACTTCTTATATATAGAACTATAGCCTATACAAGAACTAAAAGCAAAGGGCATATCTTGACATAGCAGCCAATAATTCTTAGTATCTACTTGAAGTGAGCGTAACAACACAAAACTTTCTATCAGTTTTGATCTTTGGTTTCTCTTCAGTGTGCCAGAGTCTAATCAGATGCTTCTGGTCAATCATGATAAGTAAAGCATTCACTTTTCAACACTATGGAACTTGTAAATAAACAGATCAATACATCATAACACAACTAGAAAAAAAAAAAAAAAAAAGAAAAAGATCTTTGGTTTCTCTTCAGTGGTGCCAGGAGTCTAATCAGATGCTTCTTGGTCAATCATGAAAGTTAAAGCATTCACTTTTCAAACACTATGGAACCTTGCTAAATAAAACAGATCAATACATCAATAACAAAAAAAAAAAAAAAAAAAAGAAAAAGAAAAGAAAAGAAAAGGCTAGTAAGAGGCAATCGGTTACCAGCCTCAAACGCATAGTCACTTGTCATGGAATCCTTCACCACTGCAACAGTGAGGCCAGCATTGGTTGTACCATTGCCACACACATAAATGCCACGTGGAGAAACAGCTGCTGCTGCTTGAAGTAATTGACTCTTGCCTAGTCCAGGATCACCTAGCAAAATAGGAAATAAATTTAGCAAGTTCATTTTCTTTTCACCCATCCTTAAAACAAGAAACTACTTTTGACTTCTAATAGATTAGATAATTTTGTTGAGAATAATATCCATTTTAATTATAATGTATCCTATGTTATTTCCATAATAAGGGCAGCCAGAAATTTAAGCATACCAACAATTATGACGTGGATATCTCCTCTAACTGGAACCTTATTCTGATCCATTGAATGCTTGCGTACACCTCCAAACAGTGCTAATGTTATTCCAGCTGTTAAAAGTCAGAAAAAATATACACAGCACTTCATTATTGAAGTTCAAATCATGAATCAATAATGCAGGACTTGAGAAAACTTGCTAGGTCCTTTTATTCAGATTACTCAGTAAACTGACTGACAATCAACCATTCTAGACAGGATTAAAGATGTGATTATCACATGATGAAGATAACTAGCATCAAAAAGGGAAAAAGTTGAATACCATGGTGTGAGGTAGAATGATATTTTATTAGTTAAATTCCAGGAAATGTTGATGTTGTTTGAAAAATTATTTTTTTCCAACTGAAAAAGTTACAAAGATAAGCAACATTTTGAATTCTTAATGCTTATCAGTTGGCAGACACTTGATACCTTTGACAAGTTCATGTCCATAGATTGAAGGACAGATAGATTGAATTATTTGACGGAAAATATCAGAACCATATTCTTCAGAAAACTTCACAATGAATTCCAAATCCCTTGGAGAAAATGAGAACAAATCAGACAGCTCTGTAGCTCTAGCATTAGACTTGGAATCTTGAAAATCAAAAGAAGTAGATTGTGACTTGGAATTTTTTATGGAAACTCCTTCCAGGTACAAATAGTAAAATCCTTGATTTTTGCCTTTCAATTTTCCTGTAAACATGGATTGCAGATAACATGTTAGGAAATAGTTGAGATCTGCAAACCATAATAATCTAATATGAAATAGTTATTAATCATAAACACATTATGTGCCAAAAAAAATTGAGCAAGTTAGCCATGAAATATCCCTGCTTCAATAATCTTGAATTGTAATCATGCAAAATCCAGTGTAGAAATATTTTCACCTGACCTCCTCCAATATCCACATAATTGTTTATTGTTCTTATAATTCCAGTGACAGTTACCACATCCCCAGGGATGCATGCATCAACAAGATCTTCAGTCAGTTCACATTCCACTGTCCGAGGAACTCGCCCTTCTTCATGATCTTCAGACCTTAGTAATTCCTGTATCCTGGATGAGTGACACAAATATTCAGAGGAATACATAAATCAGAAGAGAAATGCAAAGAGACAAACCCGTTATTTTCTGAAATTGAAGGGCTTGCCTTATTTTCTGAAAATCTACGGCTTGAGCAGAAGATCGAATGGGATGAAAAGTTCTACTTTTGCATCCGTTTAAGTTACAAATAGTTGGTGGTGAAAATTTTCCATCAGGAAATATGCGTGCGATGTTAGATTTACACTTTTCACAATCAAAACTCATTTGTACCACCAAAGGCCTAACTGTGCTAACTTTTACTACTGTCCCTCGCACAGACACAAGCTTATCTGCCATTTCACCAAATGATACATCGCATCATAGTGTTTCACCAGCACAAATAAACACCAACAAGGGGAAAAGAAAGAGAGAAAGAGAAAGAGAAACAAAACCGACCATAAAATTTCAATTGCAAGCCTAAAGTGAAAATTACCAATATATGCTGCTTTTAGGTTTTTCAGAGCAATCATTGATTCAGGGTAGTTGTGAAGACGGATGTTAATCTTCGCGCCAACCTGTAAAATATTCTCCTCGCATTTAGTTGAAAGCACCTGCTTCAAAGTTAGTTTGGATTTACTCAAACCACAGTAAAGTAAAGAACAAGCGAGAAAGTAACTTCAAAATTTCCTGCACCTTGTACCTTGTGAACTGCAGCGCCCAGGCAAGAGAGAGCTACTTTAGGCTTCTCTTCTAAAATCACATAAAATTCCTCAACATCACATATTTTTCGAAATTGTTCAAAGTCAATCGGCAAAAAGAAGGCGCCATTCTCTTCCTTCACCTGTTCATGTATTGAAATTTCAGTTTCTCAAATTCTTAACCAAAGCCAGTCGCTCAAAACTAGCCCAGGCAAATTCATCATTTCTCAAAGTAGAGAGAAAGAGAGAGACCTGAGAAGCGAGATCTTGTCCTAGAGATGTGGAGAAGAAGTGGATGAGATCAGATATCAGCATCAGCTTGTCCTCGTCAACGGAGAAATCATTCGTCGGAAAATAAACGGCCAGGATTTCCATACTGTTGCTTGCATCGGTCATCGGGCGGTGGTGCTTCTTCCGGCTGGTGCTTTCTCCTTTACTTCCATACATAGCGATCGATCAGATAGACTCTCTCTCGTTCCCTCGCTGCCACCAGGTTCTTGTTAAATTCCCCTCGTTTTGGCGGGAAAGACCTGACTTTTGTATGCTTCATCGTTTTATTGATGAAAAGGTCCACGACACGATATTTTAAAAGACGACTTCTCCATCTTTTAGAAAAACGACGATAGGTCCTCTCGAAAGCCGTCGTTTCTCAAGATTTTGTATGAGCAGTTCAACGATGCCGCTTCGTCCAGTAATGGCAGCAATTTTTAAAAAAGAGATTTACACGTGGAGTGCTGGTAAGGCATCAACATCACCAGAAGATAAAACGGGCATACTAACTATAAGCCGTCTGATCTTATCCACGTGTCGATGCAGATTTTCAACTTAGAAAACCATGTCCGGTACGAAAGCAACCCCATTCACCTGACTCTTCCCTCTCATATCTCCGCTCTCTCTCTCTCTCTTTCTCTCTCTCTGTCTCTCTCTAGAAATCTTCACAGAACTTTTCTTATCTGTTATTTGACAATCTCTGTATAGATAGTTGTCCCTCTCTTCACAGAGTTGCTTAAGGTACCCCTTTTGACCCTCTGTTCTATTCTCTCTTCATTTTTAAGTTGGGGGTTTTTCTATATTCTGCCAGAGATTTAATTATATACAGATAATTGTAGCTCGTTTTCCTATTTTTGGAGTGTGTCAATGTCTGCGAATCTAGACCGTATCGACCTTAATTCCGACGTCGTTTCAGTAGAACCAGAAAACGATGTTCATGGGTTTAATATCCCGGAACCAATGATTATGCCTGGGTTATCAAACGCTGAAACCCTAACAGACCCTAAGGGTCAGACCCTTGAACCTGTGATAGACCAAGTTAAGGACTTTGAAGGGGCTAAGTTAACTGTTAACGGGTTAGGCAATGGTGGTTTGGAGAGACAGAGTGAGTCTGTAGATAGAGAGATTAATATGGAAGCCAAAATTAAGTCTTTAGAAGAAGAGAGCAATACAGTTGTTGATGTCTCTTCTGGAGAAGTGGTTCAGTTTACTAAAACACAATTTGGTGAGTGTGATCAAGTTAAGGAGGAACTGAAGGAGGGGATTTGTTCTGGTTCAGATTTTGAGAACTCAATCAAAGTCCAAAAAGTAGATGATACGTGTGCTTTGCCTAGAACAGTTGATATGGAAGGGAAGGAAGTTAATGCTAATGACTCCTCGCCTGTTAAAGATGCTAGTCATGTTTCTGCGGAGGTAATTTCTGGTTGTATTGAGAATCAGGACATGGAAATTGATGATCAAGTCAATACTTCTAAAGGTGAAATGGTGGTCAGTAATCTTTCTGTTGCAGGGATTTGCGAGGGAAATGGTGGTAATAATAAGTCTAGCGCACTAAATCTTGTTGTGGATTTGAACTCGTATGTGAATGCTGATGGAAAGGAGTCAGGCAATGTGAATGCTAAAGTAAATACTTCAAAGCTGGAATTCAGTGCTTCTGATCTCGTATGGGGCAAAGTGAGAAGCCATCCTTGGTGGCCTGGGCAGATATTTGATCCTTCTTGTGCATCAGAGAAGGCAAAGAAGTATTTTAAAAGGGATAGCTATTTAATTGCTTATTTTGGGGATCAGACTTTTGCTTGGAATGAAGAATCAACGATAAAGCCTTTTCGATCCCATTTCTCACAAATGGAGAGACAGAACAATTCAGAGGAATTTCTTTATGCCATTGATTGTGCTTTGGATGAGGTTTCTAGGCGAGTAGAGTTTGGCTTGGCCTGTCCTTGCATACCCGAGTACAGTGAGATCAGTGCTCAAATAATTGTTAATGCTGGAATTGGAGAAGATTTTTGTAGTAGAGAAGGTGCGGATAATTTTTCAAGTGCAAATGCTTTTGAACCTGCAAACTTTCTTGATTATATTAAAGAGTTAGGCCAATCGCCATTTGATGCAGTAGACAGGCTGGAATTTGTAACGGCACAGGCTCAACTATTGGCATTCAGTCGTTGGAAGGGTTATTCTCAACTGCCTGAATTCCAAATTCTTGGCACCTTGATTTTGAGCAATGAGGACGGCAATGAATTGAATGCAAAGGCTCTTGCTGAAATTAAAGATGAAGAGCATGTCTCTTCTGTAGAGGTGAAGTCAAAAACTGAAGATGGAGAGCCAACTCCTAAGCGCAAGAACTTCTTTGGAGATAGTGTGTATCCGAGAAAGAAAGAGAAAAGTTTGGCTGAACTTTTTGCTGAGAGACGCTCATCTATTGCAAGTAGTAAAAGTGGAGTAGGGATCAAAGCTGCTTGCAAGTCAACTTCATCATCTTCCGATAAGAAACGGAAGGCTGTTGATTCCATTTCTGATAACCCTGCAGTGAAACGCAGCAAAAGTCTTTCATCATCAGGGGCTGAAAACAACTCTTCACAGCCAAAGAGAACTTATAGAGTTGGAGAGAGCATTCTTAGGGTTGCAAGCCAACTGAATGGACCAACACCAATGCGCAAACCTATTGATGGAGCTTCTCGAGAATGTTCAACTAAGGATACAACCAAAGAGAAGTCTCTCTCCAGCAAATCACAAGGTAAAAAATGGTTTGAAACAGAGGATTATTCATCTGACGTGATGATTTCACAGCTTTGCTTGGTTGCCAGAAATCCCATGAAAGAATGCAGCTTTTTGAGATCTGTAGTTGGTTTCTTTGTGGAATTTAGGAACTCAGTTCGCCTAGATCTTGCAAGATCACCACAGGACAAGCTGTCCTTCTTAGAGTGTATCTTTGGTGATAGTTTTGGGAAAGAATCGAGCAAATCAGGAGCGGAAGCATGCGAATCGGAGCATTCAAAAGACTCTTGTTCAACAGATATGATGATTCAAGGTCCCCCCCAAGAGCGGCCATCAGATAGTGCAACCCAAAAGATCATTCCCTCTGTTGAACGTGCTCAATCAAGTCCAAGTTTGGATTCTGAAAGGCAAGGCAATGGTGAAATTCTTGATATTGAAGCAACAGAGCCAGTGAGCGGCTTGAAGGCACATTGCAAAGATGATAACTGCCCAACAGCTTTGATTCTAAACTTTACGCACTCGGCTTCCATCCCTCCAGAATCAAACTTGAACAAGATATTCAGTCGATTTGGACGCGTGAAGGAATCGCAGACTGAAGTACTAAAGAAGAAGAACCGTGCAAAAGTGGTTTTCTACAGGCGTGATGATGCAGAAGCAGCATTCAGCAGTGCTGGTAAATACAGCATTTTCGGACCTTCACTTGTCAGTTACCGCCTCAAGTACATGCCTTCAACACCTGGTAAATCTTCTTGAAATATAACAAAGTACAGCAAGAAAGATGCAAATTCTGCAGAGGAAAAATACAATCTAAAGCATCAAACTGTAGTCAAGTGGCATATTCTGAAGTGGTGTGTCCATGGCACAAGCATGAAGTTAAAACTGTTGGTAGTTTCTTTTTGTTCTACAGATTTGGCTTATCCCTGGTGATCTTGAGTAGACTATAGGGGGTAGTCATAATAGAACACAGTTCAAAACAGGCAGCCTTGGGCAATGATGTAATTATTGTATCGAAACTATTTAGGAAATAGACTTTATTTGATAAGAGTGATCTTCCTTATTTTGCCAATGAGGCATTTTAATGTAGTTGAAGATTCAATTTTTAATTTTTTTGTTGTTGATATGTTCACCTACATGCTACAGGGTTAACGCTTGCATTGATGTTCTGGTTCATTGGTCCCTGCCAATGAACCTCTATCCATTATGAAGACATAAAAAAAAGAGGAAAGAAAAATCGAAAAAATGAGGATTGTTGCAGCCTAGAGAATTCATGAATTTCAAATCAATATGGTCTAATTTTTTAAATCATTTATAAATGAAATAAATTCTATATCAATTAAAATACTATATAAAAAATGTCATTTCAAAATCTCAATGGAAATGGTTACGAGATTAAGTTATTAATAGAGAGATTTTTTATGTTACATTTAGATATATGAGAGGATGTTATAGATTAATCGGTCTATATATTCAGATTTATATTTTTATAATTTATCCAATACAACTTTATACGCTAGAAAAATAAAATTATTTTATACACTAAAAACATAAAAATAGATTTCTTTCTATTTAGACTAATAAATACTATCTATTTTAATTCGCTAATTTCATTTAAGATGTAAAATAAGAATCCTTTGGAAAAATATTGACAAGAACTAAAAAAATTAATCATTTTGTATACATACTTTAGTCATATTAATTGTTTTTTTATTAATTTGTGAATTGAATTTAATATATTTTTATGTGCTGGAGAAATTGCTTGCGATTTATATTATTGCATCCCTAAAAATTTAAAGGAAAAGCGAAGTTTTAAATCAAGTATGTCATCATCCCATGATCTATTCAGCATCGCCATATCATCAACGGTCCAAATACGATACACACGCGAGGCGCTCGTACCTTTCCCCTTCTGTACCTAAAAAACAACAACTAAAAACAGGCGCTTTCTCTAAAATTCAAAACTCCGTCTCCCTCCTTTCCCCCCTCTCTTTTTCCCAATTCGCCACCGCAATCCAATTTCAATTCCACTCTCTTTCTTGTTTCTTTGATCGATCTTTACGATGAGCGAATCCGAAGCGAATTTTGGTTTTGAAGATAAAAGCCTAAGTCTCATTGATGTCAGCTTCGAGGACGATTGCCTCTACAATTCTCCTCCCCGGGATTATCGAACTCCTCATCTTTCAGGTCCTTCTTTCGCACATTACTTTTCGTTTCCCTTGATTTGGTACCTTAATGTGATCTGCATTAGGTTTCATTTCTGTAAATTTCGTTTGAAAGATGACTGATCTGGTTGATTCTATTACTTTGATTCTTCTTTAGTTAAAACATTAATTTGATCAATAATTGGAAGAAGTGAAAATAATTAGATGCAAAGTTGAGCTGAGAAAAAAACTCTGTAGATGTGACAAGATTTTATTGGTATCTGAAGGGAAATTAATAGCTTGACATAGCGTTACTTAGTAATAGATGTCAACTGGGGTATTTGAGGAATACTGTTGCTTTTATAATAATAAACAAGTTCTAGTAGATTCAAAATTTTAGTCTTCAAGAATTGAAATGTTGATGCATAGCGTTACAGTCTGAATTTCCCCATCAATTATATGACAAGTGTGATGAGAGTAGATTAACCATTAGGTCCTTTTGAGCAGTTCTCTCAAGGCACTTGTCATGTAACTTTTATAATGCAGTGATATGCTGCCATGCATCACATGTTGCAGCATAAGTGGTATAGGTCTTTAATTTGTAAAACTTCTAGTTTGATGTTGCTTTGCCTTGACATGGAAAATGGGATTTTAGGGTTCGCATGTATGATAGCTCAAATTTTCAGCTTTTATTTTCTGCTTTTTATTTCAATTTTGTTTGTTGCAATCAGAAAATTGTTGTTTTTGAATATTCTGGGATTATGCTATGTACAGATAAGCAGACAGAGAACAAAAATGTTCAGTTGCTGGATGTGCAAGACGGTGAAGAATCTCTTGAAGATGATAAACAAGTAATTCAACCGCTTGAATCAACAGAGCAAGAAAAGATGAGAAAAAATGAAAAGTACAACTTACGCAACAGTTTAGCCTGGGATAGTGCTTTCTTCACTAGTGCAGGTACTCTTCTTATTCATTTTATGCGCTGGTATTATATATCCTTCCTCAAATTTAATATGATCTTTTAGTTAGATATGCATCTTATGTGTAACCAGGTGTTTTGGAACCGGAGGAGATATCTAATATGATTGAAGGAACTGAGAAAGTAGGCAAAGTCCATGTATTACCTGGAATTGAAGAGGACGTGCGCAGATCTATTGATTCAATATCTACATTAGTGACTGATATTTCAACAATAGAAACACTTGAGGATGACTTGTTTGGAGACATAAGAGCTTCAATCCAGAAATCTAGTAAAGCAGCCAATGCAGCAATTTCACATTGTAAAGCTGGATCTAGAGTTAATGATGGCCAACTCATTAAATGTGAGTTATCCATTTACATATATATAGAAAACTATGAAAATGACTTTTTCTCGGTGGACTTGTTGTCACTTAGGACTTGCCTTCTTCCTACATGAGTGCTGCATAGCCATGAACCACAAACTCCAAGATCAACTGACTCTGTCTATCTATGCTATGGTAGCAATAGCAATAGGAGAAAAACCTTTGATCATAGCATTTGCTTTGATCCAACCAGCTCCAGTAGAGGAAGCATTTCCAATGAATAAGAACTTGAATTGGAATTAGGTGGGGCTAATCAAAGGGGGCAAGTCCCTGAGGAAGGGTCTACATCCCCTGTTTACAAAACAAAGCATGTCTCTCTTCTGCAATTCAATCAAACTTTCTATATGTTTGTGAAGAAAGAAAAATAGGCACTTTTAAGGCCTGTGTGGAGTAGCTAGATGGGAGGTTATTTGTCCTGCACGGGTGGCTATATATATATATATTTCCAACTCTTTCTATCACCATTAGAATTGATAATTCCATCAAGAAGTTCTGTATTATTTTGTCAAAAAGGGCAACCAAGGGCAATCCTTTATTTCCCAAGTCATTACGACATGATAACCACCTTGATTTCCACGAGTGTCACCAGTATCAGCAGTTTCCCAACCCTGGTGGATTAGAATGCTGTTGAACTTAACAACTTGAATCTCTAGATGACTTATTTTTGTAAAAGGATAAACATGCATTTTCTAAATTATTTATTGTTCTTGGACTAGATGCAGCCTTTTTTCTCAATTAAATAAATAATTGTATAGGAAAAGTCAGAGCATTTTTTATCTGTTTAGTTACATTGGCTATATGGTGTTTGACTTCTATTCTCTATTGCTTGCATGTATGAATATGTTTGGATCTTTCAGATAGTCTAATTTTTGTACCTGTGCTCTGGAGATATTTTTAATTAAAAGATGACGTTAATGAGGCGCAACTCTATTTCATTTCGTTGTTTAACTTATAGAGTTTATTGGGACATTTTAACTGATATACCGTGCACATCCTTTTTGGTTTGATTACTTTCAAACTAACAGTGACTCTCCTTTCAGCTTCAGAGAGAGTGACAATTGTCACCCAAAATAAGGTGAGTTCAATGTTGTTAGTCATTAATTGTTATTATTTTTAATGGTACTTATTCTATTGCATTGGAACTTCAGTTAAAGACTAAAAAATCTCCCAAGAAGCCAAATGTTATCATTAAAGGATCAGGGAAAATGGCGAACCAGGTCTCTCCTAATCCACAAGCTCCAAAGGCATGTATTTACTTGATCCTATTGCTTGCATGTATCTACTTGATCCTTTTAAGAAATGTTTTATTGTTTTCGTATGAAAATAGTCAACACGTGTATTTTGCAGTAATTTAAAGTTTTAAACTGGACGTAGCTATTAGCTATTCAACAAGATGACTGGAAATAGTCAACATGTGTACTTAGCAGTAATTTAAAGATTTAAACTGGAAGTAGATATTAGCTATTCAACAAGGTGACTGGAATTGCCCATCTCGTTCTAAATTATCAGGATTAAATGTTACCAAGTCATGTTATTGTTTATTTTCTCTTGCAGATATTTAATTCTGTAAGCAAGGACAAATTAAGTGGTTAACAATGTCAAATGGAGTTGTTTTCAAAACATGGCTTGACTGGTTTGCTTTCCTGCAGTCTGGTTCTATAAATGGAGAATCAACTTCATCTCTCTGTAAGCCACCCAAGATAGCTGGCAGAGTCGGTCCCATCTTAACAACAGCAGGCAAACGAGCTTCCTTGGGTGCTAACCATGCCAAAATGGAAAAGGATAATGCAAAAAATTCAAATAGTCGTGCAGATAATCCAAAAAAATTGGCTGGTAATTTTATCACTTTATTCATATTTATTATTTCCATATACAGAAAACATGCTTGACTGCTATGTATTTAATAGTGGCAGGTAGGGGATCAAAACTTCCTACTATGGGTGGTTCAAGAAATGCGGTCCCCAATCCCAAACCACCTTTAAAGTCCTCCCTGCGATCTTCATTGGCATCTAAGAAAGAGCTAACAACTTCTTCCTCCGCTGATAGTTCAGGAAGCCTGTCATCTGACAGTAGCAGTAAACATTCCTTCAACACCGTAAAAAGAAAAATTGATCCAAAACCTGGTAATCATCTCTCCAATATTTCAACTATCAAAACCACATTGACAAATAAGAATCAGTCTATAAGTCGACATATCTCACCTTATATGAAGTCTGTGACCAAGCTCTCTTCTAGCATATCACCTTCTAGTTCTATCAGTGAATGGTCTTTGGAATCATTTTCACCAACTTCATCACTTAATAGAAGGTCTAATAGTTCAAGACCCAGCATTGACATTAGCTCTTGTGAAAATGCGTCTGATAATGGTGATTTTCCTCAAGTTTTGGACTCTCAAATCCATTCTAGTGACAAATGCTCAGTTAAACAAGGTACCCAGGTCACTAGATTGTCAAGTGAGCATGTAAAGAGAGTTCCAATAAGAAGTGGGGCACTTGCTGATTCAGAGTCTACCAAACCATCAGGGCTTCGGTTGCCATCACCAAAAATTGGCTTCTTTGATGGGGTCAGTTCCAATTTCCCATTTATGAAATATTCTACCCTAGTCGGGAAGTGGTTTTGCCAAAATAGTTTTCAAGGAAAAATATCTGAAATTGTCTTTTTGGAATGCTGCGCTCCTTATCCTAACAAGATGTTTTACTGAAATCTATTCAGGCAAAATGTCCTCCCTTGTTCATTATCACTTTCCTTTCCATCTTCTTTGGCAACTTATGACATTTACATTATTCAGGCTAGATCGGCAGTGCGCAGTCCCAGTGGCTTGGCTAGAAATGGGACAGCAAATGGTACCAGTGTGGCTTCAAATGAGGCAAAGCTCGGAAAGCTTCAACCTGCTAGAACTGTTGTGGCAGCTCGGGGCACCAAAACTGGTCTGCAACCTGCCCCAGGAAACAAAGGTAAACCTCCTTTTCCTCTTCAGGAGACCTCAAATGCTGCACCAAAAGTCTGTAGTGTTTCAAGAAATGGAAAATGCAGTCCTGGCATGCCTCCCAAACTTCAGAATAGAATGTCTCCTGGAAATGGTGGAAAAAGTAGCTTGAAGGCTGATAAAATTTCTCCAAAAGAATGTCATACATCAGTAAACAATCAACCTATCAATTATGGTGAAAGAAATGGCAGCCTAGATAAAGATAAAATGAGCCCACAGAATGAGAGTAATGGCAGCATAAAAGTTGCAGGACTTGGAGCTATACATGACTTGAGTTCTTTGTCTGGGGATGAAAACATAATCTTGCAAAAAGTGGCTGAAAATGCAATAGATGATCAAAAGAACAATTTGTATTCTCCTTTGGTTGCTAATGAAAAGGAACAAACTTATTTTGGAGATGCAGTCGGTGATATGGCCCTACAACTTGAAGCTGTGGATATTTATAAGGAGATCCAACAAAAACCTGTTCTTGATTATTCTTCTTTCAATCACGTCAATGAAAGCAGAGAAGTTGATACTAGTCCCCCGAGGGACTCTGCGAAGTTATTTAGGCCTGCTCCTGCTCTCAACCATACTGAAGGGGTAGCCTTGGAGATTGATGAAAGCTAAAGATGACTTGACAGTGTAGCAGCAAATTTGTTGAAGGTAAATAAGTTCTGCTTTCCTATGAGAATTTGCCTCGTCTCTGAATGCCATGCAGGTAGATTAGTCCTTGAAGCAACAATTGTTAAAGAGTAGAAATCATTTTATTGCAAGAACTAAGGAAAATGAATATTGCAACATAAGGAATCTGAGAGCTGAAAATTCCATTTTCTAGAGCTTGCTTTTGTATATTGTATTAGAACAACATGAAGGTCACCACATGTGATGAAGGAAGGAATGAGATTCAGTGGAGTTAATGTACATTGTCAGAATATTCCTTTTTATTTATTTGACGTGTTTTGAGTTTGTCAGACAATAGTAGTACCATAAAGACTTATTTTGTGTACAACTTCCGGCAATAGTTGAAATTTTATTTTTCACCGGTAATCATTTTCCCAGCAAATCTTGTATTATTTTCGTCATGTATCACCTCACTGAGCACCCGATTCGATACAACCAAAACCGGGAAAACTATATAAAAAAGACAGCTATTCTAATAGTATTTTCTATCACTGAACTATATAAAAAAGACAGCTATTCTAATAGTATTTTCTATCAGTTCAGTGAGGACAATTAATCGATGCATAGACAGGTTTTGTTTTTCCGGGTGAACGAACCAATGTTTTTTCGTCTCACAGAAACGAATTATTACCTGCGTGACTGCGTCGTCATGGACCAGAGCACATATAATAGACCTAACAAATATTATTTCTCATGTTTTTTCTTCCAAAAAATTGTGATCTTGATAAAATGATGGAGATTTCACTTTGATTTACCTGAGATTGACCGCTAGGCCAAATCTCATGTCACAAGATAATTATTTGTTAAAAGAGGCAATTAACTAGAACATGTAATCTTGAACAAAAATTGAAATCAGAGAGATTCAGTACAATAACTAGAAAGATAAAAATCGTTTTCAACAGATCCACTTAAAAACATAGAGAAACATTCCCAGTACCGCAAAAAGAACTAGCAATAAACTATAACAGTAGATAAACTCTCCATAGCAAACTTAAGATCTTGGTTTTTCCTTCTTCTCCTTGAAGAGTGCGAGAAGAGAGACACCAGAGACCTTCACAACCTTAAACCTAACTCCAGGAATATCTCCGACTGCATGACCCTTTCGTCCAAATCCAGCAATCAAAACCTCATCCTTTGAACACAAATAACACAATGTTAGATACACGTTGGAAAAAAATAAAGGAAAGCCACATTTAACACAATGGATACTCACATTCTCCTCAATATAGTTTAAGCAACCATCGTTTGGTACAAAAGCAGCAATCTTCTTTCCATTTTTAATCAGTTGAACTCTAGCACATTTTCTGATAGCAGAGTTAGGCTGCTTGGCCTCAATACCGCTGCAATTAGACAGCCATTGCACAATTTAGAATATAATGTTCTGTACAAGGAAGACCAAACCAAAACATAAACAAGCAGAACAAATAATGAAGTCTTACATCTTCTCAAGAACAATGCCTTTGGCATGGGAAGAGCCAGCAAATGGCTTCTTCCATTCATTACCAAGATGGGATTTCTTGTATGCCTTGTCAGCCCACCTTTGCCTTCTTCTGTGGGACTTCAGTTTGCGGGCAGCTCCCATACCACGTGTCTTCCTGAAACAGGTAAGATGAAGGTTTAGAGAAGCAAATACCATTTAGTATACGCATCTTCACTCTAAATCACTAAAATATCAGTCATAGAAAAGAGGTAAAACTTTTGAAATCAGCAATTCAAAAAACCAATAGCATAATTAAACAGAAACTTGTCACAATTGGCTTCCCGAGGACCATCTTCTTCCATTCATTACCAAGATGGGATTTCTTGTATGCCTTGTCAGCCCACCTTTGCCTTCTTCTGTGGGACTTCAGTTTGCGGGCAGCTCCCATACCACGTGTCTTCCTGAAACAGGTAAGATGAAGGTTTAGAGAAGCAAATACCATTTAGTATACGCATCTTCACTCTAAATCACTAAAATATCAGTCATAGAAAAGAGGTAAAACTTTTGAAATCAGCAATTCAAAAAACCAATAGCATAATTAAACAGAAACTTGTCACAATTGGCTTCCCGAGGACCATTTAACTATACATCAATCATGAGGAACCCAGTGCTCTCCAGTACAAAATATTACTTCCCTTCCATAAAGGGTCAAACTTGCAAGTCATTCAAACCTCCAATCCAACAAAAGGTTTAAAACTGTTATCAAAAACATACACACAACCCAGTCCAACAGCTAACATTTCTATTCACCTTCCTATGCAACTAAAACATAACTATTAGATATAGTAGGCATTAGGGACAATTTGCAATATCGATTTCAAAATGGACTAAATTCTGAAATCAGCATATAGAAATCTAATTAACCTAATAACTCAGCAACATATCAGTTCGGCCAACTAAAAAAACAAACTGAACTAATTTGAACAGCATAAAGAAAAACACACTTCTTTTTTGAAGTAAACAGGAAAACCACAAGACACCATGAACATAAAGCTTGAAGATTTTTCACATCTTAAGCTTTCTAAAGAACAAAAAGCCAGGATCTATAACTAAACCAACAGAGAGAATCGAAGAGATTAATCATACCCCATGGTTGCAGAGACGAGTTTCTTCGACGGCGACGAGGGTTTCTTGAGCTTCGAAGGTGAAGATTATAAGAGGCAACCGCCACTGAGTAAAACCCTAACCCTATGATGCATCTGGATGCTCCAAATATATAGAGAGATTAAGTGGAGTTGGTCCTTCCAAACATTTGGGCTTATTGTTGGATTTTCGTTGGGCCTGGTTGTCGTCCAGATTTATATCAAGTAACTTTTACTAGGCCCAATTATAGATAGGTCCTTTAAATTATTATTATTATTATTATTATTATGATTTTTTTTTCCTCGAAAATTAGCCTTCTACTGACCAAAAGATATCATCCAACGAAGCATAACATGAGGAGGGAAAGAACTTCATCCTGAATGTAAAGTATAAGATTAGAAATTACTGTAACTAAGCTCCGAATCAGATTATACGGTCCCTGATAATAAGATTCAAAAGCTGATATTTTACAATAAAAAAATTAAAATTAGACATTAAAGATATCAAATTATATGAAGCATTTTTAAACTTTTGATATTTTTACAATTTTTAAACTTTTTTTTAGTCAAATTTCACCTTGAAAATACCAAATTTCTTCTCCTCTTAAAATGTAATGAAGACATAGCCACTTCTTTTTTGTGTTTACTCTTTTTTGTACTTGAAAGTGAATCTGTTATGTAATCAAATAAGTTTAACATGTTCATGCTTGAGGGATCCATTTGTAGTTATTCTGTTTTCTTTTCCTCAATTCTCTTATCTCAAGTGGCTCATTAGAATCATTCACATTATGAATTTTGGCATACTTAGGGGTAATATTAAAAATATTATGAATTTTGAAGCTCATTTTCACATGTTCTGTCGTCCTTAAAGTTAACACTAATGCATTTTATTCTTACAAAAACTACTAATTGATGTTTAGTTATTTTTATGTTACAAATTGAAGTTTACTTACGAACCAGCAAATACTTAGTGCTGCGTACCCATGATGGGTGCCTGAAATTTGATGGACAGAGGACTTCAACTTTATACCATTCGCCTCCCACAGACATGGGAACTAATCTGGCTCCCTATCTTGTCTATTTTTATTTTCGGTACAATTTATCTTGTTTAAGACAACCATATAACCACTTATTCATCAAACACAAACGAAAAAGTGGGGCCTTTATTCAGGGCAATGTGATTTGGTTTAACACCAATAACCAGGTTCACCACAAAGTACACAGTATGCCCCCATTGCAGGGAAGCTTAGAATCTTGGGGATTTTGTCACTATTAGCAAACCAGTAGTATTAGCAAGCTAAGAACAAAGCAAAGAGGAGGAATCAATTTTGTTCACATACATGATACAAAAATTAATTATCAAAGTAAATTTATAAAGTGGTTAAAGCATCGTATCTTGGATCATAATACAATAAAACTGTTTCTTCCATCTCTATATCTCACCTGTTCCAAATTAATACATAATCCTCCCAGTCTCTTGATAGCAAAAAGATCTTCATACAGCAGACAACATGTCAAGGACAGGTGAAACAAAATGGATATTCAAAAGATCATCAGCTTCCACATA